AAAAACGTTTTTAATTTTGGCTTAAGTAAAAATCGCTTAAAATTTTAAAAATTATTGGTTAACATTTGTAATGCTAGCGGCCTTTTTAAGCGTATTGCGGTATTTTTAAAAAATTATTTAAATTTCCATTATAAAAGTAAAAGCGTAAAACGCTTTTAAATAAATAATAATGCTACGAAAAGTAACGTAATTATTGGTTTAAGCTTTTAGCTGCGCGTTTGCAAGCGCAATAAGGTTTACGAAAAAGTTAATCCATTTAAAAAACGTTGTAACCTTTTTCGAAGCGGTTTTATTCGCGGTATTTTTTGCTTTAAACGCTTTTTTATATTTGGCTTTAAAATTACTTTCGGTAAAAAACGAAAGGGTTTAAAAAGGTTTAAAATTAAATTTTTGCGTAGCTTTACTTTTGCTTTGCTAAGCTTTTAAATAAACCTTTTTTTTCGGTTAAAAGGATTATTTGCTAAGCTAAGCGCTTAAATTTATAGTTTTTAACGTGCTTGGCCCGGGCTTTTGCTGCAAAAAAGTCGAAATCCAAGGTTTCGTTGGCCTGTACGTTGTTCGGGAACTTTAAATTAAAATTAACCTAATTTTAAATTTTTAAAATTAATGCGTTTTAACGGAACGCCGTAAATTACGTAAGCTATTGCTTTTAATTTTTAAACAACGTTGTTACGAAAAAATCGTTATTTGTGCTATTTATAATTAGTAATAACCGGAAGCTCGTAAAAGTAAAGCGGTAAAGGACAAAAGGTTAAAAGCTTTAAAAGCGTAAAAACGTAAAAGTTAAAAAAATAAAATTTAATAAAGGTTTTCGGCAACGTTCGGGGTTAATAACGGAATTTGCTTCGGCAAAAAAAACTTTATTAAAGGAAATTTTAAAAGCGTAAAAATTTTTCCGTAAAAAAATTGCGGAAAGGAAAAGGAGGATAAACGCGCTTGGAAAAGCGCGTTTGAAAACGATTTGATAAAAGTAATAAAAAGGGAATAAATTCGTGCTGCTAAACCTTTTACTTTACGTTAAAGGGTTTAAAAGTTGCCGGGCTTATAATTGTTGCAAGCAAAAGGGATAAGCACGGTATAAAGCTATTCCGGTTAATATGCTTTAAAAAAAAAAGGATTTAAAATGCAGGGTCCCGTAAGGGCTTTTGCCTTTTATATATACGTAATTCCCTGTCCTTTTTGCTTATTAAGCTTCCTTTTTAACGCTTGGAAGCGTTACACGCTTCCAGGCAAGGGGACCGCTTTTCCAATGCCTTAAGCATTTAATATTTATGCTTAAGGCTTCTTCATAACAATATATACTGTTTACTTTGTAACAGGTTGTTTAAGCGTTATATATTTAGCGGTTTGGATTTTTTATATTTGGAATTTTAAAAACAATTTGCGGCGATCCGTTTTTATAAGCGTAAATAAATTTCCGTTTTTTAACGTTAAAATAAAAGGTTGCGTTATTTTGTTTGTTAATGTATAATGTTATTAATAATTAATAAAATTATTAAAAAGTCTTTTCGATAAGGTTTAATGTAAGTTTAACTTTTTAAAACCGGGGCGGTTAAGCCTTTTGTTTTTTTTTCGAATTCGCCGTTTTGTGGCAGCGTTTAACGTTTTTTTATTTTTTCCTTTTTTTCCGGCTTTTTCCGCTTACGTATCGATAATATCGCTCGATAAAGCGTAGTTAAAAAGCCATTTTATTTTTATAAACCATTTTGTAACGATTGTTGCTTCGTTTGGCTGGTTTAGCAAAGATTTCGCCGCTTTTTTTATTGTTTAAAAAGGTTTTTTTTGTTTTTGCAAGTTTGGGCAAAGTAGCAATACGTATGCCACCATTTCCGGGTTTTAACCGCATTAATACGTTGCGGCCACGCCGGGGATTTTCCGAAATGTTAAATAACTTTAAAGCTTTAATTTTTTATTTTTAATTAAACCAGCAATAAGCTTTGGGTTTTGTGGAAATTGCGGTAAAAGCTTAGGATATTTTTATTAAGCTGCTTTTTATTAGCTTTAACGCTTTTTTTGGTTGCCGTAACGTGGTTATGCTACCTTTTTTTTACTTTTTTAGCATTGTTATTTCCGGGTTTAATTTTTTAATCCAATTTAGCGCTTTTTTATCGATAAAATATCCGCGTAATTGCAATTATAAATTTTTGCTTTTTATTTTTTAATTTCCGTTGCATTTCTTTACAAATATTTGTAATTTCTTCCGTTAAACCGCTTTTTTTTTAGCTTTTTTTCGAAATGGGCAATGCAATTATTTAGCCATATTTGGATTAAAGCTACATGCGTTTTTAATTTTAGCAATTTTTATAAGGTTTTTTTGTAAGCCCCCGTTATTGTTTTTAAATAATTATTTTGCGTTTTTACTTACGCTTTAACCATTTTTTTTGGGCCGCAACGGGGTAACGTCGAATTTGTAATAAACCGGGGCCGCGTAACTTAATGCTGCTTTAATTATAATTAAATACAAGTATTTGGTTTTGGTAAACGTGGGTTTTTATGTTATTATTGCTAAACGCGTAATAAATAGCATTTAAATTGCCATTTTTTCGCGCATTTTTTAAATGTGCTAAATTTAATTTAATTTAAAATTAATTTAAAAGCTTAATATTTGCATTGCTTTTTTTATCGTTTTTGGTTTTACCGTAACCTTTCCAAAACGGAAAGGTAACGTTAACGCGGGTTTTTTTTATTAATTAAATTAATTAATATTTGGCTGGGTTAAATTTTGCTTTAAATTTTTTTGCCCATTTTAAGCATACGTTATGGGCGGTTTTAAATTTGTTGGTTGCGTTTGTTGCGTTGCGGTTAAAGCTAATTAAATTAATATCGTTTGCAAAACCCGTAACCGTAACCTTTTTTATTTTCCGAAGCTTTTTGTACAAATTTGCCATGTAAATAATAAAAAGGATAGGTAATATTAAGGACCTTTGCGGGATTTTGTATAAAATTTTATTTTTCGCCGTATTTTTGCCGTTAAAAAAAATATTATTTTCCAATTGCTTAAAAAGCTTTTAAAAAAATTTAATATTTATTGTAAAAATTGGTATTTTTTTATTTCGTTAAAAAAACGTATATACAATACGGTATTAAAAGCGTTATTTATATTAAATAATAAAAAGTTAATTACCGCTTTTGCGTTTTAAACCGTATTTACCACTTTTGTAAATAAACGCATAGCCGTTTCCGTAAATTTGCATTATTAATTGCCCATTTATTTATTAAAAAATAGCTAATAGCTTTTTGCGGCGTTTTTAATACAAAACGCTAAAAAAATTTCCAACGTTTTTTTATCGTTTTTAAAAAAGCAATTGGCTTTTACGCATTTAAAATGTTTAAGTTTTTATCGGGTTTTTGGAAAATAATGGTGCGAAATTTCCGGAACCTTTCCGGAAAGTACCCGCGGTCCACGCATGCCGTAAACATTTCCGCCAATGCTTTAAAAAGTGCTGGTCCCATTGCTAGCAATCCCCCGGTGGGGATCCCCGTTAGGCTTAGGGCTTTCCAATGTCCTGTGCTTCGAAGGGTTCTTTTTACGTCCTTTGCGGTAATTTCCCTGCGGACGAGCAAAGGTTGGGAGGGTGGTTCGGGGTGTTCTTATAACGCGTTAATAAAAGCCCAAATAGCGTACGTTTTTATAAAAATAAAGTTAAAACCCGCAATTTTCGCCGCGTAAGCTTAAAAGTTAACGCGTTGCTTTTTTCGTTAAGTTTTTAAAAAAGCTTTTGCATTATTTAACGCGTTAAACAAATGTTAATAATTTATATTATAATGTAACGCGGGTTATATGCGCAAATGCTATTAATACAAAATGGTATTTTTGTTACGGGACAAAACCAAGGTAGTACCCGTTACACCAAAGCAAAAGAGGAACGTTGTTGTAGCTGGGGCTACAACCCATGCGAGGTTTTTATATGCGATCGTACCGTAACAATTTTAACGAATTTGCTTATTATCGTTAAGTTTTTTGCAAAACGTATTGCTAAATATAAAAAGGCCCGTTTATAGCGCAACCAAATTTTTACCGTTATTGCCCCAATCGTTTTTTAATTTAACAATTTTAAGGGTTAAATTGTGCAGCGCTTTAATAAGCGTTGCTAAGCGGTTTTGCTACAGGCTATTATAAAAAAGCTAGCTTGCAAAATCGTAAACGAAATCCCAAAACCACTAAAAAAAGGATTCCGCCATGCTTTGCTTTGCGTAATCCTTGCTGCAAAAGCTATTTAAAGCCGTAGCGGCTTTAGCTAGCGAGGTTGGCAAGGAAGCAACAAACGCAAGGGCTAAATTAAGGATTTCGACCACCTTTGCCGCGAAAGCAAGTGCATTGTCGTTTTCGAGCTGCAAATATACGTTGGGCATTTTAATAGCCTTTTTTATTCTTTTTGTAAGCTGCAAAAACGCGGTAAAACGAAAGGGGGTGGTGGTTTTCCTTTAATGTTAAAGAGTTTAGGGCAATTTGAGGTAAGGAAAACATGTGGACGTTTGCTGGAGGTGGTGCTGATGCCGATTTCAGCAGAAAGTGCGATTGGGGGATGGGAAGGAATATATTAAGTAAGCCGAAGCACGAGCCCGTAGCCAACGCTTTAAGCAACCCCGTTACATAAAGTTATTTACAGGTTAATATTGTTATAAAATGCATATATTTTGGTAGTAAACCTTAACAGTTTTTTTATCCCCAATTTATGCATTATTAAATATATATAAGTGCATATTTTAATACTTTATATAAAAGCCCGCCTTTTCGGCTATATAAAAACGTTCATTTTATATTTATAGCATTTTTATACGATTTTTAAATGCTTTATGAAAACAGTGGGTTTTTGTGAAAAAGGCGGGGAAAAGGTGGGCGAACATGGGGGGTGGGCCAACATGGGGTGCACTGACTTAAGGGCATACCTAGGACTCCAGGGCAGTGTTAGGAGGAGATGAGTCATCAGCCCACGCACGGGCCTACAGCCCACCATGCACATCTCGTAGCCCTCGGCCCTCCGGGCCTTAGCCTAGAACAAAACACCGCACTTTTCACCACTCCGAATCGCCCTCGACTCAGACCGACAAATCCGAGGTGGGCCAAGGACCGGGGATGGACCAAGAACCGGAGGAGGACGGAGGGGGGGTGTTCCGGGCAGGGCCCCAAACACCGGAGAAGGACGGGGAAGAGGTGTTCCCGGCAGTGCCCCTTCATCGGCACCAATCTTCGCTCCAAGACATTTGGCCCGTCGAGATTCCGGCTATGGACGACAACACGCGTACCCAGGCTGGCGTCCGTATGCGCCATATTCTCCAACACTGCGAGGTTGCCGCCGCAAACCAACCGCGGCAGGGCTACAACCGCCCTATCCTTGTCCGGCTCACCCACGATTATGCGCGGTCAAATGATTCCAAGACCATTTTCCTGTCGACCTTCTTCGAACATCTGCAACTTCCTCTCACGGGTAGCATCACCGATTCGGATGTCAATCTCAGCGATACAGAGGTGGAGGAGCGCCTTCGCAAATCGGTGGATGCTTTCGCAGACTACCTAATGAACAACTTCTACGTGCCGCGTAAGACTTCCTTGTCCTTTCTCTCCTTGTCCTCTCCGCCGGGCCAGTCTAATACATGCCTCTCTTTACTACCTAGTAAAAGCCGTTGCGAACCGAACTCCCCAGTCGTCCCCTATGACACATTCCGCCCTCCAAAGGGCTCAAGGCTCTGCTCTTCCCGAACACGTCGTCGGTACTTCAACTCGCATTTCGGCACTCCGCGGCGAATGTCTCCTCCGCGATCAGCACCGCTGTGTAATTTCGCGCAAATTCGACTTGAGAGAGGCCTCCAAACGTCATAGGGACGAACCAGGAGAGGCCAAGGATGACGACGAGGAACTCATCAGGCTGGATGACGTCGAGCCTTTGGAAGTTGCCCATATCCTTCCGCATTCGCTGGTTGACGCTTCTGCAAACTCCCTGGTGGTAAGTGGACGGCAACCCTGTTTCCCGAAGTCCCAACCCACTAACACCTATAACGTGGCGTATAGGATTCAACCAGAAAAACCACCTTGGACATTTTGAACATGTTCGATGTGGGAATTGTGCGCATGATTGAAGGCGTCGAAATCGACCGGCCTTTCAACGCCATCACTTTATCAACAAAGCATCATCTCTACTTCGGCTCCTTTGAGATCTTTTTCGAAGGTCCTCTTTCCAACCGACCCCCGCATACGTATCGCATCGATGCGTTTGATAGCTTTATCGGCGGAATTTCTGGTTTGCCAGTTACGCGAACCCTCTCCCTTGCCAAAAACCGGAGTGTCGACCCGCCCTCGCCTCGTCTACTTGCTATTCATTGCGCGATTGGGCACATCCTACATCTTTCGGGGGCGGGTGAGTATATTGACCGGATTTGGCGCGATGCTGAGGAATACGGAGTGCGGCAAGACGGATCGACGGATATCGGGACCCTCATTGGTTGGAAACTGGGCGGATGCGTTGACGTCCAGTCTTGACGGGCCGGCTTACCTCACCTGGGTGGGCGGCGGGATCAGGGTGTAGGACGGCGAGCAGGAGGGCGACCATGGTCTCGGCATATCTTCTTTATCCTCCATCACACCATCACGGTTTCAAGGCGCCAGTTCAGATCGTCGAATTCGTTGCGCAATTGACCACGAACACATTTTCAATTTTCTTCTTCGTCTTGGTCCCAATCTCCCGTCCTCCCCGTGCTAATCAGCGCGATGGTCCAGCCATACGCATTCCTGGCGCCGAAACCGGGGCCATCAAAGCCACCGACCGAGACGGGATAGAGATAATCAAGGACCTGTGGTGTGGTGCTGTGCTGCCCGGGCAATGCCAGCGGCATTATGCTTCCGGCATCATTTCCCGCTCCTCCACCGCCATCCGGAAGAATTCCATGGTAACGGAAGTGTTTAGGGAAACGCAACTCTCGGTTCTCACTTCTGCCCGGCACATCGGGCACCGGAGGATTTCGTTTTCCTCGCTGGCGGCCGCATGTAGCTGACGAAAGCAGTTGACCCCTAGGATGTGCATACAGGAAGACAGCACGACTCCCGCAGTCTCGATGCTGGGGGGGTTGTTGGGCGGCGCCCGGCGGTAGCCAACCGGCATCAGGCTGGGCAAGGTCAAGTCTGCCTCCAGACAGATGGGACAGTACGGCTTTGGCATGGGACCAGCCCGGTCCGACCGCATCCATCGCCGGAGGACGAGCATGTTGCATGTTTCGCTGTCTGCCTCGGCGTCGTCGTCGGGCAGCGGCGGCTCGGCAGCGGCATCGTCGGCCGCGGCGTCGCCGTGCAGCGGCGGTTCGGCGGGGAGCGCCCGCCGGTACCGCTCGTGGAGGATCCGCGACTCCTGGTTAGCGATGGCCAACATATCCTCGGCTTCTGCAACCTCCCGCTGGGCGGCCTGGATTTCAGGCTTTTCGGGGGGTGGCTGCTGCTGGACCATGGATACAAGCTGCTCATTCACGTCCGCCAAGCGCCGCTGCCCGTCGGCCACCTTTTTTCGAACCTCAACGATCTCCGGTTGCTTCAAAAGCAGCCTCATCTCCTCTGCGGCCTTTGCATTTGCCAGTTCGTCCCGCCCGCGTTCCGCCACCTCCTGGGCCCGCGCGGCGGACTGTTTCGCCGTACGCTCCAGGCCCGCATACAATGCCAGCCAGGCCTCCACGGGAAGCCAGCGGTGGATGTTATCCGTGGCAACCGTGCAGGGGGTAACTATGCCGGCTGTGGGTCCGGCGAGCATGGCGGCGTCCGCCGCTGGTGATTCCTGGACGGTCTGCAGGAGCAGCTTTGTTGCTGCGCCCCAGGACGAGTCGAAGTTTCCGGTACCGTACATAAAGTCTGCCGGGTTCTCCGCTAGCAAGTCAACCACGCCAACCTCATCAAGTCCTTCTTCGTCGTTGTATTTCAAGTTAACCCGCACGAGCCAGCGCAGTGGGCCGTCAGTGAACGGGAGCGACGTCTCTTCCCCCGCTGCCTGGACCTTGGCCACTTGAAGTAGCCGGCGGAGCGCCCACAATTGAGGGGTATCACCAGAAGGAGGGACTGGATACTGTTCAATAGTACCGCGGACTATATCCTCAAATTCCGGAACCCGGTTGACCGCTCTGCAGGTCGCCATCCGCCACACCTGCTCCTCAAAGTCCGCAAATGCGGCATGTACCTCTCCTTTGAGGAGCTGCCGAGAATAATCCATGTTGCTCGCGTGGCAGGCGAGGTGGAAAATTACTTGAGCAAAGTACTTGGGCGACGCGGGCAAGACCTGGTATCTACCCAGACCAAGAGGAGACTCTGAGGAGTGGATGATAGAGGGCAATAGAGAGGAGTGGATGGTGGTGAGTAATAACAAGAGGCGATACAAGGAGGTCGCATGTAGTCAAATTTATAGCAGACCCTATCGCAGCCCAAGTTGATCCTCGAAATGATAACCCTTTGTGTCGAGCCACACAAGTATTGGTACCCTGTCGCCTTTGTTCAATGTTGGACCTATGTGTAATGGTCTTGCGTCTTTGTTTATTTCTGTTTTCCTTTCTCACGAGCCAAGGCTTCTTCATTCGCCTATCTAGGCGCTCTCGACTTCTGGGCAATGATTGTACAGAAGAGGGCCTTGGACTATTGACCTCCGCATCTAGTATGCTCTGTTACCTGCTATCGAGCAGGAGGCTTTGTTACAGTCGTACAAAAAAGGAGAAACTGCTAAAGCTACACGACAGCACGCTATTTACTGCTATCAAAATAGCTAACTGCCGACAATTCCCAAGGCTCAATCCCCTTTCTCCACGACAGATTCGGCAATATTGGGACGCGGCAGATGATGCAAAGTAAGCCCCAATCTCTTGTATCAAGGGTATACATGGCGTGGAGATGAGGTCCAGGGCGACCTGATCAAGAATGCGCCGGACAAGATACACAACGGAAGCAAAGGAGGCACAGAAAATCACCTCGTTGTCGACGCAGCGAACAAAGCCACCAAGGGCTGCTAGAGGGGTATCACTAGTAGCTAGTAGGGCCCCAGAAGGTATCGCGGCGTGATCCTGTGGACGTTGGCGACGGCGTGCCAGACCGAAGAGGAGCCAGACAAGGTACGGCATCATCAAGAAAGACAACGACACATCCTAGTACTTGGATATTTTCTACAGACCTTGAACTCCCGAGCGGTGGAGTTGGGGACCAGAAGAGAGGAGGTGATATGACAGGTGGAAGCAACTGTCTGACAGATCCCCTCTAGTCGAGGCTAGCGCCCACCTCTCCTCCAAGGATGTATCAGACACACCTGAAGCTTGACACCACAGATAGACAGGCAATGCCGACAGCATGCCGCCAAATATAGGCATTGTTCCCGAAATGGCAATCACCAAAATCTCGTCACCTTGATTGAAACATTCGAGTGGCCCAAAAATATCCTATTGTGCAGCAAAATCCTCTCCCGACTTGTATATGGCATGTCAAAAATCATTCCACCCCAACCTGTCCGCCCAAAATAGTGTCCTACCACACCAGGAAAAACCGCACCAAATGGCACATCCCAGGACCTGCTTGCTTGTGACGGGCTTGGCGCCTTTTCTGATGTTGTCAAAAGTAGGCACAGGAGACCAAGGGCCGCCTTGACACGACTCGTTGGACTGTTCCAGGCTGGCCGCAAGGAACCCCCGGCTTCGTTGCTGCCGATCATGTTCTGCAAACTAAAAATAGGACGAAACGAAGCCCCCTGGGATGATAAGAAAGAAATAACCGGTCCCCATGGGGAACCTTGCCAGGCAAATAACAAAAAACATCCAGTCGCCATTTACTGGAGAGTGACGGTGCCACTGGTGGAGTCCTCCATGAAGATGCCGCCGTAGATGACGGCCTCCTTGATGCCCGTGGGCTGCGGGTTGGCGCCGACGGGGTTCTTCTGCAGTGCAAAGTGGTACTCACCCAGGCCCGACAGGTCGTTGGCGATGGGCTCTGTGACCTGCTTGAGGGCGGCGTTGCCGGTGCTGTGGAAGACCTGCATCGTGTTCTGGTCGAAGTCGAGCTTGATGGCAAAGTTCTCAAAGGCGCCCTCGCCGAAGGCGGTCTTGAAGATCTCCTCCTGGACGGCGCCGCCGGCGTCGGTGCCGACCACGGCGATGTTGTTGCCGTTGCCGGCGCCGGTGCGCACGTCGAACTGGTGCTTGGAGAAGTCCTTGGACTCGAGGCTGACGAGCTGGTAGTCGTGCGTCGCGTTGAGCGGGCTGGCGGCGTCGCGCTGGACCGAGAAGTGCAGCGTCCGCACGCCCTTGACGGCCACGTCGTCGAGCTGCGAGCGGATCGAAGGCAGGAGGTCGGCGCGGCGGATGTTGGCCTGGGCTTGGCCGCCCTGGGGTATGAATATGGACTTGTCGTCGATGCTGATGGCGAAGGGCTTGGTGTTGCCGGCCTTGTCGAAGATGGAGGCCGCGACGTCGGGGAAGGTGATCAGGTCGCTGAACACGAGGCCATCTCCCTTGACTACGGCGCTCTTGAAGACGCTGGCGAGGACGTTGAAGCCCTCGGGCTGGATGTTCTGTGCGATGCGTCCATCCGGCAGGACAAGCGCCGAGCCGGCCGCGCCGCCACCAGCACCAGCACCGGCACCAGCACCAGCGCCTTTACGAGCGCCGCCACCAGCACCAGCACCAGCACCGGCACCAGCACCGGCGCCTTTACGAGCGCCGCCACCAGCACCAGCACCAGCACCAGCATCAGCATCAGCATCAGCACCAGTACCGGCACCGGCACCGGCACCGGCGCCGGCGCCTTTACGAGCGCCGCCACCAGCACCAGCACCAGCGCCAGCACCAGCACCAGCATCAGCATCAGCATCAGCATCAGCACCAGCACCGGCGCCATTACGAGCGCCGCCGCCAGCACCTGCACCTGCACCAGCACCGGCACCGGCGCCATTACAAGCGCCGCCACCAGCACCGGCGTTGGCTATGTCGTCGTTGGCCGCGCCGCCGCCGCTCTTGTTCTTGTCCTTGTTGGCATTCTGCTTGCCAGCACCATTGCCAGCGCCGGCAACCTGGTTGTTCCCGGCTCCTTCGGCAGCCTTGTTGCCGCCCCTGGCCTCGAGGCCGTACGAGCCGGAGGGGACGGGGCCCGCTGCGACCGAGGCGGCCAGGACGGTGAGGAGGGTAAGGAAAGAGGTCTTCATGTTTGCGGTTCTTTCTATAGTCCGAGTGAAAAAAAGGAGCGATGGTGTGATTAGAAAGCCGGTAAAGACCGTAAAGGTGAAGAGAAAGTGGCCGGCACTAAAGAATGGAATGGGTTGCCAGAAATCAGGAGAGGAAAGAAGCGGTCCAGACCGTGCTGCTAAGAAGAATGAGGTGGGATGAAGAGGAGCAACAACGATGCCCAAGGGCTGCCGTTCAGGCAAGATATATAGGCAGGCCTCATTGCGCATCGCCAGTAGCTGCCAGGAGCCGGCTTAGGTCTACCAGGCACGGCAAGGTGAAGCGGTCTGGGTATGCCAAGAGGGTGTACCCCAGGCTGTCATGGGTCTTGTCGTCTCAAGTCGTGGCTGACGTGGTTCCTGACACGGGAGGCGACAAAGTTCTTTCCGACCCCGTTCCTAACATTTCCATGTCAGCGTTTCGACCGGCATGCCCGCATCGGTTTTGAAGAAGCGAACAACCAGACCACCGGGTTCAACGACACCTCCGAACAAAAAGAAAAGTCAACTGCCAGCGGTGCACATGGTTAGGATGCGGTCGCAACCCATTCTTGCAGAAACTAACGGTTTGCATGAGTATGGGTAATTACCCAAAACGGAAGACAGCATCGCTAACGGAGGACAGCATCGCGGACGGGAGGCGACGCCCCGACGATGGCGATGATGGGCTGGAGATGCACCTGTCTAGGCTTCGATTTAACGGTGAACTGTGCGCCACCTATCCCTGGCCTGAACGACTTGGCATCGAACAAAGTTTACGACCCCTGACTGCGGCGTGGTTGCTCGAGTCAACGTCTGCCATATTGACTTTCTTAGGTGTTATAGCACGCCTCCTGGCCCGTTTTGGATCGTTGCATTCTGCGCCCCTTGGCCGGGACGGGAGACCAAGCCCCAAACCCCAAACCTTCCAACGACCGTCTTCGGAGCTTCGTACAGGTCCCGGGACCGGGCTTGGCATCGGTGAGTTTGAAGCCTTTTGGGTGAAAGAGCAGGGGCTTTATTCTAGTACTGCCACACTGAGACGAACCACCACACACGCGCCTCCGCTGAAACGGGCGGATTGGAAGATGGACTGGACAGTCACGTGACTCTCCTACGTAGCCTCAAAGGATCACCCAGACATGACCTCCCAGAGGTGTCGAAGGGCCTTGGCCACATACCCATGTTTGTTATATAAAAAAGCTGGCGATCCTACTAGTGAAACACGATGATAGAACTGAGCAGGAAACAAAAGTGCTAACAAAAAAGAAACAAAAAGAAAATAGGAAAAAGACGAGTTGAGATCATCAGAGAGGATTTACACCAGGAGTGCATATTTTCTGGAAACCGTAACAGTTTCACGTGAAAGTCACCCGCCAAACTCGATTTGTTGAGTTCGTGTTATGCCTGACCGGGAATTGGTGGTGCCAACGAAACCTGATCGCCAGACATTTGTCTGGAAGGATACATATAGGCAGTCACGCGAGGGTGCCACGGAAAGGGCAGGGCGCTCTTACCTAAGGCGCGTGACAAATCGAACTCGGCTACCAAGGAAATGACGTCACATATAGTGTACCTTAATACGGTCTTGTTGTATGGATAACGCGTTGTACTGTGGTTAAACCCAACATCCCAGACAACAAGGGGCCAGCTGAGAAAATGGACACCGGAGAATTCAAACAGAAGATCATTTGACCCTGGTTCCTCACCAAGAAATCAGAATGGCAGCGTTGGATGCCCGTAGGGATCACCCAACTTCCGCCCTCCCGCGCCGCGAGGATGGTGAGCTAGATGGCTGACAAACAACACGCACCAGATTCCGCCTTTACTAGCACAAGCTAATGCACGGCAGCTGGTTGTGACGTATGCCAAGGGGATTAAACGCCTGTTTTTTGCTTTTCACGAGTGAATTAACACCGATGACATATTTTTATAGCCGGAATCCTCACCGCTAACGCTGGCTCTTTCGTACATCAAGATTGCAAGGAGCGACTTCCGAGAGCCATATCTTTGCTTCTTCTCGGAAACTTTGGTCCGGCGAATCCACTCCGCCCAGCTCTGGCCAATCTTAGAGGTCTTGGCTTCATGCACGTTTCAGTCATCCAACAGCTCGATCCCCAGATCCTCTTTTGATTTGACGGCCGAATCTCCACTAGACGGACTGGGAAGGAGCACCTTCGCTCCAAGGTCTCACGTGACCCAAGGCCTGTTTGTTGGTGCCTGGGCTGAGGTCATGAATTCCCAGCTGCCATCCTCAAAATCCTCCCTCGAAGAACCACCACCCCCTCTCCTCTCCTCTCCTCGACAATCCACAATACCCCCAGACGGGTTGCAGCAACGCACCGGGGCAACAAACGCACGAGACCATGGAGCGAACCGGGAGGGCGTCATTTGTCCAGGACGCGGCGCTGCTTAGGTGCGTTGCGGATCATGTAAGTCGACACCCAGTCAGACGCGCTGTTGGAGCCAGACAGGGGTAAACGAACCGGCAAGAATATTCACTGGCCGGTCTCGCTGCGTGCAGATCCACAACAAGCTACAGCTCCACCACCTCTGCCTGGTCAACAAGGCCTTCCATAATGCCTTCACCCCCAAGCTCTACGCCGAGATGGACATTATCACCACCGTCAAGGGCCACAACCGAGATTTCCTCGAGTCCCTGCCCGACAATCCGCACATCCGCCACGTCCGCCGCCTGCAGTGCGACTTTAATCACAATGGTCCCACCAACTGGGTCGTGAGGGCGCTTGTCCGACGCATGCCCATGCTCCAGGAGTTCGAGTAGGTCCTGCGGCTTTCCGTCAAGCCCTCTTCTGTTCCCCGCGTCCACTCTAACGCAAGAGCTCCGCAGGTGGGACGGCGGCACGCTGCTGCAAGAGACCATGATGACCATCCTGCTCTCGTGTCCAAAGCTCAAGTCCTTTGTCATGATCTATGAGCCTGCCGACAACCAGGCCTCGAGATATCGCTGGAATCCGCTGTTCCATCAGCCCGCCGAGGAGCCGGCGCCGGACCCGAATCCACCAGCGGATTGGCAGCTGGCTCAGGGTCATCAGATGCGTCCCACCGGCCAAGGTTCCTGCACTGATTCCGGCCATTGTGCCGACGACGAGGGCTATGTTGGAGCGGTCAAGTCAGCCCTGGCTTCGGCAGACATGCATCATTTGGTCCCATTCTCCGGCCTCACCAAGCTGACGATAGCCGAGATGGACGACCCAATGGAACGGCTCAAACACGACTGGAAGGCCGACATCCTCAAGATCCTCCTTGCTTGCCCAGACCTCAAAGAGCTGACGCTGAGTTTCAGCATCGATTGTATTCGGTTGCTGTTTAAAGACTTTGGCTGTCTCCTTGCCCCCTTTCTGGAAAGCCTTTGCGACCAATACCAGGACAGTGGAGGCAAACCGCTCAAGCTCAGGGCTCTCCGGCTTGGACTCGGACTCCTGCTTGCGCCCAGCGATGCACCCGAGGAGTATGACGCCAAGTCCCTGCTTGCGCCCAGCAACGCACCTGAGGAGTGTGACGCCAAGTCCCTGCTTGCGCCCAGCGATGCACCTAAGGAGTGTGACGCCAAGTCCAGACCTCTTAAGGCACCATACCTCTCCAAGCTCACCGACATTACGCAGCTCCAAGAGGTTTACATCGACAATCGAGGGAAGTTCGATGTTGGGAACCTCTACTGGCCGGAAGCGAGCCAGGAGGGCGACAACAGAATTGCCTGGAAGACATTTTCCAAAGATAGCACCCCGAACCTCCGGCAAATGGGGCTTGCTACTGACGTCGAGCTAGAATCTCTGGGTGAGTTCCTGGCCCCACTGGTCGGAGTCCCAGTCAGCTCGGAGATACAAAACGCCGAGATTCGCAAAAGGTCTGGGCTGGGTCAGGTCATCCTGAAGCTCTGGGACACGAGAGATTATCCATCTGGGGGCGACGAGAACGGTATCTTCTCCGTTCTGGCCAAAGAGGCGGCCGACAACCCACAAGCACCGGGGCCGGACGGCCAGGATCCAATCTGGGGGCCCTTCTTCGGCTTGGCAGCGAGCTCAAGCCGCCTTTTGGTCTACACCAGAAGCGAGGGCAAGAATCAGGGCATATTCAACATGGACCAGCTGGAAGCGGGGTTGAGGACCCTACCAGAGCTCCGCGAGCTCATCCTCGGCTGCCCAATGCATTTCGGGGGCTGGAGCAAGATCCCGTGGCCCCAGATTATGGACCTGGAGCCTGATTGTATGGAGGTGGACGACCTCGTTCACACGTTCGGGAGCCGCAGGTGGCGCAAGGACGTGGCGTCCCGCCTCGCCCGGGCCGGCAAAGGGCTCCAGGTGGTCAAGTTTGGGCGCATGGCGTGGCGGGTCTTGCGGGGCGGGGGCGAGGACGGTTCGGGGGTGACGAGGCTCCTAAGCATGGACAAGTACGAGCAGCGGCGCCGTGGCTGCGACAAGGGACCTTGCAGCCCGCTTCCAGAGTTCGCGGCCTCGCTGATTGGTGCGAGTTTCAGCTATGGAGCTGGCGTTGGCGTTGACCACGACGCTAGGATGTGGTGAATATTGGGCAGCACCGCCTGGGGTTTTGGCACCAAGCATCGACAATCCTGCTTTGAAGTTTGTGCTTATTGTGACCTCCTTTTGGCAGTTCAAATATTTTGATAGCAGCAGATACCGGGTGTGCTGTCGTGCTATTTTAGCAGCAGCCCCTGTTGTGTGCGCCTGTAATTAGGCCTTCTGCCCGGCAGCGGGTAACGGAGGATACTTGGTGCGGAAGCTAATGGCCCAGGGCGCCTAGAATCTCAGTAGCCTTCTTTATTCACCTAATGCTACGCCATCGAACAAAGGGATAGCAATGCCATTCTGGCGGGCTAACGTGCCAAGCCCTGCCTCCCGTCGGGAAACAAAGGGGTGAAGTGTGATACGAAAACCATTGGCGCCTACTACGCCTGGGCGTTTTTATAAATTTATAAATTTGGATGGGGTTTAACCTCGGGAGTGCCAGCTACCTCCCAGTTCTTGGTCTGTAGAGATTCCAGGTCTTGCCTACCTCGCCCAAGTCCCGTGCCCTTCCTCCTGCCACCCTGAAAGGATGGCAACTCCGAAGCTCCTTCTATGGGGGGACGTGGATGCCGCATTCCTAGACTTCGAGGAACAGATCTGGAGAATGGCCACGTGCCGGTTCCCGTGCCGGTTGGGCATGCAGCAGGTTTTGGACATATTCGCCAGCATGCCAGAGTTGGAGATTCCAATCCCTATGATGGGTGAACCCGGATTCCCCAAATTGTGGGCGCTCTCTCGGCTATGGTTTCAAATCAAGATTTACCAAACAGTGCCGAAGGAGGGGATGCAATCCTTGCACAACGATATACTGCGCTCTCTCGTGCGGTCTCCCTGGGATTGCAAGGATAGTACCCATCATCCCGTTGACCTCCTGATGGGCGACGAGGAGACATTCATGTACGGGAAGGGGGACTTCGACTCGTCCTGGGGCGCTGCCAGTAGGTCGATCCTGCAGGCCTTTGGGAAGGCGGCCGAGGCACAGGAGGGCCCTCCTGATGTGCTCCAGGGACTCGAGATCGGCCATACTCCTCCGAACGCCCTCGCCGCAGATACCGTTCATCGCGAGCTCTCCGAAAAGGCCTGGCTGGAGCTGCACGAGCGGCTCGAAAGCAGGGCGAAGAAGTGCGCCGCAAGGGCGGAGCAGGTCGCGGTGCGCGCGCGGGCGCAGCTGGAACTGACGAAGCTTGACAGGGTGCAGGACGACCTGCAGGAACTCGCGGCCGCGGGCCATGTCGTGAACATGCAGCGGCAGCTCATAGATGTGATGGAAGCGCAGCGCCAGCAGCAGCAGCAGCAGCAGCAGCAGCAGCAGCAGCAGTCCATGCCAGACCAAGGCCAGGCCTTGGCCTCGGAGCGGGAAATCACGGCCGCTCGGGATAGGCTGTCCGCCGCCCGACAGCAGGAGCTGGCCGCCCACAAGAAGCGAATGCTGGCCGCCGCTAGGTGGCCGCAGCCCGACGGCACAGACGCTGCTGCCGCCGCCGCCGCCGCCGCCGCCGAGGTCGGCGAGACGTGCAACTTCGCCATGGTACAGCGGTGGATTCGGTCAGACAGGACCAGCCCCCCGCCAACGATCTACTGCCCCATCTGCAGGGAGGCCGAATTCACCCTTGCCCGTCTTAGGCCGGCCGGCTTCGCTCCCCCGGCGGACGTCGGCCCCGAGAGTGGCACAGTGTTGAAAGGCTGCGGGCACATCCTGGGTAGCAATTGTTTCCGCGACATGCAGGAACACAGCGACAGCGAGACAGACGATGGCTTTCCCTGTCCCATATGCCGCGTGAGATCGATCCCCGGGGAGTGCACGTCGCTAGATATTTCCGTTTTCCAGGAGTTTCTCAAGCTCGCGGTGCAGGAGCGGGAAATGATGGATTGGCCGTAATACCAGCGGGGCTGGTATCTGACCTGGGCCAGGGCTCCGGGGCCTTGCATTGCCAGCGAAGATATCCGCGCGTGCCGGTGATCTCGCCAATCCAGATCCCCCATCATTAGCGAATTTTGGTTAGGAAACACGAGACACGGCTTCCTTCCGACTGGTCGAAATCAAGTCTGATTTAAATTGTAGTTTTCTTTGTCCTGCGCAAGCGGCGGGGTTTAACATCACATCAATATCCACCTTCAGCGTCCACCTTCAACTCTATCCCATTATGACATGTCACTGCTGTAAGCTCCTTTTTCTTTGCCTTCTTTGCCTTTGGTGATATGTGGCGGCGTATGCTGATATGACACCGCCGACAAAAAGTCACTCAAACCCCAAGCAAACCGGGTCCGGACCGTCATCAACCTCGATAGTATCTAGAACTTCGCGCTAGGTAGCGCAGGTGTCGAGGACCCGGACGCAGACAAGGCCTGGCAAAAAGCCATCCCGCCCGAGGTGTGGATCCCGGTCCCCGCGAGCTACAACGACGTTCTCGTCGACGCCAGGGTCAGGAACCACGTGGGTTGGGTCTACTACCAGCGCTACGTCACCGTCCCCAGGTGGTTTGACGGCCAGGGGTACTTTCTCCGCCTCGACGCCGCGACGTACCACGGGCGCGTCTACGTCGACGACGGTTTGACGCCAAATCAGCGTTTCAGATGGCGGCAGGGTGCGGGTAACGCTTCTCGACGAACAGGACGTCACGGTTGGGTCAGTCAACAATTTCACAGGCTCCATCAACGTTCCCTCGCCGCATCTCTGGAAGCCAGGCGCGGCTTACCTTTACCAGCTGCGGGCAGAGATAGTGGCGGACGGGGACGAGGTTCTAGATTCGTACGACGTGTCGGTCGAGATCCGGTCAGTCAAGATAGCCGGCAACAAGTTTCTCATCAACGGCGAGCCCTTTCATTTCACCGGTTTCGGCAAACACGAGGACAGCCCGATCCGCGGCAAGGGCCACGACCCGTCGTGCATGGTGCACAACTTCGGGTTCATGCGGTCCATGGGCGCCAACTCCGATCCCCGACCCGACTCCCGGGCAAGGAGGTCTACATGGCTGGGCGCTGGTTGGATTCGCTTCTTTGCTTGCGTGCCTTCCATCACCGTCGCATTTTACGTGGCCCCACCCCCGCTCGAACCCGGCTGGGCTCTTGGCCGCCGCAAATCATGCGGGGATGCGTTTATCGCACGTTTCAATCCGTAGCCAGGCAGCGCCAACCGACTTGTGATGCAGCGAGGGCGGGTCCACGTCCCCTGTTTTTTTTTATTGACCGTCTCGCAGGCTTGCACTTTCCCTGCTGGCCAAAATGCATTAATAGCCGTTAGGGCACCGTTCTTCACATCCTGGATTGCAACTTGGCTGGCTCCCTTCTCCAGCTCCCTCTTTCTACCCGTCTCCTCCACCGCAGTCATGTCGCGCGCAATCGACAAATTCCCCGACCCGCCCGTCAAGCGGCCCACCAAGATCATCGGCATGGGCTGCAGCCGCACCGCGACCCTGGGCCTGTACAAGGCCCTCAGCATCCTGGGCTACAACACCCTCCACATGATCGTCATCATCAACGGCGATGCCGGCGGCAAGCACCACGACCCCAAGATATTTTATGAGGCCATCGAGTCCCATACGAACCCCAAATCGGGTATAAAACCATACGACAAGGCAGACTTTGAGAAGTGGTGGGCCGAGTACGACGTGAGCATTAGCTTCCCCCCTGCCCATATGCCGAAAGGCCACCAAGAACTGACTGACATATGCCCGAATTCCCCACCACGAAAAAAAACAAAAAAAAAACAGGCCGTCCTAGAATGCCCCAGCTACTTCCCAGAGGCCATCCTCGACGCATACAAGGACGACCCGGACGTCAAGTTCATCCTGACGGAACGGCGGCCCGAGGGCTTCGCCAAGTCGTTCCGCAGCTCTATCGGCAGCTTCGAGACGGGCGTGCGCAGCTTCCCGCTCAGCTTCCTCAAGTTCCTGGACGCGCGCAACTACTACCTTTTCCGCATGGGGAGCAGGCTGTGGGACCACTGCGCCGGCGGCGTGCCGCCGTGGGACGACAGGGGCGACGCCAACCTGAGGAGTTTCTACAGCGACTAGTGAGTCTCTCACGCCCTTGGGAAAGCTCGAGTGGTGCCCTAGTGCGGTAGATGATGCTCACAAGAGAAACCAACCCATAAAACAGCATGGCCAAGGTCAAACCCGCTCTGCCCAAGGACCGGACCCTGGTGCTGAACCTCGAGGAAGGGCTGGGCTGGGAGAAGCTCTGCGAGTTCTTGGGCGACGAGATTCCCGACGTCCCCTACCCCCGCACCAACGACCCCAACGAGTTCAAGAACATCGTTTCGCCGCACATCGAGGCCGGCCTCAACAGGGCCATGGGCGTCGTGGCCGGCGCCGCCGCCGTGGCTGCAGGCGTGGGATTCTGGTTGCTCAAAAGCCACGGCCGCTTCCGCTGAGGGGCGTGGTCGACAGTGTACGGATCAAAATACTTGCGAAGCGTAAAGGAATGAGATTTCTGGACATGCCTATATTCTCGCTGTTTTTGGATTTGACTGGAAGCCTGCCTGCTTCTGAGCTGTTGATTCATCATACGGGAAAGCATATCAAATCTACAAGCCGAGCATCTTTAGGCGATGATGGCATTCGGCCACTCATGGGTTTTCCTATTCCATCTTCTGAGGCTTACCTCCTTTAGCACAAGACAGATAATTAGCCCCTTTGCCGTACTGTTTTGATGTTTTCTCTGCCATAAAATACCACAAAGAGATTTCACTACAAAAGTCTTCTCCACGCTTTGTGATGTGGGCACTGATTTCATTATAAGATCATATGCCACGGATAGGACAATGGTCTGGTGGTAGCCGGCCGAATTATGGGAGCAACGTGCAAAAAGAATGAACAAAAGGAAAACAAAGACCAAGTTTACAACAAAGACCACCCGTGAGTGACAAACACGGGAGATCTACCTACCGAGAGATGAGTCTGGCTTTGTACCTATGCAAGTGCATCAAAACATGACTCTTTCGTTCTGTACGGCGCCATCTTGCCAGCTTCTCTTCCACTTTTCGGCTATCGACACCATCCACTTGCACTTCGGCTATCGACACCATCCACTTGCGCTTCGAGACAAAACTAGGAACCCAGTGAGCATCGCAGACTTCAGGCGATACTGCTGTACTGGTAAACATCCCTCAAAAACTCTCGGAACAGTTTCGGACGACACCATGCAGGACAACGTGCCCACGACAGACAGCACGCCCAAGACGGGCAGCATGGCCAAGAAGGGCAACGTGACCAAGACGACTTTGTTCACCGGTCCAACGTCGCTCGATGAGCTGAAGCAAAACCTCACCCCTGCTCAGGCGATCCAGATCTGCATTAGGCCGCAGTCCCTTCCAGAGGCCAAGAGGTGGCTCTGCGAAGAATACCGCACCTTTGAGAAAAACCTCTTCACGCTCCTGACTTTCGTCCTGGAGGGCGAATTGCAGACAAAGGAGACCCTCAAGATCAAGGTGAAGCAGGCCCTGCTGAAGCTAAAGGACAACACCCCGTCGTACGCCGTCCTCTCGCGCCTGCTGGCCGGCATCCGTGCCCTGCGGTCCGACTTCCCCAAGACGCTCGTCGACCCCGACGACATGCTGGAGATGCGGCGCTTCCTGGTGCGCGAGGCGGTCTTGGCCCCGCATGGCAAGACGCGGCGCTTCCTGGTGCGCGAGGCCGTCCAGGCCCCGCACGACAGCGACGACAGCGACGACAGCGACGACAGCGACAACGGCGACGACAGCGACGTCGACCACCACGAAATGTGGGGGCCGTTCAGGCGCTGCGAGGAGGAGGATGTGGTGACCGAGGCCCTGTTCGCCGGCGGGAACTGGTTCACGTCGTGGGCCCCCGCCATCGAGGCCCTGGCCCTGGTCGTGGCCCCGACCCCGGAGTGGGATGGAGAGGGCCGCCGGGCCACGATCATGCGCCTCAGCAACGGCGTCCTGCTGTCCTCGGACTTTGTCGTCGCCAGGTCGCGCCATGTGCGCGAGCTTAGCCAGGGTAGATACGTCGGCATGCACTTTGGCAAGCGCTACTAAGGCGGCCAGGCTGCAACAAGGGGGATGAAGGGGTCGCTTCTCGACTCGCAGCACATGGGACACTGGCAAGACAACAACAGGAGCAATCTAGGAAATAGGAAAACATGCATAAAATTGGAGACCGAAAGTGACGTGACCCTAGAAAAACTACTTGTAGGATAAGTTTGGATGGTGACTTGTCATCTGAAGCGCACACTTTCTCTACACAGGAACATTAAATTGAAGTGATGGCCTCCTCAGTACGCCCTGTAACGCAAAACCCAGCGGGCCTCGGGTATTCTTTGTGGACAAGAGACACGCGGGAGTCCTCGATGGTGGAGATGATGGTCGGAGAAAGCTCTGATTTTTCCTTCAATCGCACAGTTCTGGCCTCCTCAAAGCCGTCAAGAGTGTCAGTGCCGGCGGCAGCAAACAGCCGCCTGGAGGATGTGTCCGCGGGCTGGGATTGCACCCAGGCTAAACTTGAGCCCCGTGATACCCCGCGTGTTTTCATCGGCTGTGGACCGAGATGCCGCCGCTGTGCCTTGCCGTGATTGGCTCGTGGCGAGGGACTACTACATAGTAAGCGAGGCCAGTGGTGGTTTTGGGTGCCAAGACTCGTGGTCTGGTGTCGGCAGCGGCCAGCAGCCCCGCCATCCCGGCGGCAGGCGCCATATTTGTCGGTATTGTCCCCAGGGACCATGTTCCAACCGAGCCGCCGTCTGGACCCGCTGGCCAGCCAGCCTATTCCGCAAGAAGCTCTCCAAGATGGCCGCGGCCAAAAGGGGATGCCTGGCCGCTGGCCACATGCAGGAACAGCCCACACCAACTGCTCCGCACGCGGAGCCTGTGCTCCCGCATTTCCTCCCTCGGCGATAGCTCACACAGCCCGACACCCGTCACACACTATCTAGCCCGACGAGCCCATCCCCGGCGAGCCCTCCCTATTCGAGACGAACGGCCCGCTGCGGCGACGCCTGCACCGACCTTGATTACCCCAAATTTCGGCCATCTCAGCTTTCGCGCGACCTCCCCCGTCACTCCGAGGCCTCTCTCCTCATAAAAAGGCACCATGGCTGCCACACCTGATGCGTCGCCGCTGGAAGCAGGGCACGACCATCTACTTGTGCTTTCCCTCTCCCCCCTCGAGCCCGGACGCAGCCGCCAGCTGCCGCAACGCCGCCGCACAAGCATCCCAGAACCGCCATGTCTCCCTCCCTCGCCACCGTGGCCGGCGCGGCCGTGGCCCTGTCGGCGGCCCTCGCGGGCGCGCAGGGCGTGGGCTCGACCAGGGAGGTGCACCCGCGCCTCAAGACGTGGAAGTGCACGACGGCGGGCGGCTGCAAGCCGCTCAACTCGGCCATCGTCATCGACTCGCTCGCCCACCCCATGAACCGCAACTGCGGCGACTGGGGCAAGGCGGCCAACCCGACGGCGTGCCCGGACCTGGCCACGTGCCAGCGCAACTGCGTCACCGACGGCATCTCGGACTACACGCGCCACGGCATCTTCACAAACGGCGCCGCCCTGACGCTCAAGCAGCTGCAGCCCGACGGCCGCTCGGTCGTCAGCCCGCGCGTCTACCTGCTGGCCGAGAGCGAGCAGCAGTACGAGATGATCAAGCTGACGGGCCAGGAGTTCACCTTTGACGTGGACGTGTCCAAGCTCCCCTGCGGCATGAACGGCGCCCTCTACATGTCGGAGATGGAGGCCGACGGCGGCAAGAAGAAGGAGCCGCTCAACAAGGGCGGCGCCTTCATGGGCACGGGCTACTGCGACGCCCAGTGCTTCACGACGCCCTTCATCAACGGCGTCGGCAACCTAGACGGCAGCGGCTCGTGCTGCAACGAGCTCGACATCTGGGAGGCCAACAGCGCCGCCGAGAGCATTGCACCCCACACTTGCAACAAGCCGGGACTCTTCAAGTGCAAGGGGGCCGAGTGCGAGTTAGACGGCAACTGCGACAAGGTTAGTAACCGGCCGACTACCTCTTGGACTACCTCTTGGCGTTTGCTTCAGGGGCTACAAGCACTACACGACACATTAGTTCGCTAACAAACATTTTCTTCCTCTTCTCCAGTGGGGCTGCACCTACAAGCCATACACCTTCGGAAACAAGAACCACTACGGGCGTGGCAAGAACTTCCGCGTCGACACCACGCGCCCCTTCACGGTGGTGACGCAGTTCCCCACCGACAGCCGCGGGGTGCTGCAGGCCATCAAGCGCATCTACGTGCAGGACGGCGTGCAGATCCCGCAGGCGCCCGTCAACCTGCCCCAGTTCCCCAACCTCAACTCGCTCACGCAGCCGCTGTGCGACTCCAAGCCGGGCGAGGCCCGCCGCTTCAACGAGCTGGGCGGGCTCAAGGGCATGGGCGAGTCCATGGCGCGCGGCATGGTGCTGGCCATGAGCGTCTGGTGGAGCGATGGCGACTTTATGAACTGGCTCGACTCGCCGCCGTGCAGCGAGACCGAGGGCAAGCCGTCCGAGATCGTCAAGGTCCAGCCCAACCCGGCCGTCGTCTTCAGCAACATCAAGTGGGGCGACATCAACTCGACCTTCACGGGCAGGCCGCCCAAGTGCAAGCGCGACGTGGGCCTGGGCCTGTGAGCGGCGGGTTGGTGCTGGAGAGGGGAGGAAGATGGCATTTCCTGTGTACGACCGACCCTTGGTCCACTTTTTACCTTTACCCAAATTGGAACCGTGTACGATCATTGGCCCAGATCGAGGCTCAGAAGGTGAAACGAGCACTTCATTGTCCTCCACTATCATTCTGACGTACCTACTGCAAAAAGCGCGCCCCTCAGCGCCAGCGGCGTTTCGGAATCTCGCGGCCGAAAATGTCCGTCTGGCAAGCCAAGAACCTGAGGACCTTGTTGTCATCACCCGCAGACCCCTTCTTCGCGCTCTTTTGCTTCTTCGCGCTCTTCTGCTTCTTCGTCTTCGCCTCGCTGTGCTTCTCCGGCTCCTCCGCCCGTAGCTTCGGCTCCGGCTCCGGCGGTTCCTAGGGCGGGACGCATCGACCACCACCACCGCCGCCGCCGCCGCCGCCACCGCCACCGCCACCACCACCCCCATGCTCAGGTCCATCCGGCTTGTGGGCGCCGCTGTAGCCGTCGTAACCTCCGTGGCCGCCGTAGCCACCGTAGCCGCACTCGCCCCCAGGCCTTGGAGGGTTCCGGGCCTGGTAGCCGCCGTTCTCCAGGAGATTCTGCTTCTGGTCGCCGTCGTAATCGCCGTAGCCCCCATAGCCGCCGCCGCCGCCGCCCTGATAGAAGAAGTCCCCATAGGCGACAGAGCTGTTGGGCGCTCCCAGGCTGTACGGGATCTGAGGCGCGGCGCCTCGCGGGGCGTCCGCCCGAGCCCAGCCTCGGGTGTCGACCCCGTAGCAGGTGGGCATGGCGCCCGGCTCCGGGCACTCCCGGTACCCCTCGACAAACTCGGCGAAGATCCAGCGCCGCTCGGACGTTTCTTCGGTGTCCTCCTGGGCGTCGGCGACAGACTCGGGCGGGTGCTCGCCCCTGCCGGCGCCGTAGACGACGAGCCTTCGTTCGTCCATCGCGTGCCGGCCGTCCTGCGATCAGCTTTGGATGGGTGAGGGGTTTTGTTTCCCCTCCGGTGTGCCTATGCTAAGATATGCTTCCAGTAGATATGTACGGAGGCGGCACGAGGCTCGTGTGTCTGTCTGCTCTGGCATTTCCGAGGCTTGGAGCTCCGTGGCCTTGAGTATTTGTACCATCCCGACAGGGCGCGAATTCGCTACAGCAAGCTCTGCTTCTGGTCGTTCCCTGAAGGCAGGAGCTGGATTCGTATACCCAACCTCAGTGACTGGATAACAAGCAGCATCTGCGGATAAGACCAAGAGTCAATCTCGCTGCGTGCAGTCGATATCCCTGGAACAGTCAACCAATTCTCTTCCACTTGCCATCTCAGCTTCCATGGCTGCGGTAAAACACAAGCACAATCACTCACGGCATTCGTGGACAGGCCTGGGTGCGGCTTTTACGGTGAATAGCGATGGCGACAGAGGTGATGTTTTCTTGTTCTTGTCTATATGGAAAAGGAATGCTAAAGCTGCTTGATATGCCTCCCTTTCCTCCAAAAAACCATCCTCCCCTGCCTGCAAACCCAGGCCTGCCCGGTATTGTCACGCAAGCTTTATCGCCATATAAGCGTCGTGGCAGTACGCAGCCCTCCCTGCCACAAACGGGTCCTCCATCAGTCTCGTCTCCACCGAATATCGCCAGGATATCTCGACGGGCCTGATGTTGCGGAACGCGATGTGGTGGTCCGTCAGCGAGCGCGTCAGGAAGCTCCCCATGCCCAGCCCGAACAGGTGGCGGAACGTCTGCAGGGCCGAGACCCTACCCGCCTCCCCGGCCGGGTTCCAGGACTCGGTGCCGTCGGCCGTGAGCCAGCCCTGCTTCTGGTACAGCGACCGCGCGCTCAGCCCGTGGAGGAGCCGGTGCGTGGCCTCGTGCGTGATCTGGGACAGCACGACGGTGCGGAGCGGGGGCAGCTCGCCCCTGCCTCCCATGATGTACGTGGGGTCCTGCTCGGCCAGCGACCGCCAAAAGTGGTAGAACCATTCCGAGGCGAAGACGCGCTCCGTCCGGGGGTGGTTCGTGCCGTACACCATCTCGCCGTCGTAGTAGACGTGCTCGATGACGGCCCAGCCCTGGGTGATGTTGAAGTAACCACCGAAGGCGGGAAAGCCACTGTCCATGACGGAGTGCTTGGGCTTTATGTACATGGCCACCGTCCCGGGCGCTGCGGGGTCGACGCCCATTTTCTCGAGGAATTCTTGTTTCTCGGGGCAACCGGCAGTAGGGATCGTGACGTCGCGCTCCATCCTGCCAACGTGGTAGCCGGTTCTGCATGCTCCCTCAAAGCCTGCAAAGAACACGTCAGGGGCGCCGTTGTACCTGGCGTAGTCGAGCCTGGCAAACAGGTCGGCTCCCTTTGTGTTTTCCATTTTTGGTTTGGTGGATCGAGTTTTGACGACTTTCGTAGCAAGTTTTGGATGATAGTTGGGACCAGGTGGGCAAAGGATGGGCTTGTTGTAAATGTTGTAAACGCTGTGAATGCCGTAAACGCTATAAATGCTGCAAATTCTGTGACTTTTTTCTTTCTATGGGCTCCGGTGAACTGTTACTTACGTGAATGGGCTCCCGGTGATATTTATACGCGCAGGGTAGCAGGCAGACGACAATGAGAGAGTGTGCGGCTTTGAGTGCGGCTGTATTGTGTGTCCAGGAACAATTGGGATGTCCGCTGTTCGGTAAAGGATCCGTGACGGTGGCCTTTGTTCTGCCCTTTCAACAAATCGCATTGCCAAACACGCCTTTGTTTAGGCGTCAGTTCGTGGCAAGAGTGGCGGGCGGTGAATGGACAATTAGATACAGCCAAGATAATGGCATAGATCTTGAGGTTATCGGGTATCGCAATCTGTTCATGTCGGGAGTAGCGGGGAAATGGGCAGCTCCTCCTGTATGCTCTCCAGGAAGCCGCGATCATGGCCCGCAGATACTTTGGCCGCAGACGGAAGGCGCAGGGGTGTGAGGCTTCTCACCGAGCAAAGAATGGAGACCAGTCCTTCCGAGGCCCAGCTATCTGAAGCGAAATCTCACCTGGCCTGCTTCAAGTCAAATATATACCTAGGATCGAGCGTAATGTCGGATGCGAGACCGATTTCGGGCGAGGAACCTGATGTGTACCTTCGCCCGGCCGATAAAATTGTCCGCAAAACTGTTCGCTTCGCAGTACGGCGCTTCGTGACGGCTCCGAGGCTCCGAGGACCACCCTTGGCGTCGGTAGTGGGCACCTCCGCGGTGCGGTGCTTGAGCAGCAGATGGAGCCTTGAGTAAAGGCTGTCGGTGATGTCACACTGGTTGACGGGCTTGAACTCGCCGACGTCGAGACGGGCATGGATATCGAAAGACTCGCTCGAGTGGGTGTGGACGCGTACGAACGAGCCTTTCGTCACATCTCCGTGTTCGCGCTGTCTCTCGGCGAGCTGGCGACTCAAGCTGGGTGTTACAGCAATGTCAAATCTCTTGCCCATCATGGTCTCCACTTGCATGGTGAGCTCCGGGACCATGGAGCCGCTCGCGAGATCATCAACCCAACCGCCAGTGTCAACGTCCTGGGCGCGGGGCGGGACACGACGGCGTGTCTTCTGTCGTGGACCTTGTGAGTCTCCCCCCACGCCACCATATAATCCCCTGCTGCCCTATCCTCCTATTTATTAACAAAAAGACCATGCCGCGATAGCTTCATCCTCGTCCGCCACCCCTCTGTCCTCTCCAAGCTCCACACCGAGTCGCCACCAACCCCATCCCGCCCTCGGACCTCCGGCGCGCCGACCTCAAGGTCATGCCCTACCTGCAGGCCGTGCTCCGCGAGGTGCTGCGCCTGTACCCGCCCGCGCCCGTCAACGCCCGCACCGCGGCGCGTGATACGGGTCCTGCCCGCGGGCGGCGGGCTCAACCACCGCCAGCCCTTGCTGGTGCCGCGCGGGTCCGTCGTCGTCTTCGACGCAGATCAGCGTGCTGTCTGCCGCCGCTCACGACACCTGCCTGGCCGTGCTGTGCGGCTGGCCGGCCGACGACCGAGTTGTTCTCGCCTTTTACTTCCTGACCTTTGCCACCAACGCCGGCGGCCCGTCGTTGATGGCCTGGTTTGCTGAGATCCTGCGCCGCGAGCCCGAGGCGCGCTCCATCATTGTGGCCATGACGGTCACTGTCGTCTACATCGGGCACGCCACCATCCCACTGCGCGCGTTCCGGTTGCCGACGCGCCTCGTTATCCCATCGGCTTCCCGACCACGACGTCCAGCTCGGCCTCAACTGGCGGCTCATGATGGGCAGTGCGGGGGTCCCCGCCGTCGTGGTCTGCCGCCTCATCCCCTATACCACCGATTGTTGCCGATCTCCCAGATGAGGATTGGCAGCGAGAATTGCGACAAGTGCGAGATGTCCGCCAGGCTGGTGGCTGAGAAAATCGAAGCGGCAGCCCGTCTCCTCGTCGAGGTGGTGATGGATGTTTCCGAGTGGCCGTCCGAGGTCGCAAGAAATTGCCAGCGGTAAACCCACGAACTCTGAAGCGCCGACTCCCAGCCGCGGCTTATGGACGCGATCCGCGAGCCAACGCTCCGCACGGAGCGGGCATCTGACGCGTCTTTGCTGTTCGGAAAAAGTTCCCCAAGGGTGTGCGGGTCGGCCGCACACACGCTCTCGCCCGCGTCCCCTGGCGCGGTCTCGACCTCGGTATCGAGTCCCCCGCTCTCTTGAAACCGCTCAAGTCTTGTCAACAGGGTCGGGCTGCTGACCATGGCCTGCTCAAAGAGAGCGTGTAGTCGGTCAGCCAAGTGCTTGATATCGGCTGTCGACCGGGCAGAGAAAACGTTGAGCATACAGCTGAGTGAGCTCTTGTGGTTCTGCAGCCGGGCCAAGACGCGGCCGATGTCTTGTTCTTTCCGCACCCAGCGCGCGCGGTCGAAAGTGCCCGATATGCCCGTCCCGCTGTAGACCAGGCCGAGGTCGTCGGCGAGCGTCTCGAGGTCGTCCTTGGTCATGACGCAGCTGGTCAAGACAGCGGCAAGCTGCTCCATCAAGACAAGCTCGTAGCGGTCGCGAGGGACGGGCCCGCCGTCGGGCAAGCGGCCAGCAATAAAGTGTTCAACCTGGTGCAGGGTGGCGGTGACCTCGCACAGTTCGGTGAGGACGGCGCGGCACAGCGGGGGTGCGTCGCTATTGTTGACTATAGGCGACATCAAGGCCACCATCTTGGCCCCAGCGCCGAGGAGCCCGGCCACCGAGGCGGCGACGGAGAGGGGATCCATGTTTGCGGAAGTCCGTCGTTTGTGCGTCCCCTTCTTTCGTCACCGACAGGGCCACCCACTGAGTAGGACGAGCAAGAAACAGGTCTTGATGAGCTAGGAGTCTAGAGTGCAGTTCGCGGCGCGCAGAAGCGTCCGTTTCAGTTCCCATGACGGGGGAGGTGGGCAGGCTGTGCTCTCTGCCCGTCGGGCTGGGCGCCTCCGGTGGCCGGCTGAGGCGCAAATGCGCTCCATGCTGGCGGTCAATAGCAAAGAACAGAGGCTTGAACCTGTGCCACATGCTCGTCGCACTCCGCCACGGGCGTCGCTCTGCTGTCAGCCTAACACCGTGATCACGGCATCACTTTCCCCTTGGTCAAACCCCATATATGGAGTAGAGGGTCAATAGCGTGAAGAGGGTTGAGGCTGCAAGGCATTGGGCTCAGAGATGGCATGTTTGGGAAATGGCAGTGTTGGTTTGATGCCGCTAAGCCTATTGGTAGGAAGGAAGTTGTATCCAAGCCTGATTTTCAGATCATATGTATTCACAGCCTGTTCCAGCTGTGGGGTGGAAGGCTGTCCCGCAGTTCCACTTAAGCAGTAATGTCGGACTTAATCGGCACCGGTCCTGTGGCCTAATGGTAAGGCGTTGCTTTCCGGTGGCAAAGATTTTGGGTTCGAGTCCCAACGGGATCGTAATTTCGTCGCTTTTTAGCGAAGCATGTCCTCACCCGCACAGAATAGAGTAGGTGTTATTTATCCAACAAAAAAGGGATGTTGGTTGGTTGGTTGTTTGCTATTTTTTTTTTTTGGTTTGCAAGGCCCTCCTTCCATGGTGTTCATTCCCCACACCAATTCGCCAGAAATGCACACTGTGTGAAAATCACCAACCCCAGAACGAGAACAGCTGGCTTGAGTCAGTCGGCTCATTCCCGCGATGCACCGGGAACTTGCAGGGTTCACACACCAAACAATCCCCGGCTCCCGCCGCTGGACAGCGGGCGGCAGTGCGGCGACAGCGGCATCCCTGGAATTTGCAATATCCATTCGTCAACTCTCGCAGCTATCTATCTCCTGGTGATCCGTGCGCTTATCTCCGCAACCATGTGAAGAGCTAGGCATCCAAAGACCCCACCCTTCCGCCACAGTGACAAGGACTTTTCTACTCGAGTCTCCTCCACTGTTGAGCCCTCCTGCCACGGCATCGACCGCCATGACAGCATCAGTGGTATCAGCCAGACGAACCCACCGGACAACCTACGATAAGGTCCCGTTTAGCGGCGCCTGGGCGAATTCCAACCGTCAGAGCATTCGCCCTCTGCACAGCAGCGTTCTAGAGGCGTCAAGCTTCAGGCAGATTCTAACTGGCCAAGCAGTTATGCCGATGGCTCTACAATGATTCCGAGGTCCCTCGCTAATACCACCCCGTCCTCCAATCCGATCCCGCATCTATCTATCCCTGCCTACATGTTTGAGCTTACTGTTCATGGTTTGACACATGCTGATCTTGCTTATCTTTCCCCAAGCCCTATCCCGCCCTGCGGAACTGCTCGCGCGACCGTGGATACGCCACTATCAGCGCGCTCCGCGGCTCCGAGCCTAGGCCCTGCCCCGTTTCGAACCCCGTCCTCAGCCCCATGCACATGCGCCCTCCCAGCATGCGCCCACACCCGCGCATGTCTCCCGCGAACCAATGATCCAACCGGCTAGCGTCATGCCAGCCGCGCCGGCGGGCGGGTGGGACGACATGGGGGAGATATGCCGACTGCGGGACAAGCACCGACAAGCTTCCCAAGCTTCTCAAGCCCTCCCTTGGCCTTATCTCGCGCTTGATCGAATTATGTACCTGAGTGCTACGCCGCCTCGTCCCAGATAGATGGAGGTCACCGGGGGTCAGAGATGCGATGACACGTCGGGGAGAGATCCTCGTCGCATATAAGCTGTCCAACCTTCCCCGCAATAGAGTTCACGCCTTGTCTAGAAATCAAAAGTCCATCGTCCCCAGACTTTGCTGTCCTAGACCCATTGGCCGTTCTCCTTCACTTCCTAGCTTGCAGCGAGCCGACACTGTATTCATCATGGCTGGGACGGCGGCCCTTGACCAGAGCACTGGCTATGGCATCGTCCTAGGCCTGGGCATTCTTTTTGCACTTGGTAAGTCCGGTCCACTGCCCCTGAACTTGGCAACCCTCCTCCACCTCTCGATGCCGCCTGGGACGAGCCCAAAAGGGGCCTACGAATAGATACCGTGGACTGACCTGATTAGGCATGATCTTGGTGACATTTATTCTCAAGAGGTACAATGCCGAGGTCCAAACTTCCGAGATGTTCAACACGGCCGGCAGGACCGTCAAGTCGGGCCTAGTCGGGTCGGCAGTTGTATCGTCGTGGACATGGGCCGCCACATTGCTGCAGTCTTCGGGCGTATGCTAGTGAGTTTGCTTCTGCCATTCTTTGCTCTCGCCCGTGCTGACCGTTCCACCAGCCGCTACGGCGTTTCCGGGCCGTTTTGGTATGCTAGCGGCGCGACGGTGCAGATTCTCCTATTCGCGACCCTTGCCATCGAGCTCAAGCGCCGCGCGCCGAATGCGCACACCTTCCTCGAGGTCATCAAGGCCCGCTACGGCACCGCCGCCCATGTCACCTTTATGGTATTCGGACTGGTCACCAACATTCTTGTTTCCCTCATGCTGATCGTGGGCGGCTCGGCCACGGTCAACGCACTGACGGGCATGCACACCATTGCTGCCATCTACCTGCTCCCCGTCGGTGTTGTGGCTTATACCATGGTCGGCGGGCTGAAGGCCACCATTCTGACTGACTGGGTCCATACCTTTATTCTTCTCGTTATCATTATCATTTTTGCCCTTTCGGCTTACGCAAGCTCCGACGTCCTAGGCTCTCCCTCGGCCGTTTATGATCTCCTGGTCGAGGCCGCCGCACGCCACCCTGTCGAGGGCAACAAGGACGGCTCGTACTTGACGATGCAGTCGCGAGAGGGAGCCATCTTTTTTGTTATCAACATTGTCGGCAATTTCGGAACTGTCTTTTTGGACAATGGCTACTACAACAAAGGTGAGGATCTTCTGCCATGAACGCTGTTGAAAAGTTGTGCCAGCGCTAACCCAGAAAAGCCATCGCTGCCTCGCCTGTCCACGCCCTGCCCGGGTACATCATCGGTGGCCTTTCGTGGTTTGCCATCCCTTGGCTGACTGCTACAACCATGGGCCTGTCCGCCCTTGCCCTCGAGAGCAACCCCCGGTTCCCCACCTACCCGAACCGCATGTCCGAGGCCGAGGTATCTGCCGGCCTAGCCTTGCCCTATGCTGCTGTTGCGCTCCTAGGCAAGGGTGGCGCCGTGGCTACGCTACTCATCATCTTCATGGCTGTCACGTCCGCGACGTCGTCCGAGCTGATTGCCGTCTCGTCCATCTTTACCTACGACCTCTACCGAACATACTTCAACCCATCGGCCAGCGGCAAGAAGCTTATTTGGATCAGCCACTGCATCGTGGTTGGCTATGCGGCCTTTATCGCTACCTTCTCGGTTGGGCTGTGGTACGCTGGCATCAGCATGGTTCGTCGATTTCCTGTCATGCTTCTCCCCTGATATTATAGCGAACGCGGGCTCATCAATGTTTTGCTTTAGGGCTATCTCTATGTCATGATGGGCACAATCATCTCATCCGCAGTCCTCCCCGCTACCTTGGCCCTAACCTGGTCTGGCCAGAACCGCTGGGCCGCTACACTTTCGCCCATCTTCGGCCTCGTGGCTGCTCTGATCGCGTGGCTGGTCACAGCGCAGAAGGAGTGCGGCTCCCTCGACGTCGCGTGCACGGGATCCAACAACCCGATGCTTGCGGGTAATGTGGTCGCACTGCTCTCGCCCGTGGTTCTCGTCCCCATCTTCACCCTCATCTTCGGCCGCGATCGGTACGACTGGCAGTCGATGATGGCGATTCGCAAGGCCGACGACCACGACGTCGCCGACGCCGCTGGTGTCGACATCGAGACGGTCCCCGGAGGCCACGTCGAGACGACGGACGAGTTCGAGGAGGAGCAGCGCAAGCTTGTCCGCGCGGGAAAGATCTCCAAGACCATGACCATTGTGTTGACGTGAGTAGTGTCCTCTTCTTTTTTTCGCACCCCTTTTCCCGCTTCCACCCGATCTCCTTATCAGGGAAGCTGACCTCCCACTTCCAAATCAGACTTGCCTTCCTCGTCCTCTGGCCCATGCCCATGTACGGCTCCGGCTACGTCTTCTCCAAGCCCTTCTTCACCGGCTGGGTCACCGTTGGCATCATCTGGATCTTCGGCTCGCTCGGCGCCGTCGGCCTGTTCCCCATATGGGAGGGCCGCAAGACCCTCGCCAACACGTTCCGGTTCATATGCTCCGACGCCACGGGCAAGAGGCGCCATGCCTCGCGCGTCGCTATCCAGGCCCAGCCCACGCCGGTCGCGGCCACGCCGGGCGACGCCACACCGACCGAGAAGGAGGCCGCCTCCAAGTCTGGAGGCGATGTCCGGGTCGCGCAATAATTGCAGACGACGGAGGCTGAGACAGGCGTGGTCGTGTCCGCGTGTAGCCTCTGGGTTTAGTGCATCCGGCGCATCTGGAGATACATGCCATGCTTGCTGCGCCGCGGCTGATGGGACCGATGTTCGCCAGAACCATGAGTGACTTTTCACGTAATCTTGTCTGCGGCGCGTCCGCCTATATACCCTCTCTTTATATCACGCACGGTTGGATTTCAGTGCCGGAGATACCCTCGTTTTAAATGGATTAGCCATATTTGGAGATACACGGTAATTCGAAATCCGAATACGATAAAACCTACGCAATGTCGTGATTACCATTTACTGGGCATTGACCACTCCCGTCCAACCCGCCGGGCTCGGCATGCAGCAACCCACGCAAACTCACTAGCGGGAAACAACGGCTGGTATTGCGAGAGCGCTAATCTCAAAGTAGTTTAACCCAATTCTCATCAAGCCTCCGGAAAATCCGGGACCTGGTAGTCCTTGGCCCCTGCTAAATAACAAATCCTCCATCTCCAAAAGCGGATCTTGTCGACGATATCAAGGGGCAGCCGTCATCTCGCGTTTTAAGGCACATAATGAGTCACACCCATGGCGAAAAAATCTGACGCCCGCAGATAGTAGCATCCCGAGCGCTGCTGTTCCAACAAGCATACAAGCTTTCCACCCAAGCAACTTGGCGCAGGGGAAGCGCGCCGGGCTCATAACCCGGAGGTCCTTGGATCGAAACCAAGAGTTGCTAGCTTACTTTTTTGGAAACTGTAAGCCTCATGTGGCATGTCTTTTTTTTTCTTTTTTTTTTTATATGTCGCGAGCCGCCCTAGCCTTCAGGATACCAACAAGTTTTGCCAGCCATTTCAACAGTGCGTAGCACTCGGGATGACGGCTGTTGTTTATCCTGAGCAACCATCTGGGGAACAAAACCGGCGTCCCGGAGGTACGGCTGTGATGAATCACCGGGCACGCCGTCCAGGCGCTCACACATGTCCGCTACGGCATTTCGAGAGGGACCTGCTCGATGTCTTCCGCCACGCCAGCTGCTACCTGGGAATCGTGCGCTCGCTGGCAAGAAGGGGCCCTCAAAGGCTCGGCTCATTATAGGTACGTGGAGGCAGCGGATCGTTGTCTTCTGTCGACATCTAGTGTCCCTATTCTATCAAAGCTTTATATGCCAGATGCTGCTCGCCGGCTAGCTTCATTTTATCCATCGCAGTCCCAAAGAGATATGCTGCCACTTATTCCAAAGGTCCAGAAAGCCGCTGACTTGCCCCGAGTGAGGCACGCTCGTTTGCTCAAGACTTGTCGGGGAAGCCAAAATCGATGCCAAACGGCGGGTAGACATAACGGTGCAGCTTCCCGTCCTTGGTGAGCTGGTTCGAGTAGTTGTCGAGCGCCTTGACGTCGTCCGCGTCGAGCTCGGCCACCTTGGCGTTGGCCGAGATGCGCTCGGCGTTGGTCGACTTGGGGAGCACGGTGCTTCCACGGGCAACTAGAGGGCATCGGCGTTAGCCACAGTCATGTTCGTGTTCGGCCCTGCATTCAAGACGCCCAGGCAACCTACCGTGGTAGCCCAACAGTACGCTGGTGACGGGCACGCCGTGCTTCTCTGCAATCTTCTTGACCGGCTTGGCGTCGAAGAGGGGACCGCCGGTGCTGCCAAAGGGGCTGTAGGCCATGATGTGGATGCCCTTCGCCTTGCACAGGTCTACAATCTCCTGCTGCGGCAGCTGCGGGTGATTCTCGATCTGGTTGACGGCGGGCACGATCTTGGCTTCGGGGAGCAGCTCCTCCAGGTAACGTTTGCTGTACTGTATGGCCCAAGTGATTGGAACACAGTGTTAGAATAACTAAGCCCACGCATTGAGGACGTTCGCAGGAGAGAACGTACGTTGCTAACACCAATGGCCTTGGCCTTGCCCGTCTCGACGAGCTTCTCCATCAGCTTCCACGTGTCAACGTGGTTGTGAGACTTGATGATGTCGCGGGAGCCATCGGGCAGTTTGGGGAACTTGTCGTCGTTGCCTGTTGCGACTGTCAGCGTTTTCCAGAGGGCATACTATCTGAATCGGAGTGACTGCAGATGTAGGTGTCTTACCCTCAGGGTTCATCAAAAGGGGCCAGTGCTGCGGTCCAACATTAGCATCGGCACACGGCAATCCTCAGACACGAAAGGTAGACATACCACAAGGAACAGGTCGACGTAGTCCAGACCCAGGTCCTTGAGCGACTTGTCGAGACCCAACTCCACGCGTGTGTTGTACGTGGCCCAGACCTTGGACACGACAAAGATGTCCTCGCGCTTGACGGCGCCCGAGTCGATGGCCTCCTTGATGCCGGCGCCGACCTCGGCCTCGTTGCCGTAGCAGTACGCGCCGTCCACCAGCCTGTAGCCGTTCTTGAGCGCGTAGGCCACGGCGTCCTTGACGGCCCCCGGCGGGCTTTGCCACGTGCCTGCCCGGAGGGTGTGGTCAGCACGGGGGTTCCCTCTCCGACGCTGTCGGGGCGCGAGTCCCGGATACTGTACTCACCGAGGCCGACCGCCGGGATCTTGGCGCCGGTGTTGAGGGTGAAGCTCTTGTCGGTCATTTTGACGTAGCGCGATGCTAGTGACGGGTTGGTATCTTGCTTTCCTGTTGCGTGGTTGGAGAATGATGTTCTGTTTGTGAGCCGAATATTCGCCAACCTGCCAGCCAGGAGCCACCTGACGGACATGGAAAGTGGGACAGGGGCGAGGGGTGACATCACGGTCCACGAACCTCTCAAGAGGAAGAGCGCAATCAGAGGGATCGAGGCGAGGGTCCAGTAGCGGGCACGGGGCATCCACGGGGTTTGGAGAAACAGGAGCAAGTCGCGTTGGGTTCGGTGAGCAGAGCAATGACCGGGTGGGTGCTTCTATCTGTCCTGGAACGAAAATGTTCCTTGTACAAACAAATGCCCCTCTTTGCTTCGCGAGGCCCGCCTCGTGCTTTCCCTGCCGGCTAAAGTGGTCCCCTCCCACCATGAAATCCCCCGACGGGCAGGCTATCGTAGGATGTTTGTGTTAGATATCAATTACGCATACTGCTAGGAATGACTCGGCCTCACCTCCTGAATCGGGTTCTGGAACGAGGCTCTCGCGGGGTTTTGACATTTCGATTCCCCATCCCCGCGGGGTCTCTGCGGGTGAACTGGTGAGGTGGAAAAACCTGGTGGCTCCACGCTACGATTCGGGATTGAAATTGACCGAGCTGAGGTCAGGATAGGTCGGCCATCAGCCAAAGCGAGATGACACTTCACGCTGTCTGCTACCGATGGCCGAGGCAAGATACTAATGCAACCAAGGTTAGGTGCTAGTCCTAGACGTCCGGAATCGGTGACGCATCTGTAGTCAGGAACCTGCCGGCTAGAACCCAGCTCACCTCCACGCGAGAATCAGGAACCCCAAAATTTGTGTCAAAACACAACAAAAAAAAGGCCTCCGAGTTTCCTTGTCTTTGTCTAAACACATGCTATTTACTGGCAGATTGGCCCAAGTCTTGGGCCCAATCGCTTGCTCAAGAATTGAGGTTTATGCTGGGGTGATGCTGCAACGGTGATGTACCGCAAGCGGGAATCAAGAATGAGAAAGGGATGATGAGGGCACTATTGGTGGTGGTACAGGGGAAAGGGAACATAGAAAACAATAAAATAAACAGCCGAGAATATCAAAGGGGATGAGAAACACCGCCGCCGCCCATTTCCCGGTAGTAATGCATGATATAACTGGCGTGGTCATGGCCGTCGCCTCTACTGTGGTATTCCGATCCTTGACCCAGTCCCGGTCTATCCAGCGATGAGGACCCAAAGTCTGTAGAAAAAGGCGTCGGTTAGTGATGTCCCGTGTAGCTTATAACTTTGCGAGTGCGAGGGTCTGAGGAGAGGACTCACAAGAAGAATATCATCAGCACGCCAAACATCTTGGCTATCAGCCACCGGTTCCCCGAGACGCGGGACCAGTACTTTAGCAGCTCCCTCTGCGCACCATCAACGTTGTCTACCACGTCCTCGGTGTTGGCGTCTATCCTCTGGATCATCTCGCTCTGCTCCGACACCATTGTGGCCAGCTGACCGAAGATTCCGCCCAGCTCCTGGATGGTCTTCTCGATGGCCTCGATGGCCTCGCCGCGCTGCTGGATGTACATGTTTTGCGGCTGCGCCTCCTCCATCATCAGGAGCTGCTGATCGCCCGCGACGCCACCCGCGGGGCTGTTGGGTCCAGGGTTGAGGCTGAGCAGGTCCACGCCGGGCGATGGCGTCCCCCTGCTCGGGGTGCCGTACAGCGGTGACGCCGAGGCCTGCAGGGCGGGGGCCTGCGTGTGCTGTGACACCGACGAGATGAAGTTCTCTGTCCGAGACCTCGATGCCTGGATGTTCTTGGTGCGCACCTCGAGCACGTCCTTGAAGTTGGCCGACACGTCCGTCAGCTTGCCTTGGAGCAAGAAGACGACATTCTTATTATGCTCGCCCTCCTGGTCCGCCTTGGGATGCTGCTGCCGCGAAAGCTGATGCAGGCCGGATATTTGCTGGTTGAGCGACGACAGATCTTGCTTGATGACCTGGATAAGGGGGTTGCCGCGGGGTCAGTTCCAGTTGCTGGGGACACGAGGCGCAAAGCTATAAACGGGCATCGAAGAAGGAAAAAAGTACTCACAAAAGTCAGCTCGTTGATCTCGACGGGTCTGTCGTCAAACAGCGTCTTCCTCTTAGCAAGCTGCGCCAGCTTCTCCAGCTTGCCCATAGTGGCGGCGATGCCGCGCCCAATCTCGGCAGCGCGACGCGCAAAGTCGGACTTGCGTGGCCGAGCCGAGCCGTTCGCATCGGCCTTTTGCGCGTCCGTCAGGAGCGATCGCCTCTGCGCGCCCACCTTGGCGGTTGCCTGCCGCCGCTGAGCCTGCGCCAAGACCGACTTGAACTCGGCAGTCCGGTCTTGTATCGACGCGACAGCCATCTTGAAGGTGGTGGAAGGGGGTTTCGAGGGGCGAAGCCCTAGGGAGTTGGCGGGGAGTTGCGGAGGCGCGATGGGGAGAGCCCGATCGGGGGTTCTCCCGTTTCGAGTATGACGTCTCGCGTCCTGGCGTGCGCGTATACGTGTGAGAGAGCTCGGGGTCGCGGGGCTTCGATCGTCGTCCAGGGTATTAGCAATCGGCGCTGCCTATGCCTGTGGCTGGAGTGTCTCTGTAGTTCGTAGGTGTGCTTGGATCAGGTCGGTTGGTGTTCTAGGAGTGATGGAGGGCTCTCGCAAGTGATTTTGGTCTAGACGCAATGTGTTTTGTTACGACAGATGACAGGCAGGAAATCGACGTCGTGTCACGAAACAAAGGGACGGGACCGAAGCGGACAAAAAAGAATTAGATAAAAGGGCCTCAAGAAAGAAAATTCACCCTATCTGGTGGTTGAGGAGAAGGGGCCGACAAGGGCGATGTAAAATTACAGCGAACAACACAAAAGAAGTGACGAGTTTGGTTCTGTGACGGTCCCTGATCAGATCTGGCCTGGCGATGATTGAATGGCCAGCGAAGCGGGTGTTCTATTTTCGGCTGCCAATCTCGACTGTCAACCAAGCCACGCTGAGATTTCTGCCTCAGGCTAAAGATAAAGAGGACGTGTGTGGCGGTTCAAGCTGTGAGTGCGCCACAAAGGATGTGTCTCAGATGCCCGCTACATGGCTCAGCCTGAGCTGCAAGTATGAGACAATGAATGAATTGTTAGTCCTGCCATGAATCTGAACCTTCATTCGATAAGCAGGCAACTCAGAATGCACATGAATACACTTCAGAGTAAAACGTGGCCATTGGGCTGGCGATGGTGACGCAGAGATGACTTCCACACAGGAATCTCAACTGTTCGACGCCATCGATATCTGATCTGCTGTCCGATGTCGCCATCTGGAGCATCCATGGATGACGGAATACAGTTCGAACGATCTTGACTGTTTCCATCCAAATGTGCATGGCCTGGAATGGTGTTCTCTCTAGTCTTCAGGCCCGACCCGACACACACGGACCGCAAAGATACCAGACCCTTTTCCCCGTCTCCTGTCAGGCCAAGTTGCGGCAGTCAACCCCACATGGCGGCCTGCACCTCAGCCGCGGCCGCTTTGAACTTTTGTCAGGGGCACCCAAGAGCCCCTGCATGCCCCGGCAGCGTGGCGAGCCTGTCTCCGGTGTAGTCGGGTGTAGTGCTTCCCCATTGGGTTTTCAAGCACCAAACTGTGGTGACCAGGACCTGGTTGGCTCTGGGACGCCCCATCTCAGGTGCACGGCCGGGCATCATGACAGGTACGGGAAGGCGGCAGACAGTGCTGATGAAAATCCGAGCTGCTTGGTCCGACTTCTTGCCTTCTGGCCTGGCGCCCCTCTTGGTTCATGATTTTTGTTGCTCCAGGAAGCCTACCAGCACCCATTTTCCGCCTCAGAATTGGTCACCCTAATTGACCCATGCCACATACCCGCAATTAGGTCACCCACGCGTGGCCGTGGACTTGACGGAACATCTCTAATCTGCAGTCTGAAAACCTGCCTGGCCGCGTCTGTTGCACAGCCGAATCCTCTGCTGCTGATTTGCACCCTCCCATACCGCGCTCGGTCGACGCAGCCCTACACCAACCCGGCACCACACAACGCCGCTGTGGCCTTGGACGGCTGCTCTAGAGACTTTAGTCCGCGTGGCCGGGTGCTGCCGCTCTTTCAGCTCCTAATCCTGCTGCCCCAGGGCCCTACCAGCTAATCTTGGCGGCCCACGACGCACGCACCGGCGCTGCTGCCAGCCGTCCTCCTCGACCGCACGAGACCCGACCGACCGAATCGCCCGCGGCCGAATCTTGCGCGCTGGTTCAGCTCCAAGTGGCCACGGCCGAAAGCCTGTCGCCATGAGGTTGCTACGCGGCAAGTCGGTCCCTGGCCTCAGGTTCATACCCGTGGTGTGCCTCCCGTGCAGGCTCATTCCACCGCGCGCCCTCAAGATAATACTACGCGTCGCCGTCATCATCACCATCGTGTCCGTCGCCATCGTGCTCTACCTGCGGCGAATATGCCTGCTCGGCGGCTACCCGGGCATATACGGCGGGACGTGCTGGAGGGATCGAGCCTACGCCTCGGCCGAGGTCGAGACATACGACCGCTCGCTGCCGAGCCCCGTGCCGACCGTCCACTTCGTTGTTGCCACTACAAGGAAGGAGTGGCTACTCGGGCAGACGGCGTGGTTGACGGAAGCCAACCTGGCCGGCCTGCTGGGCTTGCCCGCGGACAAGGTGGCACTCAAGCGATACGTGGCCGACGACCCCAAGGCCGAGTACCACCCCGTCACAAACAAGGGCCACGAGACGTCGGCGTACCTGACGTACCTCTCGACCCACTACGAGAAGCTACCCGACGTGGCCATCTTTATGCACGCGAGCGAGTTCCCCTGGCACACGGAGCTGATGATGCTCGGGTCCATGTCGTACGTGCTCCAGCGCATAGACATGAACCACATCCTCAAGTACGGCTACACCAACCTGCGGGTCAGCTGGATGAGCGGATGCCCGGACTGGATCAACACGACCATCTCGGCAAAGGACTCGGGGAAGAAGGAGGAGCCGCTCGTCAAGCAGGCGTGGATCGACAACTTTGCGGCCAAGGGCGCGGCGCACAGGAGCGCGCCCGAGATCCTGGGCGTGCCGTGCTGCAACCAGTTCGCCGTGACGCGGGCCGCCATGCAGCGCAATAAGAAGGCACAGTACGACCGCTCGCTCGAGTGGCTGCAGACCACGCCGCTCGACGACACGCTCTCGGGCCGCGTGTGGGAGCACATGTTCCACTACATGTTCACGGGCAAGGCCGTCGAGTGCCCGCTCGAGCGCAAGGCCTACTGCTCGCTGTACAGGATATGCCTCGACCAGGACGACTGGCGCACCTACAGCGCCGCCGTCGAGGAGGACCTCAAGCTTCGACTGTCGCTCATCAGCCCCTACGCCGTCGTCTGGCGCCCCTGGTGGGGCTGGCACTTCACCCGCCGTCTCGAAACGCTAGGCAACACGATAATACGGCTGCGGCACAAGGGCCTTGTGCAGGGCAAGCATGCCGAGGCCCTCCACAGCGTCGGCGACATCTACGCCGAGTGAGCTGGGTTTTGCGGGTCGGTTCGGACCTATTAGGGGGTTCGTTATGATAATGGGGGCTGTCTTTTTCTCTTGCCTGTCTTTTTTGTTTTTATTATCTTCATGTGAATGTTCGGGTAGGCGTGATGGAAACATTCAAAACAACCAGGGTCAGGGGCATAATCCGATGAGTTCACGTTGGCGCTAGAGCAGATGGGGATAGATTTTATTGTACATGAGGCGTTGGTGCACCCTCTGTGGCTCTCGTCACGGCTTCTGTGGACATGGACTGTAGGGAGTCCCCAGGCGTCTGACTCCCGTCTCTTGGTACCCAGATAGAGGCATGTGTTTGTTGTGTATAACCACATTGACTTGGCGGGCAACGGCGAATATGATTTCTTTGGTGGCAGCCATGATGACGTGGTCAATCAAAGTGCTTACAGATAATTCATGTTATTCGTCAAGTTTGTATCGGGCAACCCTCGCTGCCTCGGTACCAGAGCCAAGCATCTCGACGTTGTGCATTTCTCACTGAGATAACGTCATGGATAAATTCATCTCATGAAAGCCACCTCTTTTTGTTTATATTTGCCCACCTCGCTTCAAATGTCGTCAACCCCCGCGTTTCGAACGAGAAACAAGCCCAGTGCGATTCATGTCAAAGGAGGGTCTTTTGAGGCTGATTTGGCCATGGCGTAACACATTTCATCAAGGTGGGAATGTGCAATTTGCCTGGAGAGTTTGGTGGTTAATGTCTAGGTGCCTCGTGTTTTAGGTACAAGATGATGACAGGCACCTCCCAGGTAGACACAACCAGCATGCCACACAGACAACAATGTCTTGCCTATGCCTCGCATCGGCTGCCGGACTGGCCCTGGCTCGTTTCCCTTCCCCAGACATTCGCTAAATCGGGCTCTCATTGGGCCCGGTCAGGGGAGCGACGCGCGTGCTATAGAAAGCAGCGCAGCGGTTGGGAGCGTCCTGCGCCACACACCCACCCACCAGACGTAATGTGCTAGGGTCTGGTGCTCCCCAGTGGGCGGGTGGGTGTTCAAGGCCTGGGGCCGGCTGCAGGAATGGCGAGGATAGACGAATAAACTGGGGTGGCGTGAGGGCCCGCGGATGCTGTATTATTATTTTTTGCCGCCGCTGTGCCGCCCGCCGTTGAGACGATGCGTGAATGCGTGCTCGACCTCGTGCTGGGCTAAGCCTGATCCGATCCCCCTTCCTCAGGCTCTCGCTGTCGAGACCTGCATCCTGCAACGCACAGCCGTCGTCCGCCATCCAAACAACACCGTTGCGCCGCCACCGGAGCTGCACTGCACTGCACGCCCGCACGCTCCATCGCCTCCCAGAACCAATTCCCGCCTCGCCGACAAAAGCGTTCGTTTCGAAACACGCCGTCCGTCAGGGTGTCAGCACCAGCATGTCGCACTAGAGGAGGGGCCTCGAGAGAATCCTGATATACCGCCACAATGAACAACACGTATGGCGGCGCCCTGCCTTCCAAGTGAGCACCCTGGCCTATCCTCTCAAGTCCCCCTATCCGATGCGTCGTCCACGCGACTGCTCTGGGCTCTACTGACAACCGGCGCTGCCTGCTTCCTAGCTCCTCGGCCGCGAACGCGAGCAAGTACCAGACAAACCTCGGCCGGACAAAAACGAAGAAATGGGTGCAGGCCAGCGTCCCCAACTATGACGGCGACGACTGGGGCGACGACTACGGCGACGAGCCTGAACCCGAGCCGGCGCACCCACGTGCCGTCCATCAGCAGACATGGCCATCCCAGCAGCACCCGCCCTCGCTGGCCCCAAGTCTGGGATCGCGGCCTATGCTTCCGTCCGAGGCTCCCTGGACTCCCACAGGGGCACGGAAAATGTCTGGCCCCATGTCGCTTCCTTCACAAGGCCAACAGCAGCCCGGCCCGGCGTTGCCGGCAGAGTCGGACCAGTCGTGGCAGGAGCGCCGCTCGTTCACGACCGGCACAACAGACGCCCTGCGCACCGAGCCTATCCTCTCGCCTACACCGCCAGCAACGACATCAACATCGACGCCTCCGCCTCCGCCTCCGCCGGGCGCAGGGCCGTCCAGCCTTGCCTCTGCCCGAGAGAGGGCGCCGCAGGATGTGGCGCGTACGGCGTCACCTCCCACGGCGCCTCCTGGCGGGCCGCCTAGTGCCCCCCAGAGTCCCGCCACCAAGTTCCCGCCCCGAAAGAGCAGCATGAGCCACAAAGACGGACCGCCCAACGTCGCAAACTTTGGCCCGCTACTACAAAGCAGCTCCAATCCCAGCTCCAAGCCCGGTAGTCCATCCAGGGCCAACAACCCAAGGCCGTGGATGGAGGCGCGTTCGGGTTCACCACAAGGACCTCGATCGCCCCCGCAGACAGGCAAGCCGCTCCCGTTTGTGAGGCCGGCCGACATATACAAGCGGCTAGAGGAGGAAAAGGAGAAGGAGCGCCGTTCACTGGACTCGGGCAGGCCGAGCCTGGAGAGCCTCAGTGCAGGGAGTGGCGGCGACTACCGGGTCGGGTCTCCTGGAGCTGTATCAGATAGTTCCGACCGTGCTAGACGCACCGGTTTTGGCAAAGATGATGCGGCACGCGATCTCTCGCCGCGTGGCCCGAGGCCCCAGGCCGGGCTAGCCACAGTCGCGGAGCGGACCAGCGAGTACGGGCTGGAGGACTACTATGTCGACGCGGGGGTGGTGCTGGCGACGAGTGCAAACACATCCGACGAGGCGAAGAAGCACGACTCTGGACCAGCCAGCACCGTCGACGGCAATCCGAAGCTGAAGACTGCAAACGAATCCAGCAACACAGCCCAGAAGGTACCCGCTTCTGTCCCCGCACCCGCCACAGTTATGACGTCCGTCGCTGCCGCTCCAGCGCCTGCCTCCGCAGCGCCCCAGAAAGCATGTGGCGACGACACAGTGGGAAATAATGTGAACACATCACACACGACCCTCCCCCAACACCGCCTAGCTCAGCAGCAGCCTGTGCCTGACGACAACAGCTCGGTTGCCGAATCAGACGAGGACGATATTCGGCGCTTCAGCACCAGCCCCGTGCTACCCGACTTGTCACGCATGTCTTCGTTTGGGGTCGATATGTTTGGCAACTTTTCATCAGGCGATGAGCTGCAGCCTTCGTTGTCGACCATTTCCGAGCAGCAGCCACAACCTCCCGCCGAACGGGGCATGGCATCGCCGCCGCTCTCACAGGTTCAGCAGAGCTCGTCATCACCGGCTGCTTCGTCCAGCTCCACCACGCCTGCGCCAGGCCCCCAGGGTGCCGCCGTAGTGCCGGCGCCGCCCACGGACACAAACAGTCATGCCGTAGAAACGACTGGCTCTGCTGCCGATGCCGGGGCTGCTGCACAAGCTATTGCAAAGGACCACTCCGACACTCGCTCCGACACTCCCCTCTCTTCGGCCTCTGACCTCTCGGCGGCTCCACAATCTCGGGAACCTGCAGACAGCGCCCTGCCACGTCCCGTAGATGAAGCCAGCGCGGCAAAACTGCCCATCACCCCATTAAAAGAGAGTGCCTCTCGCAGTCCTACGGCCGTCCAAACCTCTGAAAAGCAGACAGGCCCAGCGGGGAATCTGATCGGCTCTCGCACCGAGCTCAAAGCACCTCAAGCTGCTGCTGAAGACATGCAGTCCCCCATCTCGTCTAAGGAGGGTAGCCGCAGCAGCACTCCTCGAAACGATATGGCTGCTGCTCCTCCACCTGTCTCATCCCGGTCCCGATCGCAATCTCCTTCCAAGGTGCAGGCGATGATCCAGGCAATGAATCAAGCCAACGCAAAGGCGGCTGGCGTCCCACAACAGAGCGGCAAGGTGTCGTCCGGCGCCAGCTCACCTGTGGCTCCTGTGGCACCGCAGCCATTGCAGGCAATGCAGGCACCAGCAGCCGTGGCGCCCCCTGCTCCACAGCGTGCTTCCCCTGCCCTTCCAGAGCTCGAGCCGCTCGGGCCTGTAACGCGGACATCGACATTTACCACTACGGCAACAGAGTCCCCCGTCAAGGAGAGCGACAAGCTGCGGGAGGAGATAATGCTCTCTCTCAGCCCTCAGCAAGGGGGTGGGGAGTTTACCAATGGCAAAAAGAAAGGCCTAGAGGCTGTCTCCAGCGGAGTTCCCCGAGAGAGCACCTACCTGGGGGATGTTTACGACGATTATTATGGCGGGCATGATGACAGCACTGAAGAGCCAATCTCTGAAAAGGCTGCAAGTGACAAAGTGGAGGGTACAGCGAACGAACCCTCTTCGCCTGCACCGATGCCCAAACCTGTCCAAGGATTGGGCGATGTCCCTCCCCTGAACCCGAGCTCGATGAGTCCTCGCCCATTGAGTCCCCGCAAATCGCAACCCTCTGTCCAAACCCCAGCCTTGAAGCACAGGTTCTCGTGGGAAATGGGAGAGGAACAGGTGGACTCGCCTGCTGAGGCCAAGCAGTCCATTCCTGCACCAGCCGTCGCAGCGACCACGGAGGCTTCTGCGGACAAGGCAAAGCCCGAAGAGCCGGAGCCAAAGAGCCTAAGCATCGTCCCGCCCACCCAGCCGCCTGCCCAACCGCCGTCCTCGCTTATGGGATCCCCGCTATCTCCTAGCGAATCGAACAGTGACATCAACCCTATCTCCTCTGGTGCCACCAATACTTCTCACTCGGTCTCCGAGGCGAGCACCCTGCCCCCTGGAAAGCTCCTTTCTGCCATAGAACTACCTTCACCCATCTCCGTACGATCTGATGAGCAGAACAAATCGGCAAATGAGGGCCCCTCGGCCCGCACCCTGGCTGAGGAGAAGAAACTGATGACGAGCACATCAAGTCCCATCTCCCCAACACCCCGAGAGGAGCACCCTGCGTTCTTGGATGCCCCAACACTCGCCAGCGCACCTGCCGTAGGGGAAACTGCAGCTTCTCCGACCGAGACGACGCCAACTGCGATGGGCCCGGTGGGCGGAACACTGGAGCCGACGACCGTGGCGCCGACGTTGGCTGCAACGGCACCCACGCCCACAACGGCTACCCCGACGGGACCAGGGATGCCGCAGTCGCCAACTGCGTCGCCTGCATCCCCCATCCTGGCCAAGATAGCGCCGTTTAAAGAGATCATGGCACTACCGACGGCCGCCCAGCGGATAGAGCGCCTGGACGAGACCAGGAATATATTCTCCAAGATCGACTCGGGGCTCGTCTCGTGGCTGGTGGTCATGACGCAGGTGCCCGAGAACTCGAACGCGTCGTGGTCGCTCAAGGACAACATCACCAACGAAATGCTTGCGGCAGGGGGCCAAAAGCCGGGTCATCATCAGCCTGGACATGGCGCCACGGCTACCAATAGCGGCGGCGGCGGCGGCGGCACCCGGCCCGTCAGCGGGCTCGCCTCGGGGTCGCAGTTCACGGCGGCTGACTTGCGGCACTCGGGCAAGGAGGTGGGTGCCAAGGGCAAGGAGTTGCTCATGGCGGGCGGCAAGGCTGCCAAGGGGCTGTTTAGCAAGGGCAAGAGCAAGTTCCGTGCTTTTGACCGTTAAGCTGTTCTGCTTGTTGTATTCCACCTCGGTGTGTTTTTTTCTGTCGGTAACGGAACCGGGACGCTGTGTAGTCTGTCTGAACTTTGCCACGTTGTTTGGAGATGTCGAGTGTAGCCACATCTCGCTAGGCAGTCCTAGGTCGGACTAATGCTGTTGTTATAGTCTTTGAAACGGATGGCAGGGCTGTTCTTCCGTTCTATGTAACTTTCTTTTTCCTGAGCTTGTTTGTTGGCTCTATCTTTCGGTCCTTTGACGAAGACCAGGAGCCTTGCTGGACTGCGGATATTTCACGCTTTTATTTCCCGTAATACCAATTACCCCTGCCCCTTGTCCCGTAGCATCACACATAGTGCCACTAGCCACCACTACCATCGACCTAGGGATAGCATCTATTGCCGCCGCACGCGAGAGGCGCAGACTAACACAGAATGTTTGAATGTTTCCAAATCTTGCGTCGCTGTTTGGTCCTTCCTAGTACGACGGCCCACGCGCGGTGACATGGGTAGATCCAGCCTCCTCCCTGCGGGCCGCTGAGGAAACGATGGCACCAGAACCAACGGGCGAGTGGGTGGTGAGATGATGTAACCCGAATGCAACCCTAGCAGCGCGCTGTGCGCCCTTCTCTTACAAGACACGAGCGACATCTCCTCGGTTTCTCCATCGCCACGCGCGGTGCCCCTCCTTTTTTATTTGCGCCTTTGCTTTTCCCTCTCTCTCTTGCAGTCGCAGCGACTTTCCATGTCTCCGCTCGCACAAAGACGCACGCCACGACTCGGAACCCCATCCATGCCAGCCTCGATCGTGGACCGCCCCCAAAAATAGCGCCGAGCACGGAAGAAACGACACAGCCAGCGACGAAGCGGAGGAGGGTGGGCCGCCCCAGTTTGTCTTGAAGATCGAATCCACAGCGACATGGCCTGCCAGGCTCGCAACCGACGATAGTGAGCGGCCCACTAACAAGATAGAAAGAAGAAAAAGACGGGCTGTGGTGAGGCGGGAGTTTATGAATGTTGGAGACACGACAGCTGGAAGCAGTGTATTCTGAGTACTGTGCTCTGATAACTGCCACACAGCTTCCATCTCACAAGACCATGCACCAGACCAGCCGTCATATAAGCTCCGGCTTCAGAATCCACCTCATCTACCCACACACCTATATCACAGCGTCACGGTCTAGCCCCCGCTCCACTCGTCCGCTTACGTGCGCCCTCTGCGGGAGCTGCAGTCGATAGTCAGAGTCGAGGTTGTGTGGTGCGACAGCCCAGGTGGCAGGAAAGGCCCCCAATTTCCATCAGTAATCGTGGTAATATAATAAGGACGGGCAGGCAGGGCAGGACAGGGCACACGGCGAACAAGACAGCGCGGCCAATGTCCAGCGTTCCCTGCTGCTGGGCGCAACTTTCGTGGGACCCTCCTTGCTCCTCGCGTCCGAGGATCGCCTGTCCCTTGGCGCCCCCGTCAGCTCATCTCTCGCCGACCCACCGAACCGACTGGCTTTTTTGTCCCCAGGCTTGTTTAGCTCGACGCAGCCAGGATCGGCCGCTGGTTGGTGCCTAGGCCCGCCCGTTTTGATTTTTCTTCTTCTGGCTGTTAAGCTCGCCATGTCCGTGCCCTTGGCCGCTCACAGGAACAACGCCGATGGGTCTGGTGGCCTCGCCCTACGACCCCAGCAATTTGATCCAACGCCTAGCGGCGCTGGTGGCTTTCACGAGCAGTATCACCAACACCGTCCTTTAGGGCGCGAGGTAGCAGCAGTAGGAGAAGCAGAAGCAGAAGCAACCACAGCAGCAACAACAGCAGACACACCTGCTGCTGCTCGTGGCCACGAGACGACGGCACCTCTCCCTCCGTCCACATACAAGCCGCCGCCGCCGCCGCCGCCCTCCCCACCGACGACAGTGCCCACTGGAGCTGGCCTGCAGGCAGTCGCGGCAGGGGGCCCCATCCCAATCTCCGCCTGCGCTGCAGCCGCTGCGGCTGCCTCCACTGGCCCGCACGGCCCAGAGCCATCATCCCAAGCGTCCTCGCGGCTGGCCCCGTCCGAGCTCGAGCACGCCCCCAGGTCCAATCCGTCGCCGCCCGATTCCCCGCGACCATCACTGCAGTCGCCCGCCGAGCCATCAGCGAGCCGGCCGCCGTCGTCGCCAACCACCGTCGACGACTCGTACTTCTCCCCATTCCAGTCGCCAACAAGCCTCCAGCAGCAATTGCGCTGCCGTGAACTGTCCACCAAGCCCAAGCTCCATATCCCCCGCTCTCGGCTGGCCAGCAGGCAGAGCAAAAGCTCTCACCAGCCCTCACCCTCCTCCACCTCCACTTCTGCCGCCGCCACAGACGACGACAACACCCCCGTCGTCCCAGTCGCACTCCGGACGCGGGCTGCCCCCAACACCCATCGGGCCAGTCCTCGCCAAGTCACACGCCCTCCTCTGGGATCCGATCAGAATCCCCCGACACCCACATCCCCAGCCGCCGCCCTCCCGGGATCGCCTGACGCGCCTCCGCAGCCGCCGGCCAGATCCAGCGCGCGGCCGTCCGTCGCGTCGCCCGCACCACCGGCAACCCCTATCTCCGCGCGCCCTCCCGACGCTGCCGAGTCGGACGACGACAGCCACGACGACAGCCACGACGACAACGACGAAGCAGCCGACTCGTCGGACGCCGATCAAGAATCGCGCTCCTCGGAGGAGGAGTGGACGCTCGTGACGCCGCAGTCGGTCGAGCTGACGCCGGCCAAGGGACAGCAGGTCCGCATCGCCGCGCCCCGCCGGGGATCCGCCACCATGATGATGCAGGCGGCGCAGAAGCAGCAGCCGCCGGCGGCGGTGGCGCCCGCGCAGCGCCAGGCCACCATGGACGCGCAGTCGCTGTACGACGGCCAGGGGTGGGGGAGCCCGCAGCAGCAATACGTGCAGCACATGGCCCAGGACCACCAGATATACGTCCAGCAGCAGCATGCCCATCAGATCGCTCATAATCAGCAGGTACATGCGCAGAACCAGCAGGCATATGCACAGCAGCAGCAACAGCAGCAGCAGCGACAACAACAACAGCATTATCAGCCACAGCCACAGCAACAGCAGCAGCAGTCGCCGCCGCACCAGCCGCACCCGCAGCAGCAAATACCGCAGCAAGTACCGCAGCAGTATGGTCAGCCTATGCAACAATACCAACAACTCCAGTACCAGCAGGCGCCGCAGCAACAACAGCAGCAACCTCAGTTCCAGCAGTTCCAACCCCAGCAGCAGCAGCCCCAGCAGCAGCAGCCCCAGCAGCAACAGTTCCAGCTGCCGTCGCATCAAATTCAACAGCAACAACAAAGTAACCGCGAGGGCGGCCCAGAGCGCCAGACATCCTTTATTGGCCTACCCCTAATACGACGCAGCTCAACTTTTGGCGCATCATTGGGCAGGTCGCATGAGGATTTCAGGGGCATCACTGGGACACCCAGCCCAGATCCTAGCCAGGGTGGGCAAAATCTTTCTTCTCATGGGATTAACAATGGCAACAGCAATGGAAACCGACCTCCGTTCCCCAACATCCCCATTCCGCCGATTCCCCAAGACCCCGAGCCTGGCACAGGCACCCAGCTGAGCTACACGCAGACGCCCTTGAACACCTACCGGCCGCAGTTCCCCTACAACCCGCCGGGCCAGACGGGCAACTACCAAATACAGTCGCCTGTTGGCCAGCCGGGCAACTATGTCGAAGGCGGGTGGTCGTTGCCGACGCCAGTAGCGACGAACCCACCACCAGGCCAGTCGTTTGGCGGGCGACAACAGCCCCAGCCTCAAAGACTGGAACTGCAACAGGCCCAGCCGGCCGCACCAGCGCAACAGCGGACAAACGCGGGTCCTCCACCCAGCATGAACACCGCGGGCAACGGCGCACCTCAGAATACCCCTAGCCAGGAGACACAGCCGCCCGTCAAGCGTGTTCCTGTGTTCAACCCTCCGATCAACAACGGCAACCCAGTCCAGAGACTGCCACCGACCGGCGCCGGGGGGACGGGCTGGAAGCTGGAGGAATCGCGTCTCTCGGAGCCCCTAGTGGTGAGGTCGCGCCCCTCGGGAAATAACTTGGGAGACCAGTACGCCCTAGACAAGGAGACGGGCGCGCCGAGCAGAGTATCAACATCACCACCGGACTCGCCGGCACGCCTGCCCCCTGGGAGCAGCCAGTCGGCAGCCTCATCGGTTCCAGGACAGCCGCACCAGCTACAGCAGATGCAGTATATGCACCAGCAGCCTTCTTCGCCCGTATCGCAATTTAACCCCCAGCAGCCTGCTCCTGGTCCCCAGCCCATCGCGCAACCGGCGCAACAGCAGGTCAACACCCTGTCCCCCTTGCAGCCTCCAAACCCACACTTTGTTCATGATGGCCTCGGTCGTGTTAGAACTAATGACTCGACCCTTTCGGGGTCAGAAGGCCGCGCGTCGAGCTTACTGGGCAACCTACGCAGCAAGTTCCATAGCGCCGGGCCTGACGGAGCACAACCGGGTGCTATCAGGACTCAAGGTGACAACGTCTCACTCGCCAGCATCGGGAGCGGGGATCTGCCGAGCAGCCCCAAGAAAAAGACCCGCAAGCGTTCGTCGCTGTTTGGACTGAAGGGAGATGGTGCGAAGGGTGATGATGCGCCACCAAGCAGCAAGGAGAGCATCATCGCCCACTCCTCGCATAGCGCAGATCCCAGGCAGGCTCCCGCCGTGCCGGAGAAGAAGCAGGGGTTCTTCAACCGTGTCAGCACTGGCCTTGGTGGGACTTCGATGGAGCAGCCACCTAGCCAGCCGCCTCGTACTCAAACGCAACCAGGGCCCCAGCCTACCGGGTTCCCAGGAGAGCCCAACGCGCAGACTGCAATGCCTCAACAGTTTGGTATGCCGCAAATGCAGACACCGACGCAGATGCAGAACCCCGGTCTGCCCCGCACTTCGACCTCGGAGGTGGCCCCGAACGGCATGCCACAGCCTCAGGCCGACCAGATGGGTCAGCCTACGCACCGCTTCAACAAGCTGACCAACTTCCTCGGGGGCGGCGGCGACGGCAACAAGCACCAGCACCAGTCTCAGGTGCCAGCTCCTAGTATGGGGAACTCGCTTCGACCTGTCCCTGAAGGCCTACCCCTGAGCCAGTCTCCGTATAATTCGGGTCCTCAGCCCGGTTTGGGCGGGCCTCAACCAGGCGGCCCTAATCAGCAGCAGCAACCAGTTGGGCCTCAGGGACAGCAGCCTACCGGTTCCGGGCAGCAGCAGTCTGCGATGCCTGTCTATCAGCAATCACAGCGCCCGGGCCCGCCGCCTGGAGGTCAAGTCCAGCAACCACAACAGGCGTCACAGCAGCAAAACCCTGGGTTCCAAGGCCCTCAGCCTGGCATGCCTGGACCTGGCCAGAACGCGGCAATGCCAGGCTCTGGACTCGTGGGCCCTGCCGGCCGGGAGCGGAGCAGCACGGTCGGCTCACGCCCGATGACGTCGGGCATGCCGTCTCAGGCACCCGCCGATCAGGGGCCGCCTGGAAGGACGTCGATGAACCTGGCTCCCCAGCTCGCCAAGGCTCAGGCGCCGTCCATCGCCGAATCCGACCGTAGCCGAAGGGTGTCTGCCGGAAACATCCTGTCCGGAATCTTCGGTAGGAAGGGGCCAAAGGCGCCCAAGGCGCCCAAGGACAATAGGCCTCAGCCAGGCACCATGGTGCCCCTTAGACAGTCTGGCCCTATCAAGCAGCCTCAGCCGCAGCCTCAGGTGCAGACACAGCAACAGCAACCTGGACAGCCAGATAACAACGCCCCAGGGCCTCGGGGCGCAGGTCCCCAGAGCCCGGGAGGAGGCCAAACGCACATGGTGATGGTCAGGACACCTGACGGCCAGACGATGATGGTGCATTCGTCATTCCTGCTACAAATGCAGCAGCAACAGCAGCAACAGCAGCAGCAGCAGCAGCAGCAGCTACAGCAGCAACAACAACAGCCACAGGGTGTCCAAGGTCAGCGTCCGAACCCCGTCGGCCAGCAACCACAGCCTGGCGCGCCGCAGTCACAATCGCCCCCTGCCCAGTGGCCTCTTGGACAGCCACAGCAGAAGCTTCCTGTGCCTCAGCAACAGCTTCCCGTGCCTCAGCAGCCTCCGCGGGAGCAGCTGCCTGTGCAACAACAGCAGATGCCGGCGCCCAGGCCAGGTCCGGGACAACAGCCCCAGCCGCCCACCCAAGAGCGGCAGTCGCCTCAGCCTTCTGTCGGCTCGGACCACCGCACGCTGCCGTCGCAAATGGGTCAGGCACAGCCAAGCAGTCCGCTGCAGCCGTCGTCGCCCACGATCCAGTCACTCCAACATCCGACACGGAAGCCAGTGGGTTCGTTGCCGCGTGAGTCCGGCGAGGCTGGTAGTCCTGTCGATAGCATGGGACGGGCGCGGGGCGTTTCTGTCACGTCGTATGACCAGCACCCGCACCTCGCCGCCCACGCATCTCCTCCTCCGCAGCAGGCAGGCCACGTCAGGAGGGTTTCCACTCCGTCGATGCAGAACAGCCCGCCCGCCCAGCCTGCCAGCGTTGCCGGTCCCCAAGGGACGTCAATTCCCGAGAACCCCTCGGCCCAGGTCACCCCGTCGACCACCCCTGCACCACAGCAGGCTCTCCAACGCCCGCAAGGCGGGGGTCAGGTTCCTTCGCCTTTGCCCAGTCCCGGCTACCCGCCGCAGGGCGGCATGCAGTCGCTGCAGTCCACGCCCCAAACGGCTCCGGTGGTCTTGGCAGGTCAGCAGCGGAATGCTGGACCTCAGCCGGCGCAACAGCCGCCCCAGCCGCAACAAGGCCAAAGGCCGGTTGCCCAGCCTATGGGCCACCCTGTGGTCATGCAGCAGAACCCGCACCTCCAGCAACAGGCGCTGCCGGACCAGTCCCCTCCGATCCCGTGGCAGACCAACAACGTCCAGAACAGCGCTCGGCCTGGGCAGGGCCCCAACGGGACACCGCCGGCGGAGCACCAGAGCACCCTGTCCAAGTTCTTCAAGGGCCCCAAGCAGCCACAGCAGCAAGGCCAGCCCAAGACCAAGAAGAGCATCTTCGGGTTCAAGTCGTCCAAGTCGTCTGAGCCTCCGGCCAAGTCCGACTCGCCGCCTCTGGGGCCACCGCCTGGCGGTCCGCGATATGGCGACAACCCTCCACGTATTTTCGGGCAACCGATCAACGGGGGTACTCCGCAGGGCATTCCCCAGGGCGGTCCTCCCTCCCAGCCCGGCCAGTTCCAGCCAGTTCCGCTGCAGCCCGGTCAAGCGGCTCCGCCGAGCCAGGTCCAACAGCCTGTTCCAGGTCGTCCTTCCCCTCCTCAAGGCGCAGTTGCAAACCAGAATGGGTCGCCCAACCCATCCGTCCAAGGGCAGTCTCAGTTTGCACAGCCACCGCCGCAACCGCAGCAGGTACAGAGACTCCAAGGCCAACAGTCGCAACCCAGCGGGCCAGACGGAGCACTGCCGTTCCCTCACTCGCCCGCCATGTACCACTCACCCGGCGCCGTGCCTCAGCCTCTCTTCCAGGCCCAGCCCAGACCCGGGCTGCAGCAGAAGGCGCCTGCGCGCTCCTCGGAGCCCACGTACGAGTCCGTCCCCGTCCCGGCCGGTTATGCCAAGGTGCACAGCGAGGGCCGGGTGGCGCACAACTCTCCCTATCTGGTCAACCATGGACAGGGCTTCCAGCCGCAGTACCCGGGACATCCGGCAACGGCCAGCCCGCAAAACACTCCGCCGCAGCCCCAGGGGCCGCAGCAGCGTGCGCTACAGGGACAATTTGCGGACGGCAGCACTCCCCCGATGCCCCCGCCGCAACAGTCGACGGGAAGCTACCCACTGGGCATCCACAGCCCGTCGCCGCCTGGACAGAGCAACGGCCAGTTTGGAGGCCAGGCTGGCGCGTACCAACAACAAAACGCGCAGTTTGCAAACCAGAGCCCGGAAGGCCAGGGTCAGCAGTACCTTGGCCACTCTATTACGCCGTCCCTGTCGGGTGGCACGTTCATGAGTCCCTCAATGATGGGAGAAAATGCTTTCAACGGGACCCCGCCACAGCAGCACGGCTCTCACCACCATAGCTCGCAGGGTGGCTCACCGGCACCGGCAACCTCGCCATATGGGCCACCTCAACAGCAACAACAGCTTCCTGGGCAACAACAACCAGCCCATGGGCACACTCCGCCTCCGTCGTCCGCAGTCAGCAACGTCGCACCGTCCGGCGCTTTCCAGCCTGGCAGCGGACGGCCGTCACCAGCTCGCTCGCCTGAGTCTGTGCAGACGGCAAATTCGACGCCACCGCCTCTGATACAGCACCCCGGCTCTCCTCACGGCTACCCTCTCCCGACCTCTGCTACGACCTTTTCGCCCGTCAACCCTGCCGCGAGCCAGATGCCGAATCCGCCACTGCCACAGGCGGGAATGGCCGAGACCGCGCCGGGTTTTCCTCACCAGCTGTTGCAAAACACACAGCCACCGCAACGGCAGCCCAGTATGGTCAGCCATGCCTCGTCGGTTGAGCAAAACGGGTCTGCGAACATTGTCTCGCGGATGGTCAGCGGTGCAGGAAACGAGGGCTACAGCAGCATGGTCGTCTCGTCTAACGAGACGTCGCCCGCGCCGGAGCAGCACGCGATGATGCGGCCCATCAACCCACATCAGGCCAACCAGGTCCGCGGCGCCGAAGAGGAGAACATCTACGATGCATCACCTCGCCTGCCCGTGACGCAGGCCCCGTCGCCTCCGGCAATGCAGGCTCCTGTAATGCAACAGCACCAGCACCAGCAGCCCGAGACATCCCGCTCCAGAACCGCATCTCCTCCCACCCAGGCTCCCCACGTCGCGCCGGTGCCTTCACAGCCGGAGCCGGAACAGAAGACCCTCGGGGCGGTCGTGATCCCACCGTCGCCCGGCAGCGAGACGCCGCCCTCGCCTATCGACGAGGAGCACCGGGCCGCGCTGCGGGCGGCGGGCAGCGAGGCGGACCGGCAGCACCTGAGCGTCGAGGGCGGCGAGCTCGGGCGCAAGCCGACGATCCGGGCCACGTCGGCGGAGCAGTTCGAGGAGGCCAAGCGCAGGCAGCTGCTGCGCGACCTCGAGGAGAAGATCCCCGTCGTGATCCAGGAGGACGAGCCCCTCGCGGCGCCGCACAGGGAGGAGGACGGCGGCGCGCCAAAGATGAGCGCCACCAGCTACCCGGGCCAGGAGTGGAACCCGTACGGCGACTTTGAGAACTGGGAGGAGTAGTTTTGGGGTGTGTCTGAATTTTTTTTATTTTTTTGTTCCATTTGTTTATCTATAATGTCCATGTGTCTACCTCATCTCCCGTGTCCGTCTATTCTGCCATCTGCTCTCGCCGTCTCCTTTTCTGTTGCTCTCCCCAAAACAAAATCTTTGATCACATGATATCTTCACAACTATTCACCCCGCGGCCGCACATAATCTGCATATATGCACTGCCCGTCGGGCGTGGCTGCGTTTCATTTGTCTGGTTCTAGTGCTATTTTGTGTATTTTGATGAAGGAATAATGGATAATATACAAGTAGCTAATGCTCGAGATGTGCTGTCCAGCAGAACCCAATTCCCGACGTGTATGTCTCTCCTCGTGGCAAATGGCAGTAGCCCAGGCAGGCAGGGAAATATTGATTAGTCGGGGCTGACGGGCAGTTGCATCCGAGCCAACCATTTTTTTCCTGTTGCTGCAATGCAGTCCGGATTCCACGGCTTCCCATGCTGCCCGTCTCCCCACGCAGACTGAACGCAGTCGGGTTCGGTGTCTGGATTCTTCCTCTGGACGCACGGATCGGTGAATGAAGTGGGAGAGGATAAGTGTGGACGCGTTGCAATGGAAGAGGAGGGCCTCTTTCTCGCTTCGAGTTGCCAGCTGCCTCCCCCACCCACCCACCCACCCACCCACCCAACATGCAATGCAAGTCCAGACGAACCGGGAAAGCAGGACGAGCTTGGCGTAGGAAATGAAAGACCGCGAGAGAGATGGGTTAGAGAGTGAGGTGGCAAGAAGGCAACCAACAAAGAGGAGGGACTGGACGGGCTTTGCTGATGTGTCATGAACCGCGCGACTGGCAGCTATGACGGCAATGTTTCAGGAAATGATGAAAAAGAAAACACACAAAGAGAAATGAATAAAAGAAAAAGGGCCACAAATCTGCCTCGTCCGTCCCCTTGTGCCTTGCAGCAAGATACCTTCCTTGCTTTGGCACCGTTGCCCTGTGGGTGAGGTGTGTGGCATATACCAACGACGATGGGGCAGGAGCATGTGTGTGCGTGTGTGCGTGTGTGTCTCTGCTGGCGGGGGCCCTGGGCAGTCGTCAGAGGCGCAGCGTGCCACTTTACTTTTTTTTTCTTCTTTTCTCTTCATCCTAGCCCCTGGGATTGCCCATTATTAGTCCAAGTTGATTGGCAACGAGAGGCTCATCGATTGACTTGCGAGGGACACGGAGGTGAGCCCTGTAGCCTGCCCAGCCAAGGCAGGCATGATGGTAGGCACTCGGGCTAGACGAAGGAGGGGGAGTGTGTCTAGGCACAGTGCACATACAGCAGACTAGGCAGGTAAGTGCATGGCGCTAATCTTGCTGGTACTTTTTTTGCGGCTGCTTCTTCCCACTGTTCGACGCTTGTCGCACGACGTGAGGATCCGGTCCGACTGGGCAAAGCATCAAGAACGGAGGGGAGGGCAATGGTGGTCAGCAGCAAACAAGCACGGTGCGGTGCGCGACGCAGGGGGGTTGGTTCCAAGCATACATACCTGGACGACGCGCGGGAAGGCGAGGTCGTCGGTCCGCCTCACCCCGTCAGCCAGATGTCGAAACCCGACAGTGACAGCGAAAGGGTCTTCTTGGTTTGCTCTTCCCAGGGTGCGGGTTATGTAGGCACAAGAGACAGGTTACGGCACCCTAGGTCAAAGGCACCTGTTTGGCAGCGTGGCGAGGGCCCTTCCAGGGTCCCCACCGTTGCCCAGCTCAGCAGAGGTATTTGATGGAATGGCCTAGCCCGAAGGCAGAGAGGGAGGCAGCCAGGGCCGATCCCCCTCGAGAGTAGGTACTTAGCCGAATTGCATGCAGGTCGTGGGTGCGTGATGGCTCCGGTGATTGCGGCTGCAGGAGGGGGAGAAACGTCAATCCCCAATGGTTGACGTGACATGGCGCTCGCTCTCGATGCTCTCCTTGGACCGGGCCTCTTGTCGGGGTCCGGCTCAATTTGGCTGTGCATGTGGTTTATCAACTCTGCAGCCACGCTCACTAGCCCATGCCCACCTCTCGGTTCTGGTTCTGATGGGTACCCGAAGATAATGCCTGATTGGTTGCCTTATCATGTCTTGGAATTGGCGGACGACAACGCAGCCACAACGCCGTAGTTCGCATTTTTGCAGCCCTTGTCGTTCATGTCAACGGAAAAAGGCAACCAACCATCCACTTTGTCAGCTGATAGAGGTCACGTCCATCTCGAGACACCGACAAAAACGGAACGAGGGAAAAAAACACAGCACATACCCCTACGACACGGCATGCAGAACGTACTTTCCGACGGCGCCGCATAGATTAATTTGCTGCAAGTCCGCGTCCTCTCACCTCTAAGCTGCCGGCCGCAGCAGCGGAATTCTTGCCACCCGCAGCTCGGCTCAGCAGACGCTGCACTCCTCAGTGGTCAGCATCGGGAGCTGCCATCGCGAGGAGGGCGCCATTGGCGGCCACCCTCCCACTCACCAGCTCGCGGTTGGGTAGCAGCGCCAAGTGGTAGAGAAAGATATCTATCGTCGGCAGGCAGGTACTTTCCGAGATAAAGGGTGTAAGGCCAAGGTGAGGCGAGGGCCAGGTCGGTGTGTGTGTTCTGCTTGTGCTGCCTTGCGACGTGTCGGGCCTTGTTGGGCCGCTCGTCTGGCGTCTCGGCGGCTTGATGACAAGCAGAGAGCCCCGGCTGGCGGCTCCTCCTCACCTCTCTGCCCACCACGACGCCGACTGCCTTGACCTGATCAGCCCGGATCGGGCGCAGCAAGCCATCGACTCGACCACAGAGCGTGTACCTCGGAGCGCGTGGCACTGCCGGTTCTCCAAATCACGGGACGCTGCTCCTTGCTTTGGCCAGAGATCCCCGTCTTTCCTCAACCGAAGTGGGAAGCCTGCAGGCCGGCGACTGCGGTGCCGTTTCGGTTGGTGAGTCGAGTCTCCACCGTATTCCCGTCCATGTGCTCACCAGCGAAGCTACCCCTGCTCTCCCCTTTCCCTTCCGAGCCGCAGGACCTGTCACCTACATCCAACCTTCAAAAACTCCCCGTCAGCACCACCCACAACACTTGCTTCTTCTCCCTTGGACAATAAAGTCCGTTTCCCTTTTCTGCCCTTTTGCTTTTGCAGCCGGCGACCCACCAATTCCATGCCTTGCTTCGGTCTCTAACATTTGGTTGGTCGGGGTCTCGGGTAGGCAGTAACATACTATGAGCCGCTCAGAACATACCATGTGGGACAGGACTGGGGAAAGCATGTGCGACCAGCCAGAAGAAGAAAAAGAAGAAGGACAAGAGCATCAGCAGCAGCAGCAGCAGCAGCAGCAGCCTCTGCTCGAGGGTTCTGCGGCCGCCAACGCCGACAGGCCGCCACCCCTAGTCGAGCAGAGGCGCTTGCCAGGAGCGGGCCCTGTGAGGTCACAGCCTTGGCCGCAGCCCCAGCCGCAACCACAACGACAGCCGCAGCACCATTATCAGCAACAGCACCCGCTGCCGCCGCAGAGACAGGGCCACAATGTGTTTACACCCGCCAGGCGGCCCCCCACCGGTCCAGCTGCCGGAAGACTACCCCCGCGTGGTCCCGCGCCGCGCCCACCAGCTGGTATTCCGAGGGCCTTTGAGACGCCACTTGACTCGCGTGAGTTGACCACCCGTATTGCCTGCCAGACAGAGGAACGCTTGGGAAGCAAACATCTGACCAATGCCACGCATATCGCCATCTAGGCTTCGCCCTTGTCGAGAAGCCGAAGCGCTTTTTCACCGTCGGACGCATCTTCAAGACGGTCTGGTTCGAGCCAGGCGGCACCGCCCTGGCCGGCACGCCTGGGTCGCTCGGCCCCGGGCAGCAGCAACGGCAGGATGTCGACTATGCGCAGGCTTGCCCGGCGTTCCACTCGGAGAAGCCGCACGCAAAGTTCCGGTGGTTCGTCGTAGTGCGGCGGCGCCTGCACCACTCGCTCTGCTTCTCCATCACCACCTCCAACAACGGCCGCAACAGCAACAACGGTGGCGGCAACATCCCCGGCGGCCCGCGGCAGGGTGTGCGGGGAAGGCCGAGGGACTTTGTGGTGCTGTACTCGGCGGCGGCGGCGGCGGCTGGGACGAGCGGCGAGGCGCCGACGGGGCCGACGCCCAGGCCGCCCTCGCCCATGGAGGGCGAGGGCATTGACAGGGCCCCGCTCGGGGTCATCATCGAAGACGGGGCGCAGGCCATCTCGCCGCTAGCGCGGCTCGACTGCGGGCGCATCTACACAGTCGAGGACAACGTCAAGGTCATGAAGATTGGGCGCATCCATACGGACGGGCTAAAGAAGCTGGACGAGTACTTCAGGGAGTCGGTCAGCTGAGCATATGCATTGTGGGCCGTTGATGTTGTTGGCTAAAAGCCAGGTGACGGAACTGGAGGCATCAAATTTGTTGGAGGCGTTTGTGATTTGTGGCAACGGCGGTTGGTTGGGCCCTTGTAATTTCCCCGTGTTTCTGTGCAGTTCTTCCTTCTGCTGGCCCAACTCTAACCAAAGACAGAGACAATCAAATGCTATTAACTGCACAGACGTCCATGTGACCTCGTCGGCGTCGAGTGTCGCTGCCCAATCTGACGGCTGGGGTGCGTGTGCGTGGGGCGTCGAACGACTTGGGCGGCGCCCGCTATAGCCCACCAGCATCTCGTAATATCGTAATAGTGCCAGGACTGCACCACGAAAACCAAAAGCTGGCACTATCAGGTATCAGGCCACCGTGGGAAAGCTGTGCAATGTGCGGACCCGCGGCGCTGCTGCCTTTCGTTCTTGGCGTCTTGTGCTTTGCGTTTTGTGTTTTGGTAGCGGTAATGGTGCGACCCTGCCGGTGTAGCGAGCCGGGCTTGTTTGTATTCTTCCTTTGTCAAGGTCATCATGCAATCCCGCCATCGAGATCTCCAAATTTGAAGCCTGTCCGAATCCGTCCATGGTGCCATTCGCAGGCGGAAACTCAACGGGTTCGGCAGGCGCGGCTAGAAGCCTAAACGGCTGGTGGCTCCAGTTATTGACTCCCCGCCCGGAAGGCACCCTCCGGAAAACCATCCATGATTGCGAGCAGGTACGCCAGTGTGGGCAGCGTTAGCCCCACCATGCGCCGACACGGTGGATCACTGTTTGCCATGTTCTGTGATGCCCCCATGAGCCCATGCCCGAGCGAGGGGGCTGCTCCATGGGCCCATTCCCAAGCACCTCATCTGCCGCGCGACGACTTGGCGGCCTTGGGCCAGACCTTTCCGCCGCGCCCGCCGCCTGCCTGGTACCGCCCCCAGATCGACCCACGCCTCTCACCGGTCGGGTCTTTATACGTAAAACAAATGCCCGAGGGAAAAGGGGGCTAGCCGCTGACGGTATAAAGCCCAAACGTGCTCTCCGTGTGACCTGTCGAGGCCTGCTTCTGGCCGTTGAACGAGCAAACGCTTATCCCGTCTAGGTGTACCAAGAAACTGCTACGTCGGGCGGACAAAGGAACACACACGCGCACACCCCCTCGTCTCGTCCAGCCGTGCCGTAGATAAGACCTAGCTTTCTTCCCGAGCCACATCTTCTCTTCTTCTTCCGGACACACAGCAAGCGGACGAGACAAGATTCGAACGCACACGCACACACATGCACCAAACACACTCGCCAACACTCTCACACCCGCATACCAAGACACAAAACACCATGCCTATGCCGACCCTCCGCACCGAGCAGAGGTACCTGGCTGACCAGGGCCGCCTGGCCGGCCAGACGGCCCTCGCCGCCGCCCGGGAGCGCAACGCCGAGGGCGCCAACGGCCGCCTCGACATTTCCGAGGGCACCGCCGCCATACACCCCAACACGGGCATCCGCAAGGCCCACTCGGTCGGGTGCACCCAGTCCATGGAGCACAGCTCTGGCATGTGGTACGACGGCCGCGAGCTGGGCTCGGGCACGCTCGAGAAGGTCGACTTCGAGCCCGTCCAGAGCCCCTGCGGCGCCGTCAGGCCCGACGGCGCCCTGTTCATGTGCTACTATGACGGCGAGCTATACGCCGACTCGGAGGCCTGCTACTCGGACGAGGACGAGGACGTCTACGGTGACGATGATGATGATGAGGATGACGACGGGACCGACGGCGCCGCGACCAACGACGACGACGACGACGACGAGGATGCCGACAGCGAGAGCCCAGACGACATGCTCTACATGCGCTACTGCTCCGACTCCAAGCAGGCCCCGGCCGTGGTCGAGCACGAGCTCGACATGGACAAGCTCTCGTTCGGGCAGTGCAAGCACATGAGCTCGCCCGTCGACCCCCACGACCTCCATGGCAGGCTGATGCTCGTGCAGGGGCAGGACTTCTCTTCCTAGAGTGAAGTCCTTCCTTCATTCCTCGCGCTTTTGCTGTCATCTCCTCAATGATGAAAGCCAAGCAATGTCCAGATTCCAGGTCCTTGTGGGGACTAGTCTGGAAGCGGGCTAGGTGCCCAGCGGTTCGCTTTGCTCAGCCCCCTTGGCGATCCAGCCCCGCTTCCTCGGCGGAATCTGGCGGCGTGTGCCCAGCTGCCACCGCCAGTCCAGCCAGGGGTGGCCCCTCCTCCGGCAGCCGCTCTCCAGAGACGAAGGCTTGCGTCGTCGTGCAGCTCAGGGGTGTTCCGCGAGGGGTCCTCCTTGAAGTCCACAAGCGCGGTCTGCGCTCGAGGACACGGATGACGAGGGGGTCTTGGGGGGGCGCGGCACAATCACCCTACGTCCACAGCCGCTCCAGAGCCCCTGTCAGGCACATGCCCAAGCCAGACAATGGACCACCACTGCTCTTGTCTAGCCTCTCCATGTGGAGGCGGACGTCATAATCACTTGCCCCTCGTGTTGACGGGTGGCCGTCGGGACTCGTCCGCGGCCTCGAGCACCTCGTCACCCATCTCACATTGGGCCTCCGTCGCGCCCCGTTGCCGACGCTGGTGTGACTGGAGTACTGCCACTCACCCCCATTCGCACTGCCGCTGGCTGCCGTTGCGGAGATGGTGGTGCCGGCGGCGGCCAAGCCCCAGCAGACCTCTTGCTGTTGCTGCCCTGTGGTCCAGCAGCTCAAGGCATGGCCGCCTTGGGTGGCGCAGAAGACGCACCTGGTGGTTCATAAATGCCCACCACAGGACGTTGCCTTGTCGGCAAGTCTCCCACCGGCAGGTGGGCAGTCCTCCTGCGTGGTATCCGCATCTAGGATACTGTATCAACCATGTGTGCTGTTTTTGTTCTTAATAGTGCTGTTGCTGCTGTTGTTGTTTAGTTGGCGCAAGTTCGTAGGCACACGGTAGATGTGCTGCGATGCTTTACTTTGTACAAAGATCAATCTCTACACATGGGACGGAATACAAAAAAAAAACCCTAATCCAGTTGGAATCCTGTCAACCCATGTTATGATCTAATGTAGGTTGTGTTTAAAATGGATACCAGACGAGGAAGACTAACTACCCTTGACACTTGCTTCGACTTTTGCTACATTATATGGGGATCAACTGCTGTCATGCCCCGTGATCGGCCGTTTGAGCAGCCTGGTCCTTCCGCACATCTCTCCTTTGGCCAAGCGCCCACCAACAACAAATGGATACTACCATGTCGGCCGCTGGAACTATGGGACACAGGCAGTAGTGGCGATTTTAGCTCGCGATGGGGAACTATTGCAAAGTACAAGTGTATGTCGTAGACCGACTACCTGGAGCTCAACTTCAGTGTCACTCCTAGTCGAAGCTACCGGGGCTGGGCGCTGCAGAGGCTGGCGAAAGTCTCTTATACGCAGCGAGCCTCGATATTGGGCGGCTCAGGCCGTGGATATTTGAGGTGATGCCCGCCCGTATACGACAAATATTCAAAGAAATGGTTAAACACATAGTGATATTATGAGAGAGTCTAAGAAATTATTTTATCGATTGAACCAAGTGACTAAATATTTTGCAGATTCTTGCAGGACCTCACTGCAAATAGCTTCCCCCCCAGTGACATGCACAGATAGATCATGCGCCAACCACAGCAGGCGGACAGCATTGCCACCTCGGCTCGCCACTGCAGATGAGCTGGGCTGACTTGAACGACGAGCAGCGAGGTGTTGTTCTGCTAGATCCCAGCACCCTCGCATGCTAGAGATGATTGCCCAGAGCCCTTACAGTCTTAGAGAGGTCAAATCAAGGAAAATGGAAAGAAAAAGAAAAAGAAGAAGGGAGGGGAGAAGAAGAAGAAGAAGAAGAAGAACAGGAAAAACAAGAAGAACAAGAAGGAAACAAGGGGAAGGAGGCGAGAGGCTTGGGATGGTGGCAGAATGCCCGTAGTTGTCCTGGCGACGTCTCGTAAGGCTCGCCGAGCGAGCCGCCTCCCTCTGCGTCCAGGCGGCGTCCTGGGCGGCCACCTCGATCATGCCGTCAATCATGGCTGTTTGTTCGGTATTGCAAGAGGTCAGAAACTTGGCGGAGCTGCGTGGATAACATAAAATAGAGGGAGGAAGATGTGTCAGGGTTTGAAAGCTCACTTACTGCGACTTATGGGTGCAGCAACCAAGCCGTCGAGGTAGAGCGAGTTGACGGCCGTGACGATCCAGTCGCGGTGCGCCTGGTCGAGCGCGGCACGGCGGGCGCAGCGGTCGATGTGATCGATCGAATGGCCCACAGGACCAAGCTCGAGGTAGAGGGACCTGGGGCACACCCTGCTCATCTCGCCAATGTTGAGAATCTGGTAGGTGAGGTTGGTGCTCGCGCTTGCGTTGGCGTCCTTGATGGCCCAGAAGACGACGCCGGCGGGTGGCTCGCTGCCAGTTATGTAGAGGCCAAACATCTATTTTGGGAGAGGAAAGGGTTTAGTCTGTCTGTTAATCACAGGTGGGGGTAGTCGGCTACTCAGGGCAACTCGGTGGAGAGGTAGCAAGGCAGCAGAAGACTTACGGCGTTCGGGGACATGTCAGGGGAGTCAGGACAGGCCATGAAGATGCAGATCTTGTCCGCCTCTGGGTCGGTAACTTGGCATGTGTAGGTACCGGATTCCCATGTCGGATTGGAAGCGTCGGAAGCAGACATGATGGCTGAAGGTGTGGCGACTAGAGGTGACTCCACCCCGCATCTCTGCGTTGTGGCCTTTCAACGTGACGAGGAAGGGACCTCACTGTGCCCACGAAGGTAGGGAAGGAGCCACGGTCTTCTAGGAGAGGGAGTGCGTGTGGGAGCAGAGTCGTGCCTGCATGGAACGACGAGGAGCAGGCGGCAGACTGTTTGTTGGGCAGTGCCAAGCTCCGCCGATGACGAGCCTGTTGCCGTCTAGGAGAAGGGTCACTCTTGCTCACATGCAAAGCTGAGGGGATGCAGGCAGTTAGACGGAGCGTTTCTTCCGGCTTCTTAGGCAGCCGTGTTAAAGGTACGGCCGTTGGCCCATTTGCAGTTGAGGAAGGAGACACTCTCTACTGTCTCAAATGGATGTTGAGCCTTGGGAATGCTCTAGCGGGTAGGCTCACGGGACCAGGATATAGTGGTAGTGTGTTCCCAGGACGGAACAGCTGGTTGACCGTGTACAGTCTATAAGCGACAGGTGAAGCTTGAGTGCTTGGGACTTGCTGGTCAAGGTCTGTCTATGCAAATCATGTATGGTTCCAATACGCATCTGCTGACCCAGGGCGTGCTTGCCTCTCGTAGCCGGATGTCCATGGCAGCCGTCTCAGACCATATGCCTCTGAGCTCAGCTGTGGAAGGCGCCTGCCTCAACGAGTGGAAGAAGCGGGCTTGTGTGTCTCTGTGGGGCTCAACAAGTTGGTGAGTTTGGATGTCTGCCGTGAGGAAGGAGCAGGTCAAGCTTCCCGTCTACTAGTCTGCTTTAAAGTCTGGCCCATCGCCCATGTCTTGTCATGGAACCTAGCGACACTCCAAGGTAACGAGGAAGAAAAAACGTCTGATCCAGCCTGCATCTCACGCGGCCTAGTCTGGCAGCGCATCGTCACTTGTTTCCCCCTTTTACCGGCTCTCCTAGTCTGGCAGCGCATCGTCACTTGTTTCCCCCTTTTACCGGCTCCTCCTTTTACCGGCTCCTCCTTTTACCAGCTCCCCCTTTTTGCCAACTTGGTATCCCCCGGAATCGTTCGCAATGGAGGCAAGGGACTTAGCATCCATCTTCAACCAAACCAACCCGGTCCCCCGAGCCCTGGAACTCATCGATACTGCTGGGCTCGCCGAACCTTTCGACTCCCTGCTCACCTCTTTTGTCCAGAGTGCTGCGGTCAATCGCGATGCTGCCGAGTACATCCTGCGGTCCTGTACCGACTGGTACGATGATGAGGTGCTCCGCAGGGATCTCTACTGCCTGGTCTCGGACTGGCGCCAGATTGTGGAAACAGGTGAGCACCAGCTGGGGGACACTTCCCGGGCACACTCGCCTCTGTCCTTTTTCTTTCTTCGCATAACAGCTAACCGGGTGTTCCCACGCGCGGCATCACAGTATTTGTTCACGGCTCCCTGCCACCACCACCCGATGAGAAGGCAGAGGCCGTCATCAGGAAGCGAGACGCCGGCAGATGCTGCATCACAGGCAAGACCGGCTCCTACGGCGATCCCCTGGTGATTGTGCCCGTGATCCCCATCCCGCTCTTGTGGGAGACTCTGGTACAGCAGAACCCGCGCATCGGACAGATGCTAGAGGCATTTTTCGGTGCCCAACTCACCAGCTGGTTTGAGTGGTACTTGAGAGGCACGCACTATATGAACCCCTATCACACCCACTGGCTCGTCCGCAAGTCGGCAGCCGACGCCTTTGCCCAGGGATTCCTGGCTCTGAAGAAATGGCCGTTATCCCAAGTCGAGGTAAGCCGTTGTGCTCCAGGGCCCTCCGTTTTATACTGTCGTCACGCTTTCTCCGCTAACTCATGGTTTCTGGGCGCTCCCTGACTAGTTTACTGTCGAGGACACTGACGTATTCCCAATGGAGTACCCGATCGACAAGGTCGGCCCGGTCGCGCTGCTGGTTGACCACTCGCGTCAGGGTAGCCCAAAGGTAGACTGGAGGCTTCTGGTCACCCAGGAGATGCTCTCTGAAAGCATCCGGTGGCTCGCCATAGCCCGAGAGCTTGAGCGGCGCCGGGCTCAAACTCCCACTGCGGCGCAGCACGGGACTGTATTTGCAAGGTTGGACCTGGCCGCAAAGGCTGTCCGCCCCGTCGGAAGACTCCTAGGAGGAGCACTCCTGGCTCTGTGGCGCCTGGCCCCGACCAGACTGCGCGTCGTTGTCTACAAGCTCCTGGCTCTGTGGCGCCTGGCCCCGGCCGGACTGCGCGCCGCTGTCCTGGCTCTGTGGCGCCTGGCCCCGGCCAGACTGCGCGTCGTTGTCTACAAGCTCCTGGCGTCGGCGGGACGCTGGCTGTACGGAGAGGGACCTGCGCAGACCCAGAGGCTGCCATTCGGGCTGTACCTCAAGAAGAACAAGAACGGGGAGGCTGCGCGCAACGAGTTCAACGCGCTCAAGATCGTGCGCCGCTACACGTCAATCCCGGTGCCGGTGCCGCTCGACCTGGCCATTGTGCCGGCTCCCCCAAGCGAGGGCGCCGACAATGAGGGCTACATGCTCACCACCCACGTGCCCGGCAGGACGCTCGCTGTGGCAAGCAAGGTCATGTTGGAGAGGGACCGCCGGGCCTTCGCCCGCCAGATGCAGGTGTACCTGCAGCAGCTCCGGGCCGTACCCAACACGGCCAACCAGCACGCCATCTCCAACTCGCTCGGAGGGCCGATCTTCGACCCCCGAATCAATGGCTCCCGTGCTCCCTTGGGCCCGTTCAGGGACGAGGCCGAGTTCAACAGGCTGGGCCTCGCGGTCGCCGACGACCCGGCCAGGGCCGGCCACGCGGTGTGTTTTACCCATGCCGGGCTCAACGCCGGCAACGTCCTACTCGACTACGTCCTGCTGTGGGACGGCACGCGCGGCTGGAGGGTCACCGGCATCGTCGACTGGGAGATCTCGGGATTCTTTCCAGAATACTGGGAGTTTACCAAATGCCTATTCGAGCAATACAAGCCCACCTCACTGGTGGTCAAGGACCTGTTTCGCGGCGCCTTCCAGGGCAATGACGAGTATGAAAGGGAGCACCAGCTGGAGCGGGAGTGTTGGTACCAGGTGCTGGGTGCCCCGGTGGCTCGGTGGTTTGCTGAAACTTTGTAAACGAGCACAATTCTAGTAATAGAATCCTAGCTGTATGTTTGGGCCCAAATCGTTATCTAGGGTGTTGGCACACGAACAAACCGAACTAAGCCCTCGACTCTTGTTGCCACTGCATCTAACGACACTCAAGCACGGGGGAAGGCTGCCCATACCGTCAGTACAAACTCGCCCAGCTCTACATTTATTTCCTTGCGAATCTGCCTCCCCCCACCCCCTATCCTCTACCACCATGATCAAACCTGCAGCGGGAGGCTCCTCCAGTCGTCCCGCCAGTCGCTGCTCCCCTCGCGGGGCGGCCACAGGCGGCGAAAGTTGTGGATGGCCGACGAGACGGTGAGGGAGGGCGCCTCGCCGTTGCGTCGCGTATAGTCGCGGTCGCGGGCTTCGCGGGCGGCGACGCCCAGCTCGCGCACCGCCACCCCGCCGGCGGCGTCTTGGTCGCCGCGCACGGCCGGCTCGACCAGCCACGAGCGGCTCAGGTTCTCGATGACGTGGAAGACGTCGTCGTAGCGCCCCGGGCGGCCCAGGTCGTCACCGCCCGTCGTGTATATCTTGAGCCACTGGAGCCGCCGCCGCCGGCCGTCGCCCCCGGCACCGCCCCCATGCGCTCGCCTGCTGGCGTGCACCACGTCCCAGATGGACCGGGCCAGGCCCGCGTCGACGGCCGAGTTGTAAAAGGCGTTTACGATGTCGCCGTTGCGCACGTAGTGGGGCGGGTCGTGGTCGCTGTGTTCGTCGTCTTCCATGTAGAGCGGGTTCCCGCGCTGCCAGACGTCGGCGCGCGAGTCGTAGCGGCCCGAGCAGTCGAGCGTGACCAAGAGGCGGCGCAGGCGCGGGAAGCCGCCGAGGGCGCGGTAGAGCTGCACCTCGCGCGTGTCGGACCGCGTGCGCTTGACGGGCAGCGACAGCTCCTCGAGCCCCGGGCACTGCGCCTGCAGCCGCAGGATGCACTCCCTGGTGATGGCCATGGGCGGCAGCGGCCGGTCCATGTAGCCGTTGCGGATGGGCTCCCACGGCGACAGGGAGAGGCTGCGCAGCGTCGGCCCGTGGCGCGCCAGCATCCTGTCCACTATCTCGGGCTCGAGATGGCCGGAAACTGCGAGCTCGACAAGAGGCACCAGGCTGTCGAAGAAGTCGATTGCGCACTTGGTTGGGCTTGGCCTCTCGGAACCCTCTTGGTCTGGATGGTTCTGGGGTGCCAAAAGGTTCGCGGCGCTCTCAAAGTCGTCATAGTGGATGGGGTCCTCGTCGTCTTGGATTTCCCGCATTAGGCGGATCCGGAGGGTGCTGAGGTTAGGGAAAGGCTTACGCGTCGCCATCCATTCCAAGGCATCGGCTGTCACTCCAGAATGGGACCCGAGGCCGGCGCCGAGGTCAAGGTGGCGTAAGCAGGCAAAGTCGGTGACTGCCTCCCACTTCTCCAGGAACTCCTTGTTGATAGGGGCCACTCCCGAGGGCGACCACGAGGTTAGCGAACCCTTGCCGCCAGAATCTGGCACGAAGCCCGGCAGCCCTCCCCAGACTACGGGCTCGGTCGGCAGAGCAGGCTGTGGGTCCCCTATTCGGTCCATCGATGCCACTGGGCTGGGCAAGGCCAGGAAGACGGTGCGGACCATCTTCAGGTTGGGAGCGAGGCCGGAGACGAGCTCCAGCATGGCCTGCTCGTTAAAGTCATCGTCGCCCTTGCGGTCGCGAGACGAGTACTTTAGATGAACAGTGTGTAGACAGGGCGACGTCGCCAGCGCCAGCTCATGCGGGTCAAGTGCCGGCAGACGGAGGCTGCGCAGGCGAAACGACATCAGGTGCAGCTTGCAGCGCGGGTGGTGCGTGTGGATGACGTCCAGGAGACTTGGAGGAAACTGGTTGCGGCAGTTGTAAACCATCTTGGCCAGGTAAGGCAGCTCCGCCACCAGTCGGACGAGCGGGCCCCAGGCTTGATCCTCGTCGGGTGGGCACCGCATAGGCTCCTCGAAGCGGTAGCCATCATATGGGTGTGGCTCCACGTCTCCCAGGATCTCTGACACGCCCGTCCGCTGGAGCCACGCTTGGATATGTTCGAGCCACGACGTCAACTCGTAATATGCCCCCCTTCTGGGGTGTTGCGGCGCTGCGGGGCGCTCTTCCTCTCGTAGTATGAGGTGCCCCTCGACACTGAGACTGCGCACCAGCTCGTGGCAGTCTCTCGTCCTGATGATCTCGGTCACAGCCGCAACGTCCCTCGCTAGCGTGGCCGGGTCGTCAACCCTGAGGCTGACATGCCGGAAGATGAACTTGCGCGCGGCCTTGTTGCAGGCCTTGCTTGCTGCCGAGAAGGCAAAGATGCTGGGGCGGTGAGCCTCCGACACATATCCGGCTATGTGCTCCCTCGTCTCCAGGGGCAGGCCCTCGAGCATGACCTCCCGAGACATGGTGGGTGGTTCAGCGTCGGATGTCGGCGAACAGGCGGGTACGCGGGTAGGATATGGGAGGGCGGATGGTGTGGGATAGGGTAGGCGCGTCAGTGGAGAGAACAGGGGCTGAAGAGGGACGAGACCGGTAAAGAGGGGAACGGTGGAGAGCGGAAACTTAAACTGGGCACCCATGGCCTCCCCATCGACGTCTCTATATACCTCCCGGACAGAAATAAAGCCGATACCGAGAATCGGGCGTTCCCTCCGATAGGGTGCGAAGTGCAATAACATACGGAGATGCATATAATGCTGCTTCCATGTTGTGGCAAGGCCTAACCGACATAACAGGCAAAGAAAAAGGGGGTGTGGATAACAAGGAGATTCCGAGTATCTGGGCGGATGGAGCTAGGGGCGGGGTTACACTCTTCTCGCGGGGATCAGCCAAGCAAATCAACCCAGCAGCAAGCAGGCTCAAAGGTGTGCCGGGGATGTAGAACATGGTTCTCGGGGCAGAAACCCGCTGCGTTGCGACTGCAGCCGGAGTGATTACTGCACCTACGTGGTGTCTGCCCTGCCACCTTCGCCAATGTTAGGTGTGTGGCCTTGACATGGGTGTGCGGACTCGTAGGCCCTCATTGGGTGAACCCAGGCGCCAACTGGGTGCAAAAGCAAGCACATATGCAGACGCACAGCAACATTAGTGGGGGGCATCAAGGCCGGGTGTGCTGTGACGAGATGAAAAGAAAAGGCAAAAGAGTGGAAGGATGCAAGAAAAAGGAAAGAAAAAGAAAAGGCCACCCCCCAGGGCGGGTGGGCAGGCAGCAAAACGAGGTCGATGCCCTAGCAGCGCCATTTCCAGTACCGGGCTAGCGGCCAGGGCCAAGCCCAACAGGCTCTTTTGCCTCGTAATGACCTCGTCAGTGTGAGATACTGACACTGCAATGAGGCCACCCACCCTTGCTCGTTGGCTGCAGTCCGTGCCAATAGCATGGTGTCCTGGTTGGGCGACGTCCTCCTCCCTTGCGGCTGCCGAGACAAGCCACTCGCGAGTTGCCGCGGGCAAATGCCCCCGATGATCGAGGCTGATCGATGATGTTGGTACCAGGGATGAGAAACCGAAAGCAATCATCCAGGCCCAGACCGCCAATTGTCGGACTCGAGGATGGGCCAGCCCTCCTTGACCCTTGCTCTCCCCTCACTTCTTCTTCTTCTTCTTCTTTTGCCTTTCTTTGTTCAACGGAAGTGACCTGATTTCACCTGGTCCGCGACATGGGGTCTGTACCCATCACTGGACAGTCCAACACCAAACTCGCTCAGGAACGTGCTTTGTGAGAGTTCCGTTTTGGTGGGATCAGAGAGTGGCCCTCAGACTCTCGCGCTTGTTGCTCATCTCGAGTTGGAGTCCCGACAACTTGGTTAGGTTCCACTCTGCCATGAGAGGCCTATCGCAAAGCCAGGGTTGCCTCAAGGCAAATCCCCACTTCCGCCACGTCGCCAGCATCTCCTTCGCCAGTAGCGTCAGTAGGCAGTGGATCGGCAGTGTTGCTGCTGCATCATGTAAACAGTCAGACGCCGAGGAGTCCCCGCCTCGGCTAGCCTGGGCTCGTCCCCCTAGCTCGCATCATCTTGGCTGGAACGAAGCTGTTACGGTGGCAATCCGTAATCGGCGCAGACAAGAGCCACCAGCGACTCTGGGCTATACCAACACCAAAAAGGTCTGTACAGTCCTTTCAGGCTTGGATCCTACTCGGGCTATCCGGAGAGCACGGAGGGTATATCTGCCAGGTTTGCAAGTCGACCGTCCTGCCAGTATCTTTGCGTCAACGCCGTGTGTATCTGCTGGGCATGTGCCATGTCAAGGCCGGGTCCAACGGGACCCGCACTGACTGTTGATGCCTTGGAGTATCCCTCCCTAGAAATGGGTATGTCTCGTGCGAAGCGGGCGAATAGCTAGAGTCAACTTGTAGCGTGAAGATTAGGGCTTCGACTAATGGCTAGCCCAGCCAACTACCTGTAGCAGGATGGTTGGTGCAGGCAAGGGCTGCTGCCACAGAGCCGTGCAGGGGGTGGCGACAGACGATAGTCATGTGAATTTGTTTATCGAACAGGCACCGTGTGCGTCTGTTCCGCCATCTCGTGGGCGGTGTATTTTATGGGTGGTCCGTGGATCGCGGGGCCGTGCTAGGTTCGTTTTCTCCACTCCTTTCGCTCTAGAGCAACATTGAGTGTTAGCAGAGGGTTCGGAATTCGGGAAGTTTAAGCCAGAGCAACAGTACTGTATTGATGGCCTCCCGGAGAGGCGAGTCGGCTTTCGGTCACTGTGCAAGCTAAATAAGACGATATGTTCACCCACCTAACGAGAAGCAACGAGGGGCTTTGTGAGTTGTTGGGCGCAAGCGAAACCGCTGCCTCGAGGTAAACATATGGTGATAGTTCGGGAATCGGCTTCGAGGGGCATGTGTAGGTCCGGCGCAGGTCGTGACTCTGAGTGTCGAGAAGCCCCCCTTGTGAGCTGGCTTCGTTGATGCCGGTGCAACGCGCAGATATAGTCCTGTACTAGCTCAGGGTTAGCCCTCGCCATTCACCTCCTTGGCCATGTCAAGAGACATGAGTGACGGCTGCGCCAAGCGGGAAGAACATGGAGAAAAGGACTGGAGGCCGTCTGCGAAGCTCACCTCTAGCCCCTGTTGATGATACGTAACATACCAAGTCTGCCGGCCTGCCACCCATATCCATGCGGAGGAGCTTGCCTCCCAACCTGGAGTATTGTGGGCGCTGAAAATGTCGATGATAACGAAGTCCTCGACGGAAAGGAGCGAAGAAGGACCGAGACAGGCGGGCTTTGACTGGGCTCGACAGGATCGACCACGCTGCTTGCTGGATTGACGCCACTTCTTTGGAGGATTCGGGGGTGACTATCGCTAGCAAATAGATGATAGGTAACTCTGTCAGCAAAGAACTAAAGGGCAACGGCAGGAAGGAACCCTTGCAAGATGGCAGGTTGGCATGAGATCACAACACCTTTCGTGCCCCGGCGCGACACGCTGGCCCGTAGAGCCGAGGCCTATGTCGGATAGAGAAGCGAGGGGTTGACGGATACGGAAACATACATACATAAGACCCTATTTCGCTCGGACACGCTGCCGAGTAAAGTATTTACCTGAGAATAGACCCGGGGTGGACGGCAAGACGAGGCAGGTGGCATGAGGAGGGGCTACATGGGAAGGCTGTGGTGTCGCTCAAACTTTGCAGGGGCCAGTTCTCAGCTGTGAGGACAAAGAGATTTGATTCAATGACCCAATTCTAGAGGTTAAGTCCGTGTAGTTGGGAAGGCACTGCCCGCCCTGGGAATGTGAAGGTGAAGGATGGGTCTTGGCACGTGATGGCTCCGAACACGCGCCCCAGCAGCCGCGATCAACCCTAGCATCCAACTCGCCAGCGCGTCTTGTGCTGTTTGTGGATTCTCTCTTCTGTCTTTCGATCGTAGTACAATGCATATTGAAGCAGTTTGCGAGCCATGAGCCGCTCAGCCGAGGAACCGGTACGTACCCTGCGTTGGAAGCGCAGTTCGGGTCCCAGCAGGCTTTAGTGGATCGTGTTAGTGCTGCCGTTCTGGCTTTTCATGCGCTCAGGGTCCATCGTTTTCCGCAGCGCACCACAGCACGCGTCCTCAAACGCCAAACACACCATTTGATATCCATATCAAAACTCTTCCCTCGACAGCAACAGGAGAAAGCTGCGCATATAAAAAAAACATCCCACCAAGCCGCCCTCCGCTATAGAAACTCACCACACACCCTCACTCACAACGCCCGCCATACATTCCCACCATCATCAGTACAATGTCACCGCACTTTGAATCGCCGCCCCCAGGCCCCTCCTCCGCCGCCTCGCCACCACGCCTGGAGCCCATCAACCTCACCCGCCCGACCCCGCGGGCCCCCCGGTCCGCCTCGCGGTCGGCGCGCGTCCGCGTCTTCAACAGGCGCCGCGAGTACCTGGACCGCCACCCGTCCTATATGGCCTCGGCCGCCGACAACGAGCTGGCCGACCCGCTGTTGGTACGTCTTGATCTCAGATGTCTCTCATCACACCAGACACACAAAAAAACACCATTTACTCCTTCACTCACTCACACACGCTGTCTCTTTCTCTCATTCTCTCTTCTCATATCCCACGTATGTACTAACCGGCCTAACACAAAAAAAGTACGACTCCCTCATCCGGCGCTTCCAAACCCCCGCCGAGCGCGAGTCGGACGGCCGCCGACGCGGCTACGGCCACGTGCTGGAGTCCTCCCTCCTGCGCAGCGAGGCGGCGGCGGCCTCCAGCTCTGGCATCAACGCCGCCGCCGCGGGTGTCGCCCGCATGCGCATAGCCGCGTCCTACGTCGGCGAGGCTGCTGTTGCTGCTGCTGCTTCTACCTCACCCTCGCCCTCACCCTCCCCTTCCCCTTCCCCTACTTCCCCCGCCACCGCCAACTTCGGCGTCGTCAACGTCGCCATCGACGACGACGACGACGACGACGCCCCGCCCGCGGACCGCGCCGAGGCTCGGGCCCGCTGGCTCGACTTCCTGCGCGACCGCTTCGTCGCGGGCCGCGACGACGACTTTGACTACGGCCCCGTCGACGGCGACGACGACCTGGACGCCCTCGAGAGACGCGACGCCGAGGACGCCTGGTTCGACCTCGAGGAGCCGAGCTGGGACGGCAGCGGTGGCGGCGGCGACGACGATGACGATAATGACGACAGCATGGACGACGACGACGGCGCCGCCAGCGGGGCGGCCACCCGCGAGAGGAGAGGCGAGACGGGCATACAGGACTATTGACCCTTCACTGTTCCCCTCAATCCTCAACGCCTTGGTTGTATCGTGGCGGCACGTGGGCTTCCATGTATGTGGCTATAAACGGCGCGCAGGCAACTTGACCCTTGATAATCACCCAGCACATGCATCGCCTCCCATTAACCGCCTCGCGTGTGCATCACCTCGTCGAAGCATCACACACCAACAACCACGACGAGCAAGGGGGAAAGCGGGAAGGGATGTAAAGCTCCTGGGGAAATGACAAAGTTGCCGGTATAAGATGCCGCCGTGCCGAGGGTCACGGAACCAAGTCCACCAAGCTCCCAACACTTTACACCTCCAAAAACTGCGATACGACTCTTTCCGTTGCCACCCTTTTCTCAACGCATAGCCCATTCCGCAACCTCTTTTCTGACCATTCATGGTCCGTTCGCGCTTCAGACTGACGGAAAGCCACTCAGAGCGGGAAAGAAGATGTCACCATCTAAGTGACGTCAGACATGGGGGTAGGTACGTCGACGATACTACCCTCCTTGCCATTCTCCTGTCCGCCGTCGGCCATGATCTGGGCATTGTTCCCGTTCATGCCCAGAGCCTTGTTAGAAGCGCCTCCCAACTGTCCGAGCGGCATGGGCGTGCTCGCTGTCGTGACAGGGGCTGACATCACTTTCGGCATGGGCGCAGTGTTGAGCAAGTCGATGGTCGCACTCATGCCATCCCTCTCCAGCATGGCCGCGAGTCGGGCCGCCCGACCCTCCTTCTTGCGCGGAACCGGAGCTCGACCGTTCTCCTGAACGTAAAATTGACGCAGCAGCGCAACGGCCTCGTCACGACCCCAGCCTCCCTCGGCCAGGTATCCGGGCTCGACGTTGCCACCATCTCCCTCGCGGCGCATCGCACCCCTTGCGGGCTCATCAACGGGCTCCTTGTTCACAGTCCACATATTATGCCGGTCTGTCCCCGACATACCCATCGAGATGCAATCCTGCTCTCCAGTCCGCCCTTTGGCCTGTCTGCCGGTCTGCTTGCCAGCCTGCCTAGCAGCTCGCTTCGCATCCCGCTTACCAATCTGCTTATCAATCAGTTGAGCGGCCCGCTCGAACGCCTGCTCTCTAGCCTTCATTCTGGCCTGCACGTTGGCCTGCTGCCTGGCCTGATCCATGGCCTGCTGCCTGGCCTGCTCTATGGCCTGCTGTTTGGCCTGCTCTATGGCCTGCTGCTCGGCCTGCTCTATGGCCTGCTGCTTGGCCCGTTCGTCAGCTTGGTCCTTTGCGCCGTCGCCCTCCGTCTCCTCAGCCTCCTCGGAGACGGGCTTGAGCTCCTCAAAGGCGGGCTTGAGGGCGGTCCTGGTGCCGTCGCGGCTGATGCGGATGACCATGCCGTCCATGACGCGCCGCATGGGCTCGGCATCGGCGCTGGCGGGGGGCGAGTTCATGTGGATGCGGAAGACGCCGCCCGTGCCGCCGAACTTGTCGTTGACGGCGCCGAAGAAGACCCTCTTGATGCCGAGCTGGCGCAGCATCGACGCACACATGACGCACGGCTCCACCGTCACGTACAGGGTGCACTCCGGGATGATGGACTCGTACACGCGCGGGGCCGGGTGCAGCTTCTGGCCGTAGGGGTAGATGTGGCACCGCGTCGGGTCCACGGCGTCCCAGACGGCGTCATCCTCCAGGTTCAGGTTGCCATTGCAGCAGTAGTTGCCCTTGTTCGTGGCGGCATTGTTGACGGGCTGCAGGGCGTCCGGGGGCTGGTCCGCACCGGCGACATAGGCGAAAAGAGACGAGAGGGCCATGTACTCGGCGTGGCGGGTTCCGTTGCGGGTGATGTTGGTGGCGTTCATGCCCTTGGCGATGACCCGACCGTCGCACACGAGCACGCAGCCGACGGGAGTCTCGTTGGTCTTGAGGGCAAGACGGGCCTGGAGCGGGTCATGTTAGCATCTTGGGTTCTTGGCCGGCAGCAAGAGGCAAGAGGTGCGGCCTGGCGAGACCGGAAAGCAAGCTTGTGGCTGAGCCAGACACAAGCCAGATCTGAGCTGAGGCTCAGGCCAAGGTCAAGCGCGCGGTAGCACAGCACGTGCAGGGCAACGCGACGCACGTGGGGCAGCGCCATTCTGGGAAACCGGCGAGGCTGGGCAGTGAAGCTGGGGACGTACCATCTCAAGGGCCTGCTCAATGAAGCCGCGATGCATCTCGCGCTCGACCTTGACCGACGGGTCCTCGCCCTCGATCTCCTTGGGCGAGATGCTGATCTCGTGGACGGGCAGGAAGGGCAGGATGGTGCCCTTGGGCAGGGGCAAAAGGGTGGGGTCTTCGCGCAGCTTGAGTTTGGCGATCTTAGCGACGAGGCCCGGACGCACATTTTCCTTGCGGCCCTGGCGGCTCTTGGCGGCGCGGTGCTTCATGGTGGCGTCTTCTTGGTTCTGGTGCTCCCGCGACGGCGGCGGCTGCTGCGGCGGCGGGGCTTCCGGGGACGGCGTTGTGGGCGAGGCGATGCGGTGGTAGATTGAGAGGAGGATGTCTATCAAGGGCGCGAGGACGGTGGCGAGGAGTTTGGAGATGGCGGAAGGCTCATGGCCGGTGCGATGTTGTGGTTGCTGCTGGGTTTCGCGCCGCGGTTGCGGCCCCTCTGGGGCAGAATTCTCCAGCTGCTGCTCTTGTGGGGACCGCGGGTGGTTGTCGTGGTTGAGGTTATTCTGGTGTTGTGGTGAGAGTGGTGGCGAGGGTGGTGGTGAGGTCTGCGGTGAGGGCGACGTGAGGGCCTTCTGGCCCGTCTGGTTGCCGCTGCCGCTGCTGCCGCTGCTGCTCCTGCTCCTGCTCCTGCTCCTGCTGGAAGGCTCCTTCCGGCCCTCGCGGCTTCCGCCCGACGCGGGAACTTCTAGCACTGACATCCTGGCGGACCTGCCCGTTTGGCCTGAACCAACACCCAACAACGACACAATGGGCGAATAGAAAGCGCAGGCGCCTCCCCGAACCGGTTCGTGCGTGTCAGCCTGCAGCTATCTTTTGGACCACAGCACGGGGAGGGAACCAGCAGCAGAACAGCAAACAAGGACAAAAAAGGAGGACAATTGGGAACAATGCCCGGGCGACCACCCAACAAATAAATAAAAAACCGCTCGTTCCTTCTTCCGTCGCCAGCCAGCAGCTCTCCGTTCCACCTTCCACCACCACCAGCCTTTGCCGCCCGTTTGACCTGCACTAGCCCCTTTCGAGAGTGTGACGACCAGCGTTGCAACGTCGGAACTACCGCAACCGGAAATGGTAGAGCTTCTTTTCTGCTTTTTTTTTTTTTTTTCTAGTATGGGAGAAGTCGCCCTTTGGTTGCGATTCGAGTTGCTGCCGTTGCTCCCAGCGGGGAACACAATGACGTTGTAAAATTTGATCCGAGGGGCTCCTCGATCTGTCGGCGACGTGCAAAAGACAACGGCGGGGAGGACAGCCGTCCCGGAAAAAAAAAAAAGTGCTTCACGGTGTGTCAAAGGAGGGACCTTGACTTTGTCGTACGTCCTGGTTGTTACTTCATTTCCCCCCCCTTTTGCCTCGTTTTTTTTGCAACACGAGTTTTGGTGAATGAATGGATGGCTTTTCATTCGCCCGCAGTGAGGTGTGAGCAAACGGACAAGGGCGACTCGTTAGATGCAAGTCATCAATCCAGCCCCACTGGCCGTCGGGTTTTTACTGTTAAGCGCATGCGGCCATTGGACGACTGTGATTTCCATGATGCATCTCCTTTCCATTCATCCAAGGTTGCGGAGATCGGGAAATGTCAAAATACTAACAGCAGTAGAGCCAAGCCCGCGCAAAAGATTAAATGAAGTCATCAAACAAAGATGGCGAAAGTTCCGGTCGGCTGTAGCCATCTTTTCCAAATGCTGCTTCGGTCTAGGGGTATCATCGGCATTCACAAGGAAACATGGGCAACGAAAGTTGAGGCGGCAGATGCCGTTTTCCATGTATTCCCGTCTCTCGGAACCACTTCTCGGAGCGAGCTGTGATGAAAGCGCACATCTTCAGGAATGCACGTAATCGCCCACCCATCCTGCTTCGTCCCCGTAGCGCACCAAAACGATGGGTCATATCCAACATCCGCGTCCGCGAACAGGAACGAAAGTCCCGTCTCCATGTACCCAAAAAAAGCTCGCGTGTGCTCGACACATGGTATCACTATCAAATAGAAAACAGAAAAAGAAAGTCCTCTGTGACAATGGGATAGCTTTTCCTCTAAATGCGCATCCCTGGAGAAGAACCGACAGCGCTGATGAAACAAAAGAGAACTATGGGTGGCAAAAACAAAGCTCGCGCTTCCAAAGTCCCACGAACACGGGCTTCTCTAGCAGCCGCAGATTGCGGTCCATTGGCGGAGACACCGGGACATGCGGTGCGAGGCGGCGGATCGCAGGCCGTCTAGTTGGGTGGTGAGCTTTGCGCTGTTCCCATTGACACTGCCAGATGCCGTCGCTTTGGACTGGTCCCGAGATGACAAGAACTGCGTCGATGAGACAGAATACTGCGAGCCGAGCTGCTGAAGCAGTGCCGATGCAGCCACGAGGGCAACGATGGGCAGGAGCGCGGACGCCTCTTGCGCATGTTTGGCCAGTGCGAGCATGAAGCCCAACGGTGCCAGCATTGCCCAAGACTGGATATTGCTGGAAACGACCTTCTGCGATCGAGAGTGCAGCAGACATTGCCATACTGACGACAGGTCTTTCGGAGCGCTGGTCGAAAGCTTTGTCGAAGCACAAGTGCTGCAGTTGCTTGTTGTCCGCTGGCCTTGTTCGTCGGGTCGTGGACGGTTCTGTGGTCCAGTCGCCGTGGGTTGGGACCGAGTTGTGACCGTGTGATTCACGGCATGAGTGGCCTCGCCTGCGTGATTCGTAGTAAGAGTGGCCTGGGCAGTTTGTAGGGTAGGGTCATGAGAGTGGGTGGTCTTGGTTGCAGCGTTCCTGGTTTCCACCCGATTGATGGGGGAATGGGAATTGGCGATAATGGACGGCGTTTGTGTCACCAAGCTGTCCGACGAGACAGACAACATCATCGAACCACTCGATTCCACTTGCTTCTTGGAGAAGCGGTTCGAAGACGACTGCGAGGGCAAGGTGCCCGATGACGGCTGCATGACAGCGCTGATGGCAGTGGTTGGGGTACTTCTTCCCTCAGTGCCGCCAAGTGTTACAGCGGCCAGGACAGCCATCTTCGGGGCGAGCGCGACCATGTAGCCAGCGTTGAAAGCATTGGCGGTCTCGACAATCTCGTTGGTGTTGACGAGCTCGGATCGTCTTGCCTTGTTCTGGGAAACTCGAGGAGCACTTGGTGCTAGTGGCACGGAGAGGCTCGTGAGGATGGTCTCGCTGCTCACGCTACTAGACCATGATTGCTGGTCGGGTGAGAGCTGTTTGAAGAGTTAGTTTGGTGAAACGGTGGTTTAGGCCAGAATATTCTCTTACAGTTGTGGAGAGAACCGTCTGTCGCTTTCGCTCCCGCTTGGGGCCAAGTGTCGAGAATGTCCCGAGAAGATGCTGCTGCGACTGCACATCACCATGGTCGCCGCCGCCACCACAACCATGTATATCTTGACCACAAGAGGCCTTTTCGGAAGTTGCAATGTTCGCGCGAATGCTGGGGGATGTTTGAATGGATCCTGCTCCGCCTAGGCTGTTGTGAGCAGCGACGAGGTTCGCATCGCCAGGATTAGCGTGGCGGGACCCTAGCACGCCGCCAGCGCATTCTGGATCGTCTCGGTCAGGAACCCGCGGTGGACGATCTGGATCGGACGCCCCACGGTCGAGGGCTGCCGAGGGCGAGACAGCGCGCACGCGCTGGGGCGAATGGCGATTCTCTGCCCCCTCCTGGCGCTCTATCCTCTCGTGACCCGTCACTGCAGGCTCGCTGGACCAGCCGATGAAGGCGCTGCTGGGCGAGGGACCGGTTGACTGCATCTCCTGCAGCTCCTCGTCCAGGAAGCTCGACGCCGGCGAGTAGAGCGTAAAGTCGACGTAGTCGCCGGTGTGGCCGTCATTGTAGAGGTACGGGAGCTGTGGTTGTTGAAGATGAGCTTGCAGGTCGAGGCTGCCAGCGGCAAACGAGTCGTGAGCTTCGAAGGAGGCAAGCCCGACAGCAGGAGCTGGGGTGAAGGGCTGGGATGGCGAGCATGAGGATCCCGAGCTCGGAGTGAGGAAGCCCCGGGCGTCCAGGGTGTAGTTGTAGTCGATGGGGAGCGAAAATATGTCGTCCTCGGGCTGCATGAACTTCTCCCAGTCGAACGAGTCAAGCGACTCAAGCTGAGCTTCAAACGGAGTGGTTTCGGCCGAGGCGACCTGAAAAGAGGCCTGCTGAGCGGCAGGCTCGGCCTGAGGCGTCACCGGAGGGGACGCCGACTTGGTCTTCTTGGCCTTGGTGGCCTCGACAGCAGTCGGGGCCGGGCCGGAAGCTCGCCTCTTGTGCGAAGGGTCGCAGCGCACCTTCTTCTTCTTGCAGCTGTCGCATGCCTTGAGCAGACGAATGAGGTGGGCATGTTCGCGCATGGCCTTGGTCTTGGAGCCCCTCGACGCCGAGTTGGTGACGTCGACGCCGTCCTTGGTCAGGATCTTCATGCCTGGGATGTGCGAAAAATCATTGGCCGTGGCACGCGAGCCGGCCTTGCGCGAGGACCCGGCCGCCTTGGGCTTGGTCACCCGGTTTTGGCTCGGGGCGACGAAAGCCGAGGAAGGTGTGGCAGGAGTAGCAGGGGTAGCTGGGGCGGCCATGGTGAAGCTGTCCCAGGTCATGTCGGACACGACCGGGGACACGTCGAAGCCGGACCCGCAGCCCGAGTCGCTGAGCGAGGCCGGGGACTCGGTACTGAATGCCGTGGGGTAGACCGGGAAGAAGAGCTGCAGATCATTTGTCTGGCCGGTCTGAGCAGCATAGCTGAAGAACTCGACACAAACAGTAGCCCGCTTCTGCTGGATCGTGTCGGAGCCAGCAACATAGGCGTCAATCATGGCGTCGAGCTCCGCCGAGTTCAGAGCAGGCTCGAACTGCAGGGTAGCGCCGAGCGTCGTCTGAGAAATCGTGAACCCCTTGACGGGCATGTTTTGCGGAGAATTGTGTATAGACATGGCGAAGGAATTTCCTGTTGGTTTGCTCTAGTTGGTATTTGGACAGCCTCCAGGCTAACCTCCCAGGCAGAGCCAAGGTGGGGGGACTAGTCGTTGCTCGCAACGGCTGTTCACCCCGACTTGCTGACGACCGCACGTGTTTCAGGGTGGGTAACGGTGGACAGGCTTATGGTGGGCAGACAGACTCGGTTCCGGGGCGCAAACAAGCGAGGGGAAAAGCGGGTTTGTCTGGGGCAAACAGAGGCTCACCAGCAAAGCGTCGTCAACAAACGGACTCGGACAGCCAATTCACATTGACGGTCGGAGACTGGGAGAAGATGGAAAGCGAGAGAAGACGGGGGAGGTTCCTGAGGTGCCTCGGGAGGGAGTCATGGGCGATATTTGATGGCCGTCTGCTCCAGCCGTCAGCACAGCGGGAGCCTCGAAGCAAGGCGCAGCAAGCAAGCCAATGTTGGGCGCCCCGCCAAGTTTGATTGAAGCTCGTCGGCGAGCTCGAAACGGAATAGCGCTGTGGCACGTCCCAGCCAATGGCGGTCGCAACAGCGCGCAAGAGGGGTGGTGTTGCCGCTTGTCATTGGTCGACTTCAGCCCCACCTGCAGGTTGCGTAGGGGCCTCTCCGGCGAGAGGAAAAGCGAGAGCGAGTCCAGGTCACCTACTCTTTTGTCGTTGACAGGCGTGGCGGGGACAAATGGCTCACATCACCTTGATGTTACAATACATGCAAGGAATCAGCGCATTCCCGCTCCATTGATTTCATTCAACGGCTCTGCCCACCGTTCCAGACTTCAACCAACAAGAGTCACATCACGTGAGCAGCCCATGACTCGAACTTCCCCACGGGCAGCGTCGCTCCCAGATCGTCGGCTCAATCGCCCTGCCCAATATCGTTTATTTACACGATCTACAAAAGGCAAGCGTCCAACATCACAAGGGGACAGGCGATAATTACCCAACTTTTACTTTCCCACAAGGCACTTCGCAAGGCTGTTCTCTGTCTCTTGGTCAGGGAGGCTGGCGAGAATGCCTATTTCGTGAATCGACGAACCTCGGCCAATTTATATGCGCCAGAGATCAGTTAGACAAGTCAAGGTCGCGAGGGTGCAGGGATGAACACGCTAGCTGCTCCAGCTCCGTGGCTTGGCGAATCGGGGGCAGGGGTCCTCGGATCCTTGGACAGGGATGGCACTGGAGCCCTCCCGAGAAGCGCGAGTGCACGTCACTCGCCGACAAAAACCAGCAAACAGTGGGTTGGGTTGTGTGAAGGAGCCAGACAAGATGTGAGCATGCGTGCTGGATTATACAAAAATTAGGTTTGAGATGCGTTTATATAATGAAAGGGAATAGTAGACAGGATGATTAAAGACCTTGTAAGGAGTACATAAAACATTTCAACAGCCCATCGTGGCTGGCAGAAACAACAAGGAGTGGTGGGGGAAGGAAGGAAACGATTACCACAATAGACTTCCGAGCGATACCTATCGGGAACCAACGACAACATAGACATGACCTATCTTGGACACCCGCAAATACAGACGAAGGGAAAGCTTACACAACACCAGCAACCAGGTTCGGCGCGGCCAGTCCGGCATTCTCACCCATCCGCAGACGACCCAGCGCGCCCACGCCCGCACTGACGGTGCCCAGGAGCCAAGTGCCCAGGAGCCCGCCCGCGGACAGGAGGACCCAGTTCTGCAGCCGGGTGCGCGAGAGAGGACCGAGCACGTCCACGTCTCCAACGGGGGGAGAGGCGGCAGAAACCGACGATGAGAGCGCGAGGGCGCACAAGAGAAAGACCGCCAGCAAGAGGGGCAGTAGCCAGCGGCCGGTAGCTAATAACAGCGCCGCCGCGGGCCTGCCCGCCACCGAAAGCGGACAGGAGGAACCCCGGGGCGATGGCATGCACGGTCGGCTGCGGCTGCGCCGGCGACTGCGACTGCGACTGCGGCTGGGCTGGCGCCAGCCACACATTTTGTTGTCCACTGGTGAGCACATGGGTTCGAGCGTGGCCGGGACCAGTTGGCGGAAGGGGCAGGCGGACTTTGCGCTCTGGGGCTCGCTGTTGAGGTCGTCTCGGGCCTTTTCAGACGCGGACCCGCTGGTATCCTTGTTCTTCCTGTGGCGCCCCCGGCCATCCGCCCCGCGGTAGTATTGTTGTGAAGGGTGCAGCAAGTTGGAGTATGAGCCGTTGAACGGTTGGGTGGACGGAGAGAAGCCAGAGCTGGAGTTGCCGTGAAACTGGAAGGGGGAAAGGCCCGCTCCGCTAGGTACCGAGGTGATCCGCTCTGCCGCGAGGCTTGCCGGCCCGAGCAGGGATACATAATACCACTGCTCCCAAGAGAGGGACCCGTTGACCAGCTTTCGGTCGCAGCTCGGGCACTGCAGACCGGCGAGGTGGCTGAGGAACTGACAGCCAGAGCATTTGTACATATAGGGGTCCTCTAGATGCTGGTACCGGCCATGCTCCAGGTTGTAATGTCTCAATAGCTCCTGCAGGGATGCGAGGTGGCGGAGGCATACCTCCGGGACGGTTGACGTGTTCGTCGACGAGACCATCGAGGGGGTGCCGCCCCCGTGATGGCCGCCCCCTCGGCACTCCCAGAACCCAAGATTGTTGTCAATCAGTCGGCCGATGGGAACACAATTGGGCTTCTGTGCGACGTCACTGGACCCAAAGAGTTGAATGAAGCCCTGGGCCGCTGGTAATGATATAGTTGGCGACGGGAGGCGCGAGATAGGGTTGAAGAGGTGCCGGCCACTTAGGGCCTCTGGCGTGGCGGGAGATACCAGTCCATTCTGCAGCATGGGCGAGGCATACGACATGGCTGTAACAGGCGACACAGCATTGGCGTCGAAATGCCCCTCCCGTAGCATAGTTTCGAGTTCAGCCGATAGTTCGTGCTGGGAGGGAGCGCTGGGCTGGTGACACCGTGAGTCCCCACCGACTCCAATCAGGTCCTGTGGCAAATTGCTCAGGGGAGGCAAGCCGGGCGCTGACGACGGGTAGTTCATGGGCAGAAGACCCAAGAGATCGATGGCGGGCGGCCCCGGTGGCGATGACTGGTTGTAGAAAGTCTGCACCCTTGGTGGCAAGTGAGCCCGTTCCATATATCCCTGCTCGAAGAGCCTGAGGTCGTGGTGGAAGAGTTGGCACTGTGTATCAGGAGTGGTAAGTTGTTAGTACGAGGCTCAGGGGGAAAGGGCAGCCTCCTAGCCTCCTTATAGACCCAACGTACGGTTACTTTGCGATTACGGCAATCTTTGCATGCGCCTATCCTCCTCAGGAAAGCCGCCTTTGTCTTTGCTGCCTCGGTAAGGGGGCCGCTGCGCTTGGGTTGTTTCCGCTTCCTGGTGTTGGGTGAGGGGGGTTCCTGCACTCTCAGGTCATCGATGCCGTTGCTGAGCGAGTTGGAGCTGGCTGCAGACGGGCTGCGTGACATGGTTGCTGACCGAACCGACGGCGCGGTCAGCCGGTCGGCGGCGGCGGCATCGCGCATCGTGTTGTACACAATCTGGCTGTCCGGGGTCGGCACAGGCTGCAGCGGGGAGGAGTCGAAGCGATCGGAGGTCAAGGTGCTGATGATCAGCCTGGGCGGCTGGGTCCGCACCGGCCTCATGGATTCGCTACGCTGTGGCGATGTGTTATCGTGGCCGCGCTTCTTATTGTTGGACATGATGGCGGCTGTGATCTGGTTGGCGATGGAATGAGGGGGTCGGTCTGGTCAGATGCGACCCCTGAGCAGGAGCAACGGAGCTTTTAAACAGCGAGCTCACACCGAGGAAGCAAGTCACGTAACTTGAGCGTCAAGGGGCCGTCAACTAGTAAGCGAGGGAGGGGCGCAGGAGGGAGAGAAGGAACGGCGAGATGTTCTAGAAGGGACCGGTGTGGTTATAGATGAGAGGTAGCCGCAGGTTACACAAACGAGTGGCTACTAGGATTTTGAGCAAGCTCCCTCGGGTCTAGCAAGGCAGAGCGGGAACCTGATGTGCGGTAATGGGGTGCGTTGTTGGACCGGCTGCTGTGGAGTCGGCCGTTCTGCACAGCCTGGCGACGCGCCAGGGCCAGAGCGCTACTGGACCAGAGTAAACGGAGGCAAGAGGCTGGCGCAGGGGAACCGAGGCCGCTCTCACGGCCAGGTCCGCCGGTGCCAAGTGTGCGAGGGCCGGCGTTGGGAACAAAATGGTGGTGGAAGGGAGGGGAGCTTGGAAGAAGGGCCTCAGGAGCTGGGGCGACAAGGGGCCTTCTGGCCCTGCAGAGGCAGGTGTTAAGTACTGAATCTTGGGCAGCCCAGGTTGAAGAGCCGCATGCAAGAATGCTGCGCCTGCTTCGATGCTCGCCCGAGCCAGTCAGAATCGGGCAGGGGGCACGGCGACCGTCCGGACGTAGAATCGACGCAAAGGAGAGGCACGGAGAAGCACGACAGACTTTTGTCGCAGCTGGAGAGAGAAGAAAACGGGACATCTTCCCGGTGCCAATCTTTTTCGTCTTTCGAGGCAACCGTGGGGGAGGCGTCACGGGGGCTGTCACAGGCCACAAATGTAGGGTTGGGTCTTTTGTTTCCAGTGGTAACCAACAAAAGTGCCTGGTTTGGACTCCTAGCCTCCTTCGAGGTCGAGCGCCTTGCTCGACCGCCATCTTGGTATCCTGTGCCCTGGGTGCGATGAAGGCTGGTAGGTACCTGGGTAGATGATAAACGAGACAAGGCAAAAGTAGCAACTCAGCCTCAAGAGTGGAGCGTGATCCCACGAGGATCGAGTGAGGGAGGGAGGTGGGGAGCCGGCATCGCTGCCAGAGACGACAGGAGCCTTTGTTTCAGGTCGGCGTGCGTGCTGGCAAAGACTCCAATGATGTGCCGGATGATGGGCATATGTAGGTATCCATGTCTGGCGGGTGTTCAAGAGGTTCTTTTGTCGCACCGTGGACGGGCGATGGCGGTATGGATTCCATTGTGGAAGATGAGTTGAACTGATGGGGCAAAGGCGGGGAACTCAGCGCACTGGAAAGCGGGGGCCCTGGATCGTGCCAGTCACGGAGCCGCCAACTTTGGCCCCGACCATATCATCAACCGAAAGCAACGGCAAGAACGACTGCAGGCACTCACGAGAAAACAAAAGGTCTGTCCCTTTGATTACCCTTCATCCTACCGACCCCGCATAAGCTGCTTTCCTGTTGTGATCTGAGGCCTCCCTGGCCCAGGAGCTTTTGCTGATGCCTGGGTGCTGGCCTCAATAAGTGTGGCAAGCACCCACGTACCTGGTACGTACCTCCTTGCTAGCGCCGTGCCCGGAGGAACGATATCGTGCTGTATCAGCTCTTTGCTTTTTCTCCTCTGCCAAAGCTCACAGGGCTGGAGAGAAGCCAACATCAGTACCAAAGTCTCTCTTGCTCTGGTGGGTCGGCGTTCTTGGCAAGGAAGCCTGATGCCTCGGTAAATCAGCATCGAGGAAAAAGGCCCGAAAACCCACCAGACACCATTTGCCGCAACGCCGTCGAAGCCCTGGTGTCGCACACACACACACACACACACACACCGCTCATGTCTCGGGGCGGCTGTTCCCTCGGCCCTCGAGCTCACGCCTGCCCGCAGCGCCAATGGGGGGTCGATGCCAGGTGAAGGCAACGGTTCGCCATGATGCGGACCATTTTAATATCTGCCGCGTGCCGCGTGCCGAGCGCGGGGGGGAGGAGGAAAGGAGGCTGTGCTCATAAGCCCCGGCCCTCTGCATCAAGTGGCAGCGCGCTCCCACGGCGCAGAGACTACTTGAAGGGTTGCTTGTTGCGGCAGTGCCTGACCTGATTTGTCTGTTCCTGTGCCTCTTAACCTCATGTTCAGCCCTATGGATCACAATCTAGATGGCATTTTATGGGGGAGCCTCAGGTAGCACAGATAGATTGATCCATTTGTAAGCCAAGGGCCGCCAGTGATGGCGTCGTCCAACTTCCGACGACCGTACGGCAATACTCGGATGGTACACGCCCAGATACCACCCAAGCTAGTAGCAGGTCCACGTGCGGGTACCGTTCCCGAAGTCATCGGTTGGTACCGAGCCACGTCATAAACTAGGGAAAGCGAACGCAACCACCTGCAAGATGTCAAGATTAACCACCATACCCGTCTTGGCCACCAAAGGATTCTTCGTATCCGATTCTTGTGTCCCATGCAAGGGGGGTATCTCGTTACGCATCTGCATTGGGGGTAGGCGGGCACATCCCTTCTCGATATCGTGATTCCCAAGGTCGGTCTCCTACGTCCCTCGAGTGCCGTTTACGGTGCGTCCCGAGTCGTGATGTGCTTGCTGTCGAGCCACACGTCAAATCAAAGGTGGATACAAAAGCCTTGATAGTAAACACATGATGTCGAGTAATAACAAGGAAAGGATGCCGCCTCGCCAAAAATAAAAATAAACACACACACAAACACATTTGCCACCTTGGCCCTTGTTGTGTATACGAGGACGGCCCTTCACCCCCGTCATGGTCATCCGAGGCCTGTTCTTACCTCCCTGACCTGGCCCGATGCCTCCTCCCCTTCTATAGACATTTTACCAAGCTCAAAACCCTGTATTCGCTCCATATATGACCATTAGGCGGCCTGGCAGTAATTTGCGGGGAAGCTGCCCCTGGTGCCTCCGATCTCGCCCTCCCACCAGTCGTCGGCCGTGTTCGTCTTCTTGATGATTTTGATGCGGTCCCCGACGTTGAACGACAGATCCCCCTTCCCCTGGCCCGCGAACGCGTAGAGCGCCACCACGAATTCCTCGGGCGGCTTGTTGGCCGCCGGGATGCGCTTTGGCGGCGGCGGCGGCGGCGGCGGCTTCTTCTTGGCCGCGATGACGGCACCGATAGGGCCGCGCGCCGTCGAGCCAGGGGTCGTCGTCCCCGAGCCGCCCCCGCCGGTGCCGTGGCCAAAGTAGTCCGACGGGGCGGCGGCGATCCGGGGCCGCACAACCGCAGGGGCCGAAGCCGGCTCCTGGCCTAGGCTGGTAGCCTGCGTAAAGTCGGTGGGCCGCATGTGTGCGCCGCCCGCGAACCCGGGGCGCGGCGCGGCGGCGGCCGGCTCGGGGGGCGGTGCGGGCGCCGACGGGATGCGCATGAGGCGGCCGCCTCCGCCGCCGTTGAGGTTGCTGCTCGAGGTCTTGGGGATGAGGCCGGTAGAGGTGCGGCGTATGCCTTCGTTGGTCGGCGGTGGCGCAGCCAGCCTGCGGGCCTGCGGGATCGTGCCGGACTGGTCTTCGGGCATACGCATCGACATGGAGATGGCTTTGCCGCGCGAGACGCACCCTATCGATTCGATCTCGTGCTTTATGGGGTCGAAGCCGGCCGTCCAGTCGGCAATCACCTGCTCCATGGGTGGCGGGGGCGAGGGGAAGCCCTGCTCCTCGCAGTATCCATTGAGAAAGGTGTAGTAAAGCCCCAGAAGCTTGTTCTGCACGAGGATGTGGCAGCCAAGCAGCGGCGGGATCATGCTAAAGACTGCGTTGACGATGTGTGGGAGCGTATCGCGGAGGTGGCTGTCGGCAACGTGAAACTCCTTGGCGAGCACAAGACTGAGTGTCAGTATCGTGCCACAAAAGATGGTCAAGGCAACACAACACGGAACCATACCTCTGCCAAAGTCGCCATGTCCTCCTGGGCTCTGGCCAGCTGGGTGTCCTCTTTGGGGGTCCTGCTGGGTTTGCGGGCGAGCTTGTTGACCTTGTCCTGCTGCTTCTCGTAGTCGAGACGCTTGTTCTCGCGTTTCTTGATCGTCTTGCGAATGGGCTGGATGCAGTCGCGAGCGTCGGTGGCAGGGCGGATGACGCGAGCCTCGATCTGAGCCGCCTCCTCGACGATCTCATCCTTGAGCTCGCGGTAGACCTCACACAGCCTTAGCGTGCGCTGCAGCTGGTGTGCCGGCGTCGGCGACATGTCCTTGCCGTGGCCGTCGGTGGCGCCGACGATGGGGTCATAGAGGCCTTCGTATTCGGTTGCGACGCCCAGCTGCGTCGATGCGAGGGCTATCCATGAGTCTCGCCAAGACTTTGCGCTGTCAATTATCTGGAGAAAGAGAAAGAGACTTGGTTAGCTGGAGCGGCTAGGCAAGATAGGATAGATGGATGGACATGGCAGCCTCGACTTGCCTTGAGCAAAATCTTGTCGGCATCTTCAAAGTCGCTCAGCATAACCGAGACCTTGGCATTGTCTCCCGGTGCCTTGTTCAGCAGCCTGCCGAACGATCTTTGCATGGACTGCATTTTGCCGGCGTTGTTGGGACCACAATTGGATGGTCGAGGAGTCTCGGGCGACGGGCGGCGGATGCGGCGAAAGGGCGGTGGCACAGCCGTGGGCGATGGCCAGGTCTGGTGGAGCGAGTCGAGAGCGCAGGCGGCGTTGGAGAGGCACAAGGCCTGGAGGGCTTGGTCTTGGTGGGCTTTGGTGGGCGACGAGCGATGTGAGGTGTGTCCCAAGAGAGAGTTTGGGGCTCTGAGGGGCAGCACAGAAGTCCAGCACAACCACTCGGACGGACGGGGACGGACTTGGACTTTCCAATGGGTTGGGCGTGCAGGCTCTCCTTGTCTCGGCCGCCTGGGCGGGCCGTGGCACGCAGGATCGGGGACTCCCTACCCAGATTAGGAGGCCAAACGGCCAGCGTTGCGTCACCGCGCGTAGTGAGATCAGATCCGTCAATCAGCAAGCCCGTGGGTTTGGGATGTGAAGTTCGAGCTGGATTCGATGGTTGGCACAGCCTACCAGGTCCTGTGGGAAGATATCTAGATGAAGAATAAAGTGAGAAGAGTAGGTTTGGAAGTGAACGCGCGGCGCGAGAAGCCAAGGTTGGATTAGATATTTTTATTTTTTTCGTTTCTGTCCGCATCCACCATCAACCTTGATGGAGCGCCGAGCTCTATCCAAACTGGGCGCAAGCCAGGGGCTGGGCCGAAGTCTAGCGCGGGCATTCAACAGCCACCAAAAGTTCAACCCCACCCTTCTGACAGTGCGTGCCCCTGTTGGTCTGTGGAGGCTTCATCCAGCATTTGGAGTTGATGAGTTTGTCGATGTAAGTTGAATAGTTACTTACGTAGTTAGTACCTATCTATCGAAGTAGGTAGAAATCCTCTCTTTTTTCTTCTTTTTTTTTCAACTCTATTCTCTCATCTACTCCTAGCGCACTAACCAGCACCGCAACCGTCTTCACACGCGTCTTGGACGATGCGTCCACCGTCCAACCTCCAGCTTTAGGTGGCGCCAATCCAGCTTATCAAAGGCGTCAGCAGCAAAGTAGTGGATGCACTCAATAGAAACGGAACAAACGGAGTGGATGCAGTAGGCCTGCGTCCATCCCATGTTGTCAAGCACGAACAATGTTTGTGGCTCGGTTGCGATCCCTCGGTGCAGAGGCTTGGGGTTCTGGTCTTCAATTTTATTTTTTTAACCGTTTTTTTTTAATAAAATGTTTAAATAAGTTTAAAAGCCAAAATCGTCCGGTTATTTTTCGACAATACATTAAAGTATTTTGCTTTAATTTATTTTATTTTTCGAAAGCATTATACTTTTTTGCTTTTTTTGCAAATTTTAAAATCGTTTATCTTATTTGGTTTTGCTTAGCGATTTTTTTGCTATATTTTTTATATTTGCGTAAACCGGTTTCGTTGCAACGTTTTAGGGGTTTTTTTTGCTTAATTTTAACATGCAACCTTTTAATTTGCTAAAATTAGGCGTAAATTAAAAAAAGTGAAAAAAGCGAGTTATGTAATTAACGTACGCATTAAGCGTTTGCAGGGATAAAAAAAGGTATAACGGGAAAAAAAATTTCGCGCTTTTTGTTAAGGTATTGATAATGTAAAAAAGCTAAAACGGGTAAAACAAAAAAAGGTTGCGCAGGTTATTACTTTAATAATAACTAGCTTTTTTTTTTGCTTTAACTCGATTTCCCCTTTTTATTTTTTAATTAATTACGTTAAAAATCGATTTTAACCTAATTTACTTGCTTTTTTTAATCAGGTAAATTGTAATTTTTTAACAATTTCTTTTAGTTATATAATTCAATGGTAACGCGCTCGTTTTTGTAGCGGGAAGTTTTGGGTTTAACTCCTAGTGCAATTTAATTCCGGATTGCAATTCGCGCTATGCACGTACTGCAATTTAAAACGCTCCCTTTTTTTTGCTTAAATTTGCTAGCTTATCCTTTGGATATGCTATTGGAATCCTTTTTTTTGCCCGCTAAATTTTTTAAATTTAAAGCGTTGTTACGGGCTGGAGGCCCGTATAGTAGCTCCGGCTATGCCGGAGCCACGCCGCCACAACCGGGCAGCGATTTCGTGGAAACTCCAGCCACACCTGCGACGCCACATCGTGGCGCCCCAGCAGCGACCCACCGGGGAACTGGGTTTTCTCTCGCGAAAGGGGATCCAGCCAAAGGCCTCTTTTCTCTTTCCTACCCTTCGTAATAATATAAATTCCTTTTGGCTGCACCTAAGCGTACGCTGTTGGCGCAAGCCCTTTACAAGCGTTTTACAAATTCCAAAGCTTTTGCTAACTTTTTTTAAGCAATATTTTTTTTTAGCTTTTTGGCAATTTTTAAAATTTGTTGCGTTTTTTTATATATTGTGTTTTTTTTAGCTTTTTTATTTAACGAGGTACTGTTGTTTGCGGTAATGCGTTTTTTCGTTTAGGATAGCTTCGATTTTTTATTTTTTATTAAGGTTAATTTTTATTAATTCGGTACTTTTTGGTTTAACCGGGGTTAACTTTAGCAAAAAAATGTAAAGAATTAAGTAAATTTGCATGGTTGGAAGTAATTAAAATTTATAATTAATTAAAAGCATAATTCGTTTAATTTAAAAAGGTTTAAATTTTTTATCCAATTTATTATTTAGCTTTTTTATTTTAATATAAGTGCGCAAAAGGTAAGCGTTATCCTTTTTTTAAAAATTGGGGTTTTAATCCTTTTTTTGTTAATTTGCTTAGCTATTTGCTAGCGCAACATTTTTAACTTAATTTAAAGGTTTCGGTATAATTTAGTAATTTTTCCAATTTTCAATTTCGTTGTTAAACCTTATTTTCTTTTTAAACTTTCGGTACGCCGTAAGCGTATATTTATAATTTGCGTAAAATGGCGTTACTTTTATGTTATCGTGCATTAAATTATTGTAAGCAAATTAAGCAATGCGTAATAGTTATACCTAATTAATTTGTTTGTAATTAACGTAATACCGTAAGTATTGCTTTATAGTTTAGTTCGTTCGTTCCGTTTATTTATTCGTTTAAAAATAATGCGCTGTTAATAAAGCGTATTTTGCTTCGAAAAGGTTCGTAAAAACCTTTTAAAATTTGGTTGTAAATAGCTTGTTCCGGTTTGTAATTAAACGCTGCAAAATGCCGTAATTTGCAATTACATGCCGAAAAAAAGCGCAAACCATTTGCGTAACGTTATTGCTTTTTTTATATAATAAGTATAAAGCGTATTTAATAAGTTTATTTATTATTATTAATATGCTATTATACCAAATGCTTATTAGTAGCTTTTTTAATTTGGAAAGCTTAACGATAAAGTTTATAATAACTTTTTGCTATATTTTATTAAGCGCTAGCAGCGGTTAAAGCAATTTATAAAAAAGGTGCTTGCTAGGCTTGTTTTAAGTACAAATTTAGCAATTTTTTATTGCTTTTTATATTTTAGCTCGGGTTTTGGTAAACCCGTAATGTTGCTAAAGCTTTTTTTTAAATTTTTATTATTTTTTGGTATTTATAAGCTAGCAGCCCGTAAATTTCGAAAATTTTAACCGGGGTTTAATTTTTTAATTTGTCCGTTTTAACCAATGCTTGTTAAATTGGAATTAGCAACTTTTTTAGCTTATAAACCAAAAATATCCTAATTTTTTCCGGGGTTTCAATTTCGTAATTAACTTTTTTGCTTAAAGCGTTTGCTTTGCCGTTTTTTAAGCTTTTGCGGTATACAATTTTAATATTGTAATTTTAAACGTGTTTGCTTTAACGGGTTTGCCGCTTATTAAGGTTTTAGCTAATGATTTAATGCGTTAAGTTTTTGTAATTTGTATATATTATAATTTTATGGTTAGTTCCGTATAAATATACTTTTTATTTTTCCAAAGCTTAAATAATGGTTAAAAGCTTTTTATTATCGATTGGGTAATTTAATTCGGGTTTTTTAAGTTTTTTTTTTAAAAAAAAGCGCAAAAATGCAACTTTTTTGCTTGCTTTTTTAACCCAATTATTTATTTATTGCATAATTCAACGCGTTTATTTTTATTTTAAATAGCTTATCAGCGTTTAAAATAATTAATATTAACTTTTAAAGGATTGCATTTTTAAATTGTTCGAAAGCGTTTTATTTTTGTATTTTTTTAAAAAAACTAAATATTGTTTTTAGTAAGGTTGGTAAGTGGTGTAGCTTTATTGCTAAAGTTTTAAATAAACCGTTAATATATATATTTATTTACCCCTTTCGAGCTATATAGCTTATAAAAAGCTTTGCGGTTCGGGTTAATTACATAAAGGTAAAAACCGTGCTTTTAACCAATAGCTATTTGGTATAAAGCTAGGTAAAAACTTTTTCCTTTCTGTTACAGTCAGGCCTCTGCTCTTAAGGTAAGGCACCAAAGGAGTATCAAACAGTAGCACGTAACTTGACAAATTAAGGGGATTTACAAGGTAATTTGGGTGCGACCTGAATGCTTGCTCCAAGGATTACTTGGAAGCTAACTAAAGTTTAACTAATGCCAATGCATTTATCAAAAACTACCTAAAACAGTAAAAAACCTTTCCTTTTTATACCTGGACCGCTTGGCCCTGGATGCCACAGGAGGCCTTAATCCCTCTGATTAGGGCTGATAGCATCGACTGTCACTGATCACCCCCTCGTTGCCCGTGATTAACCTAACCCCGATTAATCACTACTAATCAATCCTTAACCCCGATGTTACGTAACTTCCCCCAACTTGCTTTCTTCCCTCTGGAGGGCGGGGTCTGCCACCCTCCACGGGCTGTTGGTCGTAACACTTTCGAAGTTTTTGCAATTCCGCGTTTTTTTCGTAAATAATATATTGGTAATGTGGTTTGCTCCCGTACCTTTTAACGGTTAGTAAAAAAAAAAAAGTTAATATTTAAAGCGAAGTATCGTAATCCGGTCGTAAAGGTGGTTCGGCTGTTGCGTGTAAATCGGATTGTTAAATGCACGTTTTCGTAAAAATTTTGGGTTTGCCCGTCGTTTTTTCCTTCTTTTATTCGTGCCTCATTTCCGGCTCCATTTCGTAGCCTCCGTCGCTTCTTTTCCTCCCGGCTTTTTTCCCAATCCAGCCAACAACCACCATCAGCAGCAGCAACAACAACAACAGCAGCAACAGCCGTAAATCTTCCCTTCTCCGCCTCCGCAAGCTCGCAGCCCTTTTAACAATCCTCCAAGTGGTTTCCCTTCCCTAGCGCATTTCCAGTTCTTCCCCCAACTATTTAAAATAGTAAAAAACCTTTCCTTTTTATACCCTTTTTAACCCCTTCCAACTTTTGTTAATACGTGCCCGTTGCAACCGTATTACCGGTGGTCATGGTGATGCGTATGATACGCCCGTATCATACGTATTACCCTAAGGTTACGTGATTGGAGCGGGGTGGCCCTCCAGCTGATTGCTGCTGCCACCTCTCCTGGCCTTCCCTCGGGCCATAGCTGTTGGTTCGTAACACACGGCTAGATATTTAGTGTGGTCGATCCGAAATCCGAGATGGGAACTCGCCATGGAGACGTAGCCTCATTTCCGTCGCAGCCAAAATTCCCGACGGAAATCGTGGAGTCCCATCCCCCCCTCTCCCCCCCCCCCCCCCCCTAAGCCGTGGTGAGGGGCAGGGCGACCCTGGGGCCTTTGGCTCCAGTTGTGATGTGCGGGACCTTTCGGTGGATGCGAGAAGATAGATGGCGATCAGTGCAGTCCGATTCTGACAATCTTTGGCATGTTGGCATGATTGAACATTACATAGTCTTGTAGGTCATCTCACATCTCATGCTCTCTTGGCTGTTTGTTGAGAGACAGCCTTGAAACTGGACAAAGAATTCAGCCATTGAGCCGGCATGAGCGCATATCAATCATTCTGGCCTCGCTACTCGGCCTCGGCTTGACACCCCC